GTGATTGCGACATTAAAAATTTACCTCGTAATTTAAAAAAAAAATAAAAAAAAAGCTACCATGTCAAATCTTGCCAATTCAGGCATAAAATTGTAATTTCACGAAATTAAATATTCGCACGACCAATATTATTTTTGTATGACGTCACTGGTCGAGATTGAAAGAAAAAAAAAATTATCCTATACAATCTGCTGCTTCACCCACGTGAATAATTCGATCGATTAATTATTATTGTTATCGATCGGTATCCGTTCCAGGTGTGAACCCGTCACCTCAGCTTCTCGCAGTGACGCTTATCGGGTGGTCAAAGTTCGAAGGATTTTCCAAGTGTCTTTTACACCAGCCGAAAATAATCTGAAACCGGAAGTCCCCGCAGCACGTCCGGTTGGGATCCTGGTCCAATCGTAAAAAATTGTATCGATCGGTCGAAGAAAATGAAAATTGCATATAACGCGTGACTCGTTTGAATTAAACGGAAGCGAACGATTGCACGTGACATGAAGAATTTTTGTTTTCAGCCTCTTCCACAGGACTCTGTCCACATAATCATATCTGTATGTTCAAGCATGTCCGCATGCGCCAAAGAATATTACATGCGCCTATATGTATACACATGGTATAAGCTAGATCATGAAAGGAATAACATTACGTTCGAACGGCTTCCAAGAAGCCGAATCACCGAATTCGTATCACGTAGTACCGCGAGCGCCCACGCCGCGGCGCTGATCGTCGCACGACTGCGACTCGTGAACGATGCCACGATTCCAGATGCACGATGCACCTGCCTAAGCCGAGGCGGAGGAGAGACGCCCAGTGTCCCTTTAATGGAGGATTACAAGTGACAAGCACTGTACCGACGTGTTGCATGCCTTGTCGGATGCAGTGCCAGGGCTTAGGCAGCAGAAGAAAAGCGGATATAAAGAGGGCGACTGCGATCAGAGCTCACAGAAAAGGATCGTCGACGGAATCGGAATTTTATTCGATTTCGTAGAGACACTAAATCAATAAATAATTGACCAGGGAACCGTCCGAGTGAGACGTGAATTTTTATTTTTCATAGTAAAGACAGTTCGTATTTACTTGGCTCGTTCGAAATAGTCGAACTGATAAACCTGCGGGTCATCGCTGCCATTTGAGTCATGGCCAGGATGACATGAATGGCGATAACTTTTGGTAAGTTCACAAGAAGCGTCGCCCGGGATGTACGTCGTGAACGCGATAGGAATCGTCGTGTTTGCCGAGGATCGCAAAAGACAAATAGATAGCAGAGTGCCTGGGCAGAAAATGATCGCTTAAAAAAAAAATTATAGTCGAAGTCGAAAAATAGTTTTTTTTTTTTTTTTCTAAAAATTCCTAAAACGAAACCTTGTTTTTCGAGTTCCCTTCGTCTCACTTGTAGACACGACCTTAACGGCGCAGCTGTCGCTATCGGCGAGTATATCGCCACGTATCAAGTATACGTGGGCAAGTGGATTGGCGTTCGCGTAACGTGTGCAGAAGATGCCAATAGAGAGAGAGAAGAGCGTACAAGGCATTACCAAGCAGCAGGGTATCGTAAAAGGAAGAAACGCTTGACGAGTGAGCAGGACTGAAACGGCGTGATTGCGTGTGGCGCCACACGGCGGAGGAATGATGGCAACTTCTTGACTTGATCGGGATATTGAATCGACGAAGCGAATGAAATTTAAATATTAACGAAAAATAGTTCCAGATACCCTCACGGGGATAAATGGTCGTTCAGTCGCGTCGCTTCGAAGACACATTCGAAATGTACGTGCGGATGGGCGAGCGACCGATGCGCGTTCGGCGCATGCGCGCGTGACGAATTTTAAATGGCCGCTGACGCGTGTCAACGGGAACGCTCGGGGCGTGCAGAAGCTTAGATATAGAAATAACGTCGAGGCTCGCGAAGACAGCCAGGAGCGGGACAAGTTTCTTTTTGCAAGGGCGCTCGTGGCGCTCCGGTGTAATTATCGCGAGAACTGTACGCGATAATTGCTCGGGGGGGAATTTCATCGGCAAGAAAAGCTCGAAGCCGCGAGCCAAACGGAGGACGGACAAGACGGAGGAGACGACGGTGCCGAGAACGGGCGTTTCTTCACGGTCATGATAACTTCCTGATGTTTACATGTACCGTTCCGCAGTCTCGTTTCGCCCATGCTTCCTAGGACTCCGGTATTTGATTATACAGATAGCAATCGTAAAATAAACTGACAATGTTGATTAAGACGATAAGAAGTACCCGTAGATACCAAGCTCAGGTATGTCGTTCTAGTCGAGGAAAAGCACTCTCTTTTTTTTTTTTTACTTTCCTCCCCATACCATATCCATCGCACTGGACAATAACAATAATCCCAGCAACGATAACAGGTTGGATGTTGGAATTTTCATTAAGAAAAAAAAAAGAAGAAAAAAAAAAGAAAAATATCGATTCACCGATGTGGCATTCAGATACGATGCTAATGATAAATAAAAGGTAATTGGACAAAACGAGAAGTCCGACCGAACGGTAATGTTTGTCGGTCATTATTGTAATTATCGAAGGGATTGACAGCTTAATAGAGTGAACGGCTCCGGTCGGGGTAGCTCGTAGCCAAAGAATATTATTCCTCGGACATTCGAACGTGGGTCAGACAGAGATACCCAACTGACAGACAACAGGCACGAACTTGCTCACCGTACGGCCGAGGTATGTACGTATGTACGGGCAACGAAGAGGAAACACAGTCGGCGATTGAAACTGGCGCGGCCTGCTTTCCAAATGATAATGAGTCTCTCTAGCTACGCCTTTCTTTTCAGTCACGGAACGTGGAAGCTGATAGAGAATAAATGATCGTGCAAGGACAAAGAGACAAGAGGGCGAAGCCATCATCGACACGCTGCTCCTTCGCCAAAGGAATATCACGTGGAGGACCGGCCCGGATAATAAGATATCGCGAACAGAAGAGGTAGAAGATGAGAAGCGAGCGAACAAGTGGCAAAGGAGGAAGAAGGAATTAGAAGAATGAGAGAGAATAGTTCCACAGGAACGTCTCAGGGACCCGCATGTGACATACGAGACACGCGGTCTCCCCTCTCACTCTCTCTGCCGACCTTCAGAGACTCCTTTTGCTTACCATCCCTCTGTCTGTCCCCCTCGCTCCCCCCTCTCGATCTCCTTCAAGATTGAATCGTCCGACGGCAGCAGCTGCTCGGTGGTTTTCTTTACTCGTTAATCCATCCTTCCCCGAAGACGTCACGACGCTTAACGACGCCCATGCAGATACACACGTATATCGGTTCGAAAGGAGTCGCTACGAAAATCCGGCCCGAGCTTCGTCGGCAAGGACGTCCCCGAAGTCAGGGGAAAATTCTTGCTTATAACTCGAGTGGTGTCACGTGCATCGCTTTCGAGAAGATAACGTTCCCAGGGCCATCTATCGTCGGGTTCCTCAACTGTTTATTTCCATAAGTGTATCCGCGCGAGACGCTCGTTGATCGGTCCTTGTAACGAAGCGTGTAACCGGGGGCCTTCTACATATTGCAGAGTGCCACCGTGAGGGCCCCCGCTCTTCCGCGTGACGTCCACGTACGTGATAAAGTTCCGCTTGCGTATCAACGTGAAAATAAAGCGAACCCATAACGTCGCCGTATAATCAGAATTCGACTAGGAGCAATATTGACCCATTAGACGTGTTTTGATAGGCGCGGCGTACCGACGAAATAATATTTTGACGCTATGGTTCCACGACTCCGCCGAACCTCGTGGCTTCGCTGCTGTGTAAATAATGACTTGGTAGGGTCAAGTCGCAGTAATAACATCTGCCTGCGCAGCGGGTGCTTCAATGGGTTTTTAACGAGTTGCCGACGTGCATATTTTTACACGTAAGGAGAAACCGAAAGAAACCAAAAAAAAGAAGTCAAAACGGAAAAACATTCGATTACATTTTTTTTCCGAAGCTCCCGACGTACGCTCGATGACGCCTTCAAAGTTACACGAGACGTGCGGGCATTCCCCCCCAACAACTAATAGCCAATGCCCAATCCCAGGAAGCGACAGGTGGCCGTACCGAACGATCACAATGAAAAATTGTCGAAAGGACTAAATTGAAACGAAGGTGGAGAAAAAAAATCACTCTTCGACACGAGATCCGTCAAAAGATACCGATGAATAAAGAGAGGGAGAGAACGAGATACCCGCATAGAGACACACAATTTTGTTCCGAGAAAAATTCTGGGCCCTACGTGGAGCTCGCGACCTGTAGGTTATAACCCAATATTAACGATACTCGACATGAGAATTCCCGTCTATCTCGAAATTATCAAAGGGGCCCCGAGAGAGCTAATTAAGTGCGTGAAGGAGATACACAAACGAAACTGCCCATCATCCACCAAAGTGGGCCTTATTGTCTCGAGATAGAGAAAATCTATCGGTCTGTCGAGCATTGTTCACACGTCGACGAGCGATCCTACGGCTGCCGATACCAACGTGCATTAAGGACGCAGAGTCAAGATAGGCCGCGGTAATGGGCCGTCTGTCGATAATGCTAAGGAAGAAGAGCGCCCCCAGAAGAAGGGCCCATTTCGTACCAACCTGTGCACATCGGATACGCATACGAATGTACCTTCCTAAAACTTGACTTTGGGCTTCCCGCTTAGAGTTACGTTTGAGGTTCGTTAGTGCCGCGACATATACTTTTTATCCAGCACGTAAGGCCCCGACTACACGGACGCACACGGGATGCATAAATTAGCCTTAAGTCGTACGGTCGACATGTTGACTGGGAGACGCAGCTCTCCGGTAATGAAACCATTAATGCTAATTAACCGGCTAATTCTTAATTAACGACCGCGAGCTGGAATCCCTTTTTCGTCACTCCGTGAAAATCCACCGTGCCCTGTACGTATTAATTACGTCATTTGGGCCCCGGCTTCTTACGTAGGACTCTCAAGCCTGCTCCGTTGGCTCTCCTGCTCGGTCCCAATACCGTCTACCTCTATTAGTTAGCTCTGGTACTCACTTTCGACCGCTTGCCAGGAACCTGTCGAACTCCACGGACATCTTGCAGCAGAGCGCCCGACGATTGTGCGACGAGGAACACTTTGTGTTTATCATGTGGCCATCTGAAATAGGATTTATTAAAGAATTAATGAGGGAACGACGTGAGGTGTCTCGTTAAGAAGAATATACGGAATACTAATGAAAATAGTACCTGCTGCCGTAACAGTGAAATATATATATATATATACACAGTGCTTTTCAGAACGTGTCTGCCTTATTTGGATTACGTCCACTCTGTCCGAGAGAGGTAAATTTCTCGTAGTTAACAAAAAAAAAAATTGGTATTACATTATCCGACTGTCCAGTAACCCCACTCGGGGAATGTTATCTTTAGGTATTTTAACGATTCCACCAGTTCTGGCTGTCCTACTAAAAAAAAAAAAAAAAAACAACAGGGTCCTGCTACGGCAGTGTCTGGAGACGTCACTGGCAGGGCTTTGTTTTTCCTTCGGTTGGTACCTCAAGTCAATGAAAAAATCGTTAAAACTTGCACACGACAGAATCGATTGCTCGGGTATTTCTGACTAGTGAAAAATATTAGCCGATCCAGCCGATCATTAATCTCGTGCTAACCCGGCCTTAATGTATCTTCGGGTAACGCTATACTCCGTTTGACGTGGAACGGTCGGGCAGAAACGGTAATACCTAAGGAGTTCGCGATGAAGGTGGAGGATCGGAAACCGGTGCGGTGCGCGTGTTCGGGTCAAATGTCGGCCGGTGCCCGAGGGGCTCGCGTGCGCCTCAACCTCTCCCAACGATCTTCGTACCTCCGCCGCGCCGATTGCCCGGGTAACCTTTGTCCATGGAATTCAAGACTTCCGAGTCCTGGTTAAATTAAGGCGACCGGGACCCTGGTCAACGGGGTATCTCAAACTGGGGTCATCCGTATGACCTGGGACCACTGTCTACGATTATGGTCGCAATTAGTCCGAGTTCATGAACTTGAAACTTGCAAAAAATAAAATCCGCGATCGTCGGTTTCCAGAAGTATTTAAATTGAAATAAAAATTTATGAAAAAAAAAAAAAAATGAAATTTGGAAAAAATTTTTGGCCAAGAAATTTTTAACCGGTTAAAAAAAAATTATATTACTGCTACGCCAATGGATCTTTTCGGGACTCAGGACTGAGGCCAGATCCTAATTGCGACGAAGATAGCGTCGTACTTATTTACGAGGGGTTACGCAACGTAGAGATGAAGTTCGAAGAGGATTTCAAGGATGGAAACGTCCCTTTCTAGTTGGAGGACAAGCTTCAAAGGGAAGACTCGAGGCAAGGAAGAGGGTAGATAAAATTAGATAAACCGTATTGTAATTCTTTTTTTTTTCTCTTCAAGGACTTGACCCAGACTAAGCACAGGATAATGGTTAAATGACAAATGATAAAATCTTACGAATGATCGACGATCATTGCCAGAGGCCCGCAGGCGTTTGCTTTCGCCTGTAATTATCGTGTAAACGAGAGCGTTCATTAAGCGTTATTACAGTGCGTGGATGAGGAACGCGGGTTTCGTGATTGCTCGCAAGGAGACGCCAGCCGTCGATTTCTTTCTTTTAGTTTACGTTTTCGCTCGGGCCCCAAGGGTACGTGTACTTGTACGACGCTTCTGTTTCTGCCTTTTTGAATAACGGTCAGCATAACAGCCCACCCCGGAGGGGATGGGATCCCATTTTAATGTGAAGGTATACGAAGCGTGTGGAAAATATTTTCAAAATTCGTCGTAATAACTCGTTTCAAAATACCGACAAGTACGCTTTTGTATAACCTTAAAATATTCAAACTATATATATATATATAAATCGTAAAACACTAATATACTCACTCGTTTGATTCTGGAAGTACGGATCGTCCCGATCGGTAAAGAACCACGTCTGTAAAAGAAAGCAAAAAGTTATGATTATCGTTTCGACTGAAAAAAAAAATATATAAAATTACTATGAAAATTACTATTCGCGTGCGCAGCAATTCCAAGAATTGACATGACCGCACGTGTTCGTGTCGGCTTATCGGAAAATCCGTCCGAGCTTGGTAGTTGCATTATGATTATAAAAAAAAAGGATTATAAAAAATAAAAACTGCAACACCCTGGCTCGGACACGGCAGACCATAGTTCGGTCCGCCATAGGCGAACGGCGCAGAGTATGTGTAATTTGCGCAGCTGCACGTAACCGATTATTTGTAAGAAACAAACGCGCGTAAACAAGTCTTCCCATTAAAGCATCGTCATAAACGAATATAGAAAAGTGAACTTACGCCGATTGTAACGTAATATACGTACACGTAGATACAATAATCATGCAGACTGATCTGAGAAGTAGTAGGTATTCCACAGGGTTCCCCTATCCCGACGTGCACCCTGGCATCTGGCCTGTATATGGTTATGCCGTTACATGGCGTAGGAGTAGTAATGCCGAGCATATGTTCGTGCCAGTCCTATTTTTAGTAACTCCAGTGAGTGTCTTTAGAAAATTACACGTTAGAAAGACAGAAGGATACGTACAGACACCTCAGACCAGTAACAAGGATCGCGCTCGGTCGGTAAAAACTGTCACTGTGCAAGCGGTAGGCAGTAATCCAATATGGCCGCCGCCACTACGACGCGAGTCAAATAGTTCCCCGTTAAAACGGCGTTAAAACTAAATACAGAGTAAAAATATTTAACGACGAAACTGCACGACTCGATCGTCAGTAATAAAAAGTGGAGTTAACGACGTAGGATATATTTTGAATTATCCACAGACCCTCAGACTGTTGTTAGTACGAATAGAGGACACCGGCGCGCTGATTCCGGCCTGACTCTTATCTAATGTAAAACAAAGCGTGAAGAGGTCGCCGTCACGCGAGCCAAGGGCTGTCTCATCAGCGTTCGCAGAAAGAAAACTAATCCGTCAACACAGGCCCTGACAAAAAGATGTCATATTCTCTTCGTAAGTCTCTCTCCTTGCTAGTTCCGACTGTTTCCGTCCTTCTCTCGCGCACACTCCACGTGTATACCCTATCTCTGTTTTTCGCTCTCTACACGAAATATATATATCTTCCCTTCCTTGGTTTCTCTCTCTGTCACACTCACTATCCTCGCTGGACGCTTCGCATAGAATATGGCGTGACGTAAACCGTCGGCATCGGGCGTCACGTTACATCGACATAATTATATTAATCGTCGCGAGTTCTGCCAGGCTGGCACCGTGCGGATTAGCCACGTCAGTGCCGTGGAGGCCATTTTCAGAAACATGGGGATTGAAATTGAAGGCGACTCGCGTCAATTCGACAAATTCTACAGCAGCGACGACTCCGGCAGTCATTTGTACATGCATTTCAAAGTGGACACGGACGCAGAGGTAGCGCTGTAGAAAAAGTGAAATGGAATTGGCCTTAACGAAATTCCCTATTCCACGTTACACTACTGTTATACAGGGTGCGAAGGTAAACCTTATAAATCTTTTTTTTTTTCTTTCTTTCGCAGATCTCGAACCTCAAATTCCTTCACGGCTCTGCTGCTCGGATTTATTGAATGGACAGGCGAGAAAGGAAAAAGTGATTCATAGACGGATGACGCACCACTGAATAGAAGCTCCATACGACTTCCCTAAGCTAGATTATATATAGGGTGTATAAGAGATTTAAAGAATTTTTACAAGGCTCCTCTATATACTCCTACGTCTTCAAAACGTTTACGTTAGGGAGCCAGAGTGTAGAGACGCGTGCAGTCATCATTATAATTAATGGATAAACACACTTGGACTCTTCGACTTGTATACGTACACTCGGGAGCGCAGTAGGCAGTGAACAGTGTATTACCCACCGTATGTTGCACAAGAAACATTAAGCCGTAAGGGAATCGAAAGCTGTTTTTAAAATAGAGGGTGCAGGTACCGGGTGAACAAAAAAAATTGCACGAGACTCGAAGCTTTACGGAACTACGTCAAGAGCCAAATAAACTGCCGATAATTGACCAATTATCATCCACGGGCTGTTACGAGGCTTAAACGTAGCCTTCGAAAATTGAAGGGTCGGTAAAACAGAGTCACTCGGTGTAATAGCCATCACGAGAAGCTTTGATTGACAGTCAAAGATTCTACGTGTCCCGTGGGGTAGGAGCCGAATGAACCAGCATCCCTTTTTCGAGTAAACCTAACCTCCAAACCCAACCGAACCGTAATTCCATCCTTATTAATCCAATAGAACCGAATGACTCCACGCTATGAGTGGTGCCTAAATTTTTTTTTTCAATAGAAAAAATTTACACACTTTCCGTGCCAGTCTAAAGAAAATATACTAGTCCTTAAGGAACAATGGATAGGAAGCACCCCCTGTTCGGGGATCTTGAAATATTGTGGATCAAAGGAATAATGCCAGGGAGGAACGTGCTAACGAGGACTTCCCATTCGACACAGCGAGACCTAATTATTCTCTATTAGCACGTGTTAATGCCCATTGTCACGGCGAGGCCAAAGAATGGCCAGTTATTATTCTTATTGTTACCAAAAGGAGACGCCGTGCGAGCCGGCTCGTAAAACTTTGTGAATTCAGTCCGTGTCGATGTTTCGCTGGCAGGATTATTAAAACACGTATTAGCACGGGGTATACGACGTACTAATCGTCGAAACAATACGTGACCTCCGGCAGGAGGGTAAGGGAGGGGTTCACCTGTATCCAATTTGGAAATGAAACCCAACACCCGACGGCTACCTGGCCGCCTGAACTGCCGCTTGTCTGCCGGGTTCGCCTTCTTTGACCTCTTCCATCCTTTATTCCCCCTTTAACCTATAACACCGAGTGACTCTGGGCGTGCAAGATCTCGTCACGAGATAGAGCTCATCTCCACCTCCGCGAAGGCTCAATTCACCAGGTTCGATTTAACATGGACCCACTTAGGGATATTTTCGAAGTGCAATTCGAGAAATTTTTTTTTGAAAAAATTCTACGCAAATCGTTTTTCGAAAAACTGTCTAATTCGATAAAAAATATATTTTGAGAATTTAATTAAAGGTTTTTTTTTTTTAGAAAAAAATCATTTTGCGTCGATCAGAAATAATATGTTGTTTCAAACGGTTTGTCGACGCACCGAGATCTATAGTGCGTTCACGTTAACTTCGTCCTTACACCTGGCTTATACATCGTGGAGAATCTAAGGTCGATCCTCCTTGGTCAAATCCACGTACAGCGACTAAGAGTCTCGAACGCACGCAAGGAACACCTGGCGCGAGCGCAGTGTCTATAGTCATCCCGTGTGTGTGTATCTGGATACACAAGATGAGAGCCGTTAGTGCGGTACATATCGCGGGATCATTTAATTATCGAGGAAGAATAGGTGAAAATATGAGTTCGGTACGCGAGTCGCTGGCAACGCGAGGTCGTTGAGGTCGAAAGGTAAAGCCGTGAGATATTCCCACGAGAGCGAACCGAAACGGCACCGTTGGTTCCCGAGCACCCATTAACGCGTAGAAAGCCGAGTCCGGCCGAGGATGTACGTAAAATATCAAAGGAAATGAAAACTGGGACCAGTTTCTGACGATTAACAATCATTCGAACTAACCGCGCACCTGTGAGAGCTCAAGACGGATCTCCAAGTGTATACATATACACAGCGCGACTATATATCGACGCGTCTACAACGATATTCGTACAAATTATATATACCGAACAAATTGCATTGAATATACACTAGAGAAATATAAATGCGCACGTCCTGTCTCGCGCGATGCTACCACACGAGTCGTTACATAGAAACGTCAATCATTGTCGCGTCATAAGCCCAATATTAACAGGTTCCCATGGCAACGGCATTAACAGTGATCCATCGACCGTGGATACCGGTAGAAAAGATTTTAAAAAATCGGCGAGTCATCGATCGGTCTTACGGTGAGATCAATGAAAGAAATAATAAATGTTATTTTAATAACAAAAAAATAAATAAAAACTTCCACTCAATTCGAAATCACTTTACGTGTCTTCGGCCTTACAGTCCGATCCTCGATTCGCCATTATTCCACCTAGTTTCCACCAGCGTCCTCTACTGCCACCCTACGTCATCATCTTCCTTGGTCCGTTGCCTTCCCGCCCAGCGGATACACAATACACGCAATTAGCCGAGTGGAGATAATATCTCCGCAACTTCTTCTTCCTCGTCCTCCTCCTCGGCATCGACTCCAGGTCCAGCTATCCAGAACGCGGAATGGTAGATGCCCACAATTTAAGTTGCCCCAGGGAGAAGCTTGTTCCCACGGAAGGTGCTCATCGCGTTCCTTGTATGGTTCGCACTGTTTTTAATTCTACGGTTTCTATAGAGACTTGTCCAGGGTATACCCGTAGCGGGTGCGTGAAGTTGCTACGAGTCCGTCGGACGAAATTCGTCCTGGACGATAACGATAAATACCCGATGCCAGAGCCAAGATGAATTCCGAGCATCGAAGCTACTGGCAGGAGGATCATCGTACGTTGGTCGTTTAGCCATTTAACTCGGAACATCGTCATCTGCTCGGATTAACCGGTTCAACGAGAGTACTTGATAAAACGTTACGAACCTGATCCCGAGCGAATTGGAACCACGTGGCGATGATGGCCGGCAGCCTGGAATGATGATAGTGCCGTGTGGTTTTCACGCTGATGAAGAGATCTACGAGATCCGTTGAAAAGGGTGCCATCGTAGCCGTCGCTATCGGCGGTGTCACCGGTGCCGGCTCTTCTGCCGATAGTCGCGCCATCGGGATCTCGATCACGACATTGCTGTTCGCGTCCTCAGTCTCGTCGATCCACTGTGGGTAAAGAGGGAGACAGACATTAGTTAATCGTTATTTCCAGCATTGGGAATCTATGACGGTTTAAATATTTAACTATTGCCGCGCTTTTTTCCATCTGTACGTAAGCTGCTAGAAATTATCTATTCGTATGGTAAGCTCGGATTTCTATGCGAGACACGTCAGGGATCGATCTGATTAAAACTGGGTACTCGGTAAAAACATGCACGGACTGGTTAACGTACTTGACAACCTTCGGTAAACCGCTAACCATGCGCACGCGGCATTCACTCGGATTGTTATAACAGAATAAAGTTCTTACACGTAGGATTCTGGAATATCGCAGAGTGCGTTGAATAAAATAGTAAATACAAACCTGACACTCGCGTTCCGATTCAAGTATTGCGTTTAAGCGTAACTGTCATTTGCGCGAGAAATTCAGACGGCTTGATATGGCTTTACGATTAAAGAATACGATGTTAACGGAATTTTACGATTAACTAAAGAATCCGCGGACGATACTATTTATGATAAGTTTGTAGAACACTGGTGGAGTGTACTGTACTGTAATTACCTGTCGCGGTGCAACGGCCTGATAAAGAAGAATGGTCGCATAAGCCGTCGCCAAGACGAGCGCCAGTGCCTGAAGGCCTCGTCTAGTTGGCAAACCACGAGGCATTTTGGCTGCTTGATTTATCGTGCCGGGGGGCCCGGAGCCTAGCAGCACACGGCCCTGGGCATGGGGCCCCAATTTTAGCCCTTTATCCTCCCCTTCTCGTTTATCCCTCTTGTCGAGCGTCACTACCAACCACTCCACATCGCTGCCCTCCTTCGTCTTCTCGCCAGAAAACACACCGGTCATAACACAAACACCTAGTGTCCAGCTTGAGCCCGCAGAAACAAAAATTTACTGAGGTTTCAAGAACTGCACTGTTGAAATGTGTCTAATCTTTTACGTGACGATCCTTTTGAGGATTCACGAAATTTCTCGATCACTCGCGATCGAACTTCGTGCCTCTGTCTTTACTGATTTTCTTTTCTCACTGAATATCGTGTCTCTGTTTTGACTACGGAAATATAATTACTTCTATTCCTACGGGGATGCCGTTTGACAGGACGGATACGGGTTTATTGTCCGGCAGAAATTACCTTTTTTTCACACTCCGACATCGCTATTCATTACTCCGATGTCAACTTTATCAGCTTCGTCCCTTTGGTCTCGACTTCAAACATATCTGATTGCGATTTCCATCAGCTGACGTTGATTCACGTTATCGTCAATCATTCAAACACGAACTGTCAGTGGTACGATTGTCCCAAAAATCCTATGACATTCACGTTTCTATCTTTATCGTGAAAGCACAGTTCTTATAAATCAATATTCCCACAACTTCCGCATGACAGGAACTTTATAAAATTTACTGAGAGTCAGGAGTCTCGTAGCGCGAAAATCGGATATAGAACAAATTTTATTCTACTTCCACTCACTTCTTTATACTCCTTCGAGAGTCCGTGTTGTTTATATGATATTTATATACAGTAAATAACTGTCTTCACTTAATTTATCAGAGCGTTATTGGTGCAATTTTAATCGCGCAGGCACGAGTGGCATTAATCGAGATGAAAAGCGCGCGCAACCCAAAGAACTACCTGCTCGGTGCGCGACAGAGCACCTACTGAACACATGGACGCTCGTCGTAACTACACTGTAAACATCGGCATGGTAGGCGGTCGCCCTGTTCGCTGATTGGTAGGGGAACAGGGTGAGCCGGCTAATGCGCCAGAGTGGGGAGAATGAACGGAGGATCAGTGGGAGAAAACTAAGCAGGGTTGAAAAAGTTAAATATTTGTGTGTAGGAGAGGAAGTTACGTTGCTGTATAGAAGTAAAGTAGACTAGATGTTTTTGAAGGATGTAACTGTATATGACAATAACACCAGTCATTGGGAAAGAAATCTAATTCAAGACTCTTGCCCTTTTTACTTCATTTTTTTGCTTGCTTTTACGGGTTTCTCCTAGCCTCTTTAGATTTTTCCTGACCCTCGTTGATTCATTGACTCGAGACGAAATGTTGCTTTTTTTGCCTTTTTCTTTTTTAGGTGTTTTTGTCTCTTACGAGTAACAGATTTCGTGACACATTTTCATCGGCGACGTTACACTGGTAAAGACGCCTATTACCCTTTTGCTTTGATGCTTGATAAGTTTATGATATTTTTTTTTTCTTTGAAATAATTATTTGCCACGCAAAGAAAAGTAATGGAATATAGAAATAAGCCTGTGCCTGATAAATATAATCCCTTCTTAATTTAAAGTATTTGTGGATTCATCAATTTTCATACGGTATAGCATTAGTCATATTAAAACATAGACAATCAGCTAATTGACCAGGTTTGTCTTCAATCGACCGTTATTGACCGCTATCAATTTGTATCACTACACTCTAGCGCACTCTGTGTCTAAGGTGCGGATGAACGATGAACTATATCAAACACTACAAGTCCACACTGTCCATGTAAAATCATACATTTCCCTTTGCATACTTTCTTTTTCAAACAAACCACCTTCAGTTTTCCACTTGTCCGCATGTAGATAATTAAAGATATGTGGCTAAAAAAGTTTTTAAAACTTATGTTACAAAACACTGCAGATTCCTACATAAATGAATGTCGATAAGGTCATTCTCTACATTTCCATTAGACCGTCATCCGTCAACTTTTCATTACATGCATACCTCAACGATATTTTATTAAATAAAGCAACAGACAAGGACAATAATGCTAAATAAATCGTGAATGAATCCGCATTAGAAATATCATTACATTTTAATTATTGAGATTGTTATATTTACATTTGTACATAATTGAGTGCATTTTTATCACGTAAGAAAAAGAATTACAGCAGTCGATTATCGGTACCCCAGCCGTGTATACGGATAAACTCGTACAGAAACTTGTGACGCTAGAAAAGTGAGACTGCGTACCTTCAATTTCAGGCACATTTTCTCTCGAAATATAAATCAGTGCCTTTTAAAAACGATGCGTCACATCCTTACGTACGACCGATCGAAGAATCGCATAATAAATATCCGCAAATAACGTGATCAATTATCGCGCACTATCACCGAAAGTTTCTCCGCAAAATTTTCCACAAATAAATATAAATCGACGTCACTCTCACGGAACGGCTGTCGCAATTGCGACGCCAATCACGATGCATTATTTCCGGTACGTTCATCGCACTCCTACTATTCACGTGGCTCTTCGACGCAGCAACACTATACTATTGTACAACTTTATCGCAGGTCCGAGTCGCAAACCCAACAAGGATACTAAATCTTCCTGAGTTAGCATTAAAAATGCTTCGCCGTCGATACTCTGAGAATGAAGAAATAAAAGTCAAACACCCCGTGTTGTACTTTCGTGCAGGAAACATTGTTATACTATTAATAAAAATAATTCTGCTTACCTGCTTTCGAAATATACTTCCAATCTCCTTGCAATTTGGAACGCTCTGAATGAACTTTATTACCTCCTCGTTCGACCATCTCCGTGGATTAGTATTCTGTCTGGCTACCACTCTGTTAAGGGCGTTACTGTGCTTGGCCCATATATGTGGAGCATCCGGTAACGGATTGTATCCCGGATTATATACAGAATGATAGAGTTCCGTTCTGAGTTGTTTATCTGGCATATTTACTGCGTAAGGAACGCTTATGACAGTAGAATCGCCGAAAGCTGAATTGGACAGTGACATATTGGAGTCCTCGTATACTTGTCGCCTGTAATTGTTATTAATAGTAATTAGTACACAGTACAGAATGGCATCTCGTATGCAAATAACGAATGCTCATGGCGGAAGGACACTAGCTAACTGATGAACGACACGCGCACCATGAATATGCCGAATTGCAAGTAGGTGAAAGGCGATACGGTAAATTCAGAGAGACCAACCATTGATAATTAAATATCGCAGGTAATAAAAGAAAGTTTGTAACTTACCTTTTTTTCCGTTTCTTCCCCAACTCATCGTCATCCGTTTGTCCGTCGCTATGATGATTCCGCCATTTTGTCGATGGTCTAAAATTATACAGTTTTTATCACATATCTCACATCTTGCTCTATCTACATGATTATTATATTTCAATAATTACTGACCTTTCAAGAGATTCTGGTTTTTCATTTTTATCCGAGTATTCGGCATCCTCTTGCTTTATATCCTTCTCCGTTTTTATTGGCTTTTCTTCTGTTGGTAATGGCTTCTCACATCTGTCCGACTTCTCAGCTTTTATTCTCTCCGTCCTTGACCTTTCCAATAAATCGTCGTCGAACTCGCACGCCTCGTGCTTGACATTCAGTCTATCCGGTATCGCTCTGACTTTATGAAGATTTTGTGGCGAATAGGGACAACCTGATGGAGAATTGTGTGTCGCGAATTTTGGGCCTTTTATGTGACCTATACCCCGACATCCAGGTGTTCCACACTCAGGTCGTTCATTTAACTGTTCAGCCGCTACGCAAAAACAAACAAATTAATCTCTACAGATCCCGTTAAACAAAAAAAAGTGCACAAGATTTTCTTAAGGAGAATTTAGTTTAAAAGTTAACAATGTTACTCACTTAATGGCGGTTCTAATGGATGCCCAGTCTTGAGGCACCATCCCATGGGATAGATATCCAAGGAATCGTCATCGACCCAATAGGCGTGATTCTCTGGCCAACCGTCAAATCGTATTTTAATCCTACAACAAAGAGAACAAAAAACAATGTCGCTTTAAATAAAACGTCGCAAGAGAGTATAGACACTGAACTCTTCAAAAGTTATGCGATTACTAGTTGTAGTGAAGTATTAGGCATGATAAGAAATTAGGACACATACATGTGGTCTTTAACATCTTCCACAGTTGCTACTCTGATAAGCTGAGGAACTCGTTTGTCAACGGCTTCAAGTTTCATGCCTCGTTTAAAACCGCATGGTGGCCTCTGCTTGAATGCTCGCGCGGGGGCAGCACTCGAATCGGTCTCCTTAAGATAGGTCTCCCAGGTAAACGACTTGGGATCTTTATAATCTAACAGAAATACACACTGAGACATTCTGAGTTTACAGAGAATGGAAGAATATTAAGTATTGAAGGAATTTCATGTACCGTTTGGAGGCGTTAAGCTATGACCATGATGAAGACACCACCCTACTGGATGAATATACGGCGAACTTGCATCTGCCCAATAATCATATACCTCGTCCCAGGAATCGAAATGAACCAAAATACGCGAGTCCATTAATCCAGCTATACTAGCGACACACACCAGAGATGAGTGTTTCCTATCTACAGCTTCTAATTTCATTCCAACCCGGAAACCAGTTGGGAAGAGTGCCTGGAATTCAAATTAGACAATAAATGCCACTATTGTCATAACGTGGAGTTAAGCAGAATGAAGATATTTCAAAATAATTACCGTCGTGACGTTCTTATTTGCAAAAATTATCTTCGGTGCTGCTGTGGCCTTACATATTTTCAGATATGCATTCCAATTGAAATTATTCGCTACGTATCCCCGTGGTGGATCTAAACGATGGCCATTCTTTTCTGACCAACCGACGGGGAAGATATCCATGCTATCTGCGTTTACCCAGAAATCGTTATTTTCCGGATAACCATCAAAGTGGAGACGTATCCGGTATCCCATAACTTCCACCACAGTAAAGACGCAGTATCGTGATGGATGCTCCGGATCTATACCTTCTAGTTTCATGCCAACCTTAAACTGGTTTTTACTATAGGGGAATGCGTTCTTGAACAACTTGACAGGTGCTGCTTTTGCTTTTGTGTGCTCCAAGTATTTTGCCCAGGAAAAACCTAGTTTCCCTGTTTGCCATGGATACTGAAATTAATTACTAAGTATTACGCCAAGGGCATTTGATATTATGAACATTTTTTTTAATTCGTAAGAGAATATCACTTCTTACCTTGGACTCCGAGGATTCTCCTTGACTCTCATCTTCGATTCCTGTTATCGACATATCTTTAGTGTCTTCGTCAGTTTCGGATTTCGGTTTCTCGGAAGATTTTTCCTCTGGCTTCTCTTCCACGTCTTTAGACTGCTGCTGCTCCTGCAGCAATCTCTTACGTTTTCGTTTGGCACGCAAATCTCTGATTAGGAAAGTATTTAAAAAATTGGTAAGGATTAATCGCGGGTTAATCAGATTGAAAAACTTTGTTCTATCCCTTTGCCAACTTACTTGAGATCCTTTTCCTTGCGCATCATCTGCAATTTCTTGGCTTCTATTATCTCGGTACAGGATGGACTGCACGAAATAAGACTCTCGAATTCCGCAGCCAAGCCGTAGCAGCCGCAACTCTCACAGCAATAAATTGTGTCGGCCGAAACAGCCCGGGTTTTTCTATCTTCGGCTATTGACAATAATTTATTTTAAATAAAACAAAGAAATAAGGGAAAAAATTAGAATTACAACACATTAAAAAGACTTACATTTTTTCTCAGTACTGACAGTGGCAGGACTTGACTTCGAAGTATTCTGAGTTAAACATACATTCTCTTTATCGCCAATATTGGAATCTTTATCTTGCTTATTATTGTCATCCTCATCCACAACTTCCATCAAACCAAACTCGTTCATGCAAAACTATAATTAACACAATTAATACTTATTATGAATTAACGTCATTTACACTTATTTGTGTACAAGAGTATCTTGCCAACTGGCACGCACCTTCAAAGTACTGCCAGGTAAAGTTCCCACGCCATCCTTCCAATCCAAAACTTTGGTGGCATCGAAATTCGGATCGTTTTGATGCGTCGTATTCATGTGCTCCTTGGACTCGTCACGTGTATTAACTTTGGCTTCACCATTGCTCTCAGATATCATTTCGACCCCGCTGGACGTTGCTGTCTTAATAATCTCAATCTTTATTTCATCGTCCATCGATGAGTTTAATTTTGACGATTTATCCTCGCTCTGTATCACCTTTATCAACGTGATGTCGTCGTCATTCTGCGATTTCTTATCCTTGTCCTGTTCAGATTCAGGACTGCTCAGTGCGTAACTGACGTCGACAATACCTTCCTGTGATGATTTCGGTATACTCTGTTTTTTTATACGCTTTTCACTGGAACCTCGCAGTATATTGCTTATAGTTTTCTTTCGTTTTTCAGGCGGATTTCCTCCGTCGTCTTTTTTTGGAATTGGTGTAATAACAGCTGAGTCAGGATTTTCTGTTATCTTTATACTATCCGAAGAATTGTTGCCACCCTTGCTGGCGGTAAGTAAACTCATTTTGGTGATAGGATGCAGTGGCGGCGGATGAGTCGTGGAATTCGTTGTTTTTGATTCTCGCAAGACTGTTATCGATAAAAAAATAAAGCGTATTAAACAAAATCATGTAAATATACATTTATCGTGTAATCATTGGTAACCATGCTACGTTCTTCTCTGCGCAAAGGAGTATTGCACTAGAATGTCATTTTTCTGATTGACTCACCCGTTATAGTTCCTTTACTGTCTGTACTGATCTGACCATTATTGATCTTAAGATTGAACATTCCTTGTTTCGTAGGACCGCTCTGTTGCGGAATACTGACGGGTAGTAACAAATTTGCCATGTGTTTACCCGGTTGACTCTGAGAGCCCGAAGTTGTACTCGTCGACGTCTGCGCCAATTGCGATATCACAGGTGTGATCACAAGTTTCGGTTTAGTAATTTGTGTGGTAGACAATGCACCTGATGAAAATAAAAAGTCATTAAAATACATGATTATTGTTATTACTTATAAACTTCGTAGAAAGTCTAGCGCGTGAAGTAAACGAAAATGCGAAAAACTGTATAAATGTGGAATTTGATTAACGGAATTTATATTGCATGCATAACTACATGCGACCACAAGCAACCGGGCAATTGCTACGTTAGGATATTAAAATCACTGTTATAATATAAATCGTCCATTGTTATTACATGCACTAGACACGCAAATAAAGAATCTCGAACTGTTGCAAATACATAAATCAAATGACGTAACACAACGTCATCGATTAGGACAACCTAAATAATTTTTTATTCGATGCTTTTTTTTTGTTTTTCCATTATTTTTTCACGAAAAATTTATGTAACCCGTTCTCGTTCGAGTATCTAATACTAATAGACATTTGAGTGTCGTGTAATAATATTGTAAGTGACGTGCGCTTATCACCTGCAGGTATGACAACAGATTCTCGGGACTTATTCGGCTTGATAAGAGTACCAAGATAGGCGAAGGTGTGTTTTCCTGCCTGAGCGTGAGCTTGAGTTCCTTGGGATGTATTAAGTGGCACAATCTGAGCTGTCGAGGTGTTCGACTTTCGTAGGAGTATGTGCTTCTGGCCCTGCGTGGTTGCCGTCGTATTCCCGCTACTAATTGGACGATGAATGACAATGTGTTGTTGCTTACTCTGTGACGTAGTTACCTGCCCAGGACTTTGTATAAACACTTTGTTTTGTCCTGTAACAATCTGGAACAAAAGGATGACAGGTTTTCCTTGATATCGTCTTGTGGAACGAATCATGACAATCTTTTATACATTTCTTTTCGCCGCTTCTTTTTTTCGCTCTCGAGAGAAAGTGTAGAAGTTACTAGAAGCCCTGACAGTCTCTCACAATTTACGAAGCAGCTGAGAAACTCCTGGGACGTGAAACAATGATAAAATCACTTTATAGTGGGCGATTGGTTAAATTTTTTGTTGTACGGTACATTTGTGTTGGTCAAATTAATGTTTACGTTTGCAGCTGAAAGTTTAAACATGAACCACTTGCTATTAGTTACGATATAATGCATAATTCAATAAAATGTAAAAGAGTAAGTTTGTCTATAAACTAAAAAAACTTGATATTATACTTATCAAAAACATATTAGTAAAAGTATATGATTATATGTATGTCTCAGGAATAATTACGATGCATAATTAAAAAGGGAATAAAAAAAACTGAGGTAAACGATACATATGTGATTGCGGAAAATTCATCATATTGTTTAATTAATATTTGTTTTTACTCAATGTCTGAAAATAAATAATTATATTCATTAGAGAAATGACATAGTAGTTATAAATATTAATGATAACTGTGGCAGACGTTCTGTATTCATGATTAATATTACAATTATGGCAACTACAGGGAAATACAAATCTGTATCAAATAGTGAGAATAAACTTATATAAAAACTCTTGTCAGTTTGAATACTAATAATACATCTGTTTTGAATAATACAGTATATTAAATATTAAATTGCACTATTGAAGTAACTGCCTATCACATCAAGTACTATCTATTACAAAATAAATCTATAGTCTGAAATAATTTGTTGAAGAATAAGAATAATAATTATTATAGTAATAATAATGATATTAATAATAACATGATTAAGAATATAAGTCATACAATAGTTTTAGCGTTCTTACCTGATTATTAACTGGATTGATTATGGCGGCAAGTTGTGTAGTAGCTGGTGAAACAATAGTTTGATTATTGGTTGATGATTGACCAGAACGCAGTTTACCTTGCTGTATGTATAGCAAAGGCATAACATGCGTAGTTGGATCTTCAGACTGTGATGTCTCTGCATTATTACTATTCTCTTCCATATCATCCACCACTATTTCATCATCCATTCTGAGAAGAAAATTCAAAGTTTTCGAGAATTGCAGAATTTACACCACTACCCAATAGAATTATAACAAAACTTTAAAAGTAATGAGAAAGTGCTCTAATATCTATTGAAGTATCTCAAATTTGTTCAAACTCCAAAAAAAAAATTTTAAATCAAAAAAGAATATAAATATTCCAATATAAGTATGTATTGATTATCATACTAGATACAAAGTAATACACAAACAAACCTATATTTAATATATAAATCACGTCGATTAAATCAAATTAATGTAAAAACTCCATAAAACAGAGTGACGACAATTCAATGTCTCAATTTTCCACGATAATAATTATCCACTAAATTGACCAGTAGAACATGAGTAAAGCCAATTACTTCAAAGCAGAGCGTTAATGGCAATAGCTAACTAGGATTTAAAAGGCGCGCCAACCGATAATCGAGTAGCTAACGATTACGTTATTGCATTTGGCACATAGAAACAATAAGACTCTGCGAAAACTTGTTCTGAATAACAAAAAATCGACGTTCAATTGAAAACTCAATGCAAGTAAGGAACGCAAATTTAAGGTGTCTTCGTTCAAACGCTTTTGCAAATTGTTCGTCGCGCATCACGAACCACTCGACAGCACCGTCCGCACTCAGAGTTTTCACTGGTAAAACCCAAATTTTTCACTCCGAAAGAAACCCTGCAGAACACAACTAAATAAATCGTCCCTTGGCCAATTGCCGGCCGACAATTGACACCCGGAGCACAACAATAATAACGAGTTTAGAACAAAAATTCGCCTATGCCTTTAGAGCATTCGAGTCTTGCTGTCTGCACGCTACAGCTCAGTCCTCATAGGTCCGGATTGTGGTAGCGACGGCGCGACAGAAATTACTGTGATTGGTTGTCGGACATGGCCTCGTGAAATTCATTTCCGGAATTCACCTATCACATAATATTAGTGGAAACTTTATTACCAATGCTGCAGCATCATGGCATGCTCATACTAATTTTTAAACTGTAGAAACAGTCGATATATTATATGATATTTTCAGTTAATTTCACTTTGTCCTTCGTTAGTATGCGTTCGAACAAAATGGCGGATATTCGAACTGTACTATGTAAAGCATAATGTAAAGTAACGTTTACTGCACTGCACTGCGCTCTAACGGAACAATTTTACTTGAATCTTTTAACAAAATTCATGGATTCTATAATCTTCTATGTGATCCTAAGATTCGTTGTGTACGAGACCTAAGTGGTATCGTCTTGATTTTATTGTTGGGACGTAAAGGGCGTGTAAAGATCAGTATTTCGCGTTGAAAATTAACCAATAGAAAATTGTATACGGTATGACGTACTATTGTCATCGCTTTCTGATTGGTCTAATTTAGCATTTACAGAATCGTAGGGAACGAACTTCTCTTTGAAACGTGAATCACTAATATTCACTGTTTTGTATAGTTTTTTGCGCGTAGAAAAATTAGTATATTAATTGGAAACCTTCTTTTAAGTTGAAAACGCAAAGAATAACCAAAATTTCGAATTCTTTTAAGCTAGCGTGTACCCCGTATATTGTTACATGCTACAAACATATCGAGCAATAACCTCCAAATTTGTAAAACAGGACCACCATGAGATACGATTTTTATCGATTAGTCAGCCGTAACGTTTGTAACCTGTATCGATAATAAACACTGTCCGACAAATGTGATACAATTAACAACAAAATGGAAAACTGTCATCGAAACATAATCCCGTAACATTTGTGTACTATAATTAGAATACACTCTACAAACCAATAAATTTCAGTGATAAACCGAGAAGCAGTGCATTTTAAATGTAAAAATAATCATGATCAATATGGAATTAAATTAGCACATAACTAGAGAGTACCGACGTTAACCTAATACAATTTCGGACACCACGGCAAAGCGTGTCGATATTTTTAGCTATCTTTCACAATCATTGAATTTCTTACTTTTTTTTTTAGAATATACATAAATTGTCAGTATGCAAATAAAAAAAAAAGTAACGCGCTGATAAATTACCTTACGTTTGCTTCCACATAACAAATTCTTTTATCGCTCATATACTACAACTATATCCTAATAGAAAAAAAAACATGTGACAGAATATATTAATTATCTAAGAATACACGAAACATAAACATAAGGATTGAGTATCTGTAACGACTCTACACAGTGTTCACTACTGTTAAACGTAAATTCATAATTGAACTAAACACGATAACGTTAAAGAATATTGAAAAAATATATTACAATCAGTTACATTATCAGATTGTATAAGTGGGCAGGCCACGATGGACGCTCTAGTATTACGAATTTTCTAAGTACACGGTGCTAAGTTGCGGGAGGCTTTTATACATATACTTACTGCAATAAATGAATGTTGCTCTAACGTATTCTGCCTGAGAGTTTAAATAATTAAACGCTTTAGCCCGTGGACACGGGAGACTCTTTCTACCCTTTTAAGTTTCACGATATTTCGTAATAGGAGTCACACATTTTTGTACGATCGGTGCGCATTTCATGCATAAGAAATAATAACATTATAAACTCACGTTTTAAAGTTGTCAGTCGCCATCATACGAGTAGAGAAGATATCATTCTTCAGTGCGCATGCACGTTGTACTATATTGCTTCTGCTGTAAAGTCGCGTTCACATTGGTGTCCTGTTGGTACAACGCGAGAAAGTATAAAAACACATAGGTATACATTTCCAGGTATGGATGTACATAAAATCGTGCTTATAGAATTCTCTATGTACGTATAGCATGTGTGATATATATAAACAATAACGATTTTGGCTGTGAACTAATGGGAGGGAGCTAAAAGAGTCGATGGAATAACTATAGTATCCATCGATATTACAATATATGAGAAATTGGAAAAAAGAATCTGAAACGCCGAAGTAGGAAGAGTATGCAATGGCGCAACCTATTACAATTCATTATTAATATTAGCTTTTTAATAGAATTACCGTTAAGACTCTGCACGGTGATTTGAATGATATGAATCAATTCTGCAATGATCCTGATCAATACCTGTACAATGTAAAATTAAATCTATACGTATATCTAATCTATATTTTTAGGAATAATTTATAATTCAGAACGTACTTGAGTGGCGAGAAAATTGTCAAACTCCTCCAGAGACAAAATCATTAATAGGGACTCTCATCCTTAGCTATACTGTGAACTTCTTGAAATCTATGGAACTCGTGTTCAACTGTGGAAATATCTATAGCCTCTCTCTCGTTATTATTTTTATACCAAAATAAGATTGTATCTTGAATTTCAATATAACAGACAATACTTTAAAAATGACTACATAGTTGTTTCATTGTCAAATCGTTACTTACAGTATATACAAATGCGATCGAAAACTTACGTTTCAAAGTTGGTCGGCCATCACGCGTAGGACTGGTGGCGGTTAGTGCGCATGCGCACGATCGCATTTAAGCAATATATTTATATATGTATATATACATATTTAGATACATATAACAGACAGCTTGCTTGAAGTTCAATTAACATAGTTGCATCGTCTCGCAAACTGTAATGGTAAAATGATGATAACCATAAGAAATTTTTATTTTTCCATCTCAGGCTGCAGGACAAACGATAAATCAATGTTTTGCTTATTTTGTACTAATGCGACTATGATTATAGTAAACGTTAGTAGCTATCTTCGATGAGCGCGCAATGGCGTAGGATTTGGATATTCTGATTGAAAGACCATATCAGTCGATGGACTTGATGCACCTTACATTTATCAAAACAAAGAAGCTGTGTTGTTTCGTTACCGCGAGTGTATTGTGCGATTCACGAATCGCGACTTCGTTGAGATGCGAATATATTAGCGTATTGCTGCGCGACGCTCTGCGATTTGAGGCTGAAAGTGTCGTGCTTGTTTTACATTTATTTTTCTTTCTTTTTTCCGTTGAACCTCAACGATTGTCGTCGTTGTCATCGTTGTGACCGACTCCATTGTTGCTTATTGAGATTGAATTATATTTTGACCTGGTAAGCTATTTTTAAAAAAAAGGATCGTTCCATTTAGTACTATCATGTATTATTTTGTCTCATTTTCATGACTTCTTATTGAATTTTCTCGATCTTCTTTTTACTTTGGCTTTTTCTGTTGCCGTCTTGTACGTTCTACAATGTTTTCGATACGTTTTTGCATTGTTTCTGTGCGAAACGAGCGTAACTGTCATTGTTGAGTCAATTCGACATTTCATTAGTACTTATGGGATATTCGGCTGAGAATTTAATCGATTTTGAATATACAACATCATTTCGGTTGTGTAATTACTTAAATAAATATTTACGCGCTTTCTGTGTGTAATGCAAAGAACACTTTTACAGGAGTTTTATCATTGCGTGAGATAATAACCACTTCGAATTTTTTTTATTCCGAATATTACGTTATTATATTAGTTAAAATGTATTGAGTTGTTTATCAACTGACTGTAGATAAAACATTGCTACTATCCCATGTATCTTTGACTGTGTATTCTATTTTTGTAAATGTGCAGCAATTGGTGGAATTTGTAGTTTAACTTTTGTGACTTCATAGGGATTAATTTAGGAATTCTACATTGTAAGTTTTATTACGCAATATTACCGTAGTGGTATTTGTTTATTAATATTATGTAGAATTGTAAGGAAATTTCTAGGTTGTCGATATTAACATATTTTACCATAGAAATATATCTTGATATATACAGAAGCTTGTTCATTTAACACTATATTCAATATTTTTTTAATATAGTCAAATAGATTTTCAGTGTTGTAATTATTTATTTTATTTTAATTATGACTATGACTTTAATTATTCTTAAATAATTTTTTACAGATTGCAAGATAGACAAGTTAATATGGGTGGGGCTGTGAGCAGTGGGAAAGATAATAATGAACTAGTGGATAATCTCCTGGAGTCTGGATATATCAAAACTAAACAGGTCGAACAAGTGTTCAGGGCTGTCGACAGAGCCGAATATATTCTACACTCTCATCGAGAATCAGCCTATAAAGACATGGCTTGGAAGCATGGTAACATCCATCTCTCTGCACCATGTGTCTACAGCGAAGCAATGGAGGGCCTTTCCTTGGCACCAGGATTAAGTTTCTTAAATCTTGGTTCTGGAACTGGCTATCTCAGCACCATGGCAGGCCTCATATTAAGTAGGCACGCTATAAAAATAAAAGAATATTAAACTCCTAATTATCATAATACTCTAATTGCTTTTTTTTACAGAACAAAATGGAATCAATCATGGCATTGAGTTGCATCAAGATTGTGTAAAATATTCTTATGATCGTTTGGAAGAATTTAAACGGGAGGCATCAGCATTGGACGAATTTGATTTCTGCGAGCCTGTGTTTGTCCAAGGTAACAATTCAGGTTTCTACACATTTTTTTTACTTTTTAAATATCAGTAATTATACTTAGTCTTAATTTCAAAGGTAACTGTCTAAGTGTTACACCCAGCAGACAGTACGACAGGGTTTATTGTGGTGCTGCGTGCCCAGAAAGTCATGAAACTTTTGTGAAACAGTTTGTTAAAGTTGGAGGTATCTTAGTAATGCCATACAAAGCAAACTTACTCCGCATAGAAAGAATCGATGAAATTACATGGATGCATAAGACGATGTTGCCAGTGTCGTTTGCCACCCTTGTCTTGCCATCTGCAGCCGAACAAAATTCGTATCAATTACGTAAGTAAATTGTGCATAATAATTTATATATTTCATGTTTGGTCCTTAAAAGTAGCATTTTTCTTTACCATAGCCGACTGTCATCCGTTATCACTTCAAGAAATCTGTCGTGGACGAATCCGGCGCAGATTGCGTGAAAACGTATGGCTGGAGCGTTCCGATGTAGAAACGAGAAAACCCGTAACGCATAATCGTCTCACACAATCACCACCTCAACGGACTCGGTGCTACGATATACCCGTCTTCGAGGAGTCCGACGAAGGCCTATCCGACGAAGACGATGATTTTATAGATAGAGCACAACTGCTGCTGAATGTTGATGCCCACTCAAGAGAATCCATCGTAACGACATTGCAGTTAGTTAGAGCCGCCTTTCAGAATACCCGAGATGAAATTCACGACGATTGGCAGGTGCAAATCAGGGGTTCAGCTAATATTAATCATTATCACGTGGAGACGGTGAACTTAAATTCGGATAATAATCAGGAGTCTAGATTGGAACAAGTTGAGGAACCGGAGCGACCACAGAATAGTGCGGACGCCCATAGAAACACTGAAAGTAGTTCAGACGCGACAAGTACACGATCCTCAGCTGGTACTCAACAACAGCGACAGCGACAGAGACAACGACAACAGGAGCGTCAGGATAGTGCAGCCCGTGCTCGTGTCAAGTATTCCCAAAAAAACTGCGCCATAAGCGACAGTGACAATGATATCGAAGAAGACAATGCGCCGCTACAATGTAAGAAACCAGCGAAACACGCAAAGTCAGATAGTGGAATACTCGAAGATGTTAACGTCCCCAATGAGAATGGTGGCTTAAGTTCACCGACAAATCAATCAGACTCTGACGTGGCTGATGGTACAGACACTAGTGACGCGATGGATGTTGACTTATCAGATATAACGACCAGCAAGTCATTCAAACGCCTTTACAATTCGCACTCGACATCGACGAATTCGACCCCCAGCGAAGACACCATATATGCCCACTATATAGACAGTAACGCATTCACCTCTTACATGAAAGAAAAGATACATCAGCTACCACTTCCCTTATCTTTGAAATTGTATATAAACTATAACAGAAACCTGTAAAGTAACTCCTATTGAAGTCGAAATATATATATATAAAGTACCTTTCCATTATAAAGGACCTATCTACAAGTCAATACACGACACGTGTCAGGGGATCACAGAGTGACGCATCACATACATTTAATGTTTCCATAGAAATCTTCGAAGGGATGAGAATCTTTGATACCTTCACTTTGGCACCCCTCAAATTTACGGGGTCGTGAACTGATCCTGACGTAGTAAATACAAATTCGGAAGGACGATATAGTTAGATACAAAAGTGACTTATCATCCGTCGGTTCCTTTCGATTCGTAAGATGAGACGGTAAGATTCTATACCTGAGTTTGTCGAGGCTTGACCATAAATGTCAATTCGTTTCAAGGGTCGTTTTCTCGGGCAAACTGATTCATAGATACGAGTTATGTCATCCGCTTAGAAATTATCTTAGAATCTATCAAAATTCTAAATACCAATTGATCATTACAACCCCTCGTCTGGGTCAAACTATTCTTTTTTCATTCCCAGACATCGTCCCTTATCGCCTCTTAGGATCGTATCTCTGTGTGTGTGGTCGTACTGAGGGTGCGCACAGAAAGATCACTGGTGCGGAAGAGGCTAACGCCCAACTGCTGCTGCTGCTGCCCGGCAGTTTATGTATCCCTGCGAATACCACCACCACGCGAATTTCAGTTCGATCTCCACCCTCGCGAAAGGTTTATATCTCGCTTGCCATCCCTAACCAGATACAGCCTCGCTTTCCAGCCGCACGGAGCCACCCTCATTGCTTAGGCAATCGCGAATAGGCAACAGCCACCTCTAAACGTGGTATTTACCAATTTTTAAGATTCCATTAAACATTTTTATACAGCGTTTTAAAATTGCATCCTTAACGGCTGGTGACACTATGTTATGGAATGAAATAGGTAAAGGTATTATACGTATGTCGGCTCGCGAATTCCATGGAATTTGTTGTGAATGACATTGCGCGTTATCATCGTCGGAAAGACTTTGGAATGTGTATTAGTGACAAACGAATAAGTGAAGAATAAAAATTGTTAAGAAGAACGTTTACAGTAACATGTAAGTAAATAATCAATGAGACACAGCATTGTTTTTAATGTTTCATTTCCTTCTTTTTATTATAGTCGTCCTTTATGTTTCCTGTTAATCAGTATCCTTTGATCGTGACGTCAATAGCAGCGTATATACTTTGAAATTATCAGAATGATCAATTTCAATTATCAATTTGATATTAGCTATCAATGGTAGAACAATGAGATACGTAACACTTGAGAAGTGTGTATGCTCCATGTTTTTATCCTGACTGGCGCCAACGACTCACTTTGTCATTTCTCTTACGCTCGATATTTCTAGCATTTTGCGTTTGAGCTTTTATTTTTATTTATTTCTTTTTCGTTCATCTCTCTATCAACAATCTTTACCAGCCATTTAATCGCAATTGACTGACCCCATGATTCTACACGGAGATAAATAAAACGCGAGTCGAATGGTAGGCAATTAACGAAATGGCCTGAGCAATGGGGGAAAAGATGAGAAAAAAGAGAGCGCAAAAAAATGAAAAAGAAGTAAACACAGGATTCGTACCCTTCGACGGCCGATTTATTGCCGATGCTAATCTTCGTGGTTGGAACGGATTGAAGGAAATCAGGAAAAGCTTCGGTTAAGCTGACAAGAAATTAATGATGTCAAATGGCTTTTCTCGAGTCTTGACCATGAGAGTAATTCGTCATTGCGTCTATTACTGGAAAGCTGCGTAATCGTATGGTTAAAGAATTGAGTAATTGGATTAAGAGATGGATGAAATGCTTGGTATATTGAATAGCAAACATATGAATACTGATTATTTTGCGTATCGATCAACGATTGAAAAGATGTATCATTTGAGAGTGAAACTATACAAGGATTGCATTGTATTAAAAAAATCTATGATTGTCACTTAATTTTATTTAATCGGTGAAATTAAAGTCAGACGATTTTTAAAACAATAAAACATCAAACAGACACGGTTATTATTTTCTTAATAAACAACACAAAAAACGTATCAATGAATTTATTAGTGCGACAAAATTAATTCTCAGATTCATTATTCAATGAAATGACATTCGAATATATTAGTAACTTATCATAAGTACATGATATCCGGAATTATAATTATTCTCATTAATTATTTCCATTAAATACTTCTTTTCCCATATATATATTTAAAAATAATTTTTAAATATTATTTTTTAAATTCAGGCACGTTACCTGAAGGATACTAACAAAAAGATGCTAGGGCGACGCTACCTATGGCTTGTTTTCTTATCCTGGTGGTCGTTGTTTGACCCTTCGAGGGGTTCCCGAGAGAGGCCACCATGTGGAGAACACTTAACGAGTATCAAAGGAGTAATTCATACTCCTAATTTTCCTGGACCTTTCGAGGTGCCATTAAAGTGTCGATGGGTGATCGACTCCTCGGACCAACCACCCAGTAACGGATCCATCATCGTCTACCTTACGCAATTATTCGTCTACAAGGGACTAACCTTTACGGAGTACGCGTACTATGAAACTGACACGTCAAATTTGGGCGCCACTGTCATCAAGGAAGTCACGGAGGGCAACGTTTTCGAGTTCCGATGGTTCAAGACCTTTCGGCCTTTCTTGGTCATTGATTTTGAACTACATAGACTCGAGGGTAATCACGTCAGAGTCCTCGATAATCTACTAGACGTTTATGGATTCAACATAACCTATGAAATCACCGGCGACGAACCTAAAAATGATTCTTGTTCTGTTCGTGATTGTTCCTATACTGGACACTGTATACTCGGTGCAGATTACAGGTTAGTTTATCGTTTTGAATTCTAGTATACTATTATTTTTCTCAAAGATTTTGACTCTCGGAATAAGTTTCGAGAATGATTATAACGTTTTGAATTCGAGATATGTACCTGTAGTAAAATTTCTTGAATACGTTCTAGATGGATAGTAGTTTTTTTTGGACTAAAACTTTTTATAAAATAATGCACCTAATACTTGTTTACCTATGTTAAACATTTCTTATCTCCCTTGTTTACTCTTACTAACTTTTTAAGCTAGGCGGGTATACTGTTTCGTAATGTTTACGAGTTGCATAATAAATCATGAAAATCACGAAGCCCCTTTAACACGGTGAATTCATGTAGAGCCTACGAAATTACCGCGTCAGACCCTAACCCTCCGATGAAGAGGTTTTCAGGAATTGCGAGGTCCACCAGAAGGGAAAGGCTTTTTCGCCGACTCATGAATCATTAATGGCATCCGCGAGGAGTTTCGATTTATTCTGTAGAGACTACCGGGCTGTTCTCTATAGTACATTATATATATATATAAGCTGCCTATGTATCCACCATTATCGACAAGTCATCCCGATGAAGTGCAATCTCTCTTTGGAATTGTCGTCTAGGATTCATTTTAATGTCTTGTTTTCTTGCCCCAGGACATTCCACTGTGATTGCTTTGATGGATTCGACGGTGATAATTGTGGCAATGGCCGCTTATGCACCGATGACAGTAGAAATCCCGTCTGTCAAAATGGTGGAACGTGCAGGTAACGAAAATAAAATAAAATTGTATCAAAGAAACTAAATGGTCAATTAACCTTGCGATATTTTATTAAAGTTTTTTGCTCTAAAGAATAAATAAAAGATTTTTATGCAAATTTCAATATAATTATGCCAAACTCCAATTTGCTTTCATTGTTATGACTTTCTTTACTGTCGTTTAGCATCGATCTGCCTCCGTCGCCTGTGTACGAAGAATAATCTTAAAACGACAGTAAAGTTTTAATAATGAAGAAAATCGAATAAATATTTACTGTCAGATACTATTATTTCATGAACTGGCAAATCTTATTTGTGCTTTTCTTTTAGACATGTCGGAGCTGAAGCTATTCGATGCCACTGTCCTCATGGATTTGCTGGAAATCGTTGCGAGATTCGTGTTACTAATTCATCAGACCCAGGTAAGATCATTATTGTGTATTATAATGAATCATCGACAACTAAATTGTGGATTTTAGGTCTAATATAATTCAAGAGGTCAAATTTTGAATCCTATACATTACGTTTCTCTACGCTTTCTTTTCTCTGTTTTTACAGTTTTGTCCATTTTGAAGCTTATGATTATACATAGACCTTATGGGAAAATCTGATAATGGTGTCCACAAACGTTCTCAACGTGATACTCGATAAAACTTTTAGTACTCAATTAATAGTTCCATACAATTTGCCAGTAGCTTGTTTGGTCTGAAATTTTCCAAGACGTTGCGCAATCCAGTAGAAACTTCCTGATGCTTGTTCGAAAAGCGGTAATTGGAGGCAAACTTCAACGACGCGTGATGACGAATCAGTATTTGTTACAGTAATTAAAGCACCTCCTTCATCTCTGAACCATTAATTATTACAGAGTATTCCGGAGAAGGTTGCCTGATTCAATGTCCGTTGGTCAACCCAAATGAACAACCTTGCAACTGCGCGAGTGGTGTAAAGATCTGTAATGGTAAGTTTCGTAAAAAAATAAACGCGATAACAGTATCAGTTTTATTTTTTTAAATCTTTATCTTATCAACGACTGAATGAATCGATTGAAGAATTCTGAAGATTTTTTTTTATACAGTTACAGATAGATCCACATACGAATGCAGAATAAAATTGTCCAACATGACGTCACTGCGCTCTAGTCTTGTACTTCATGGGAGTCTGGACACTATGCTGAGTAAAAAAGTAAGTATTTAATTTAAATAATTATTTCATGAGTAACAACCGTCTAGAAGATCTTTGCTCTACCAGATCCATGAACCTTGATCTACGATCATTGTCCAAGCGTGTAGAAACTGTCGGGAGAAATGGCCGGATCGAAGGTCGTTCTTAGAAAATTGGCAGACATACCGTGAATTGGCGAAAGCAAAAGGCCAATCGCAACTTTTCACATAAGTGTGCCAAGTAAATCCTGGTACGCTTATCGCGATAATTTTATTTAATCACAAATTTCTCGATTTGCCACAGACGACTTTTATAGTTGCACAATTTTTTGGACTTTACACACCAGGTACACTCTCGTCAGGTGTGATAGACGGGTGAGCCTACATATACCAAAGTTCAGGGATTTTCTGAAAAACAGAAGAAAATAAACATTTGCCCGTGTCATTCAACGTAAGTGTAAATATCTCCCACATGTGCTTACCGCCAATTTTATTCATGAAAACTGCCACACACAGGCTGTGTCGAAACCACGATTCTCCCTACGGACATTTTCTGGAAGTGGATATTCTCGTAGTATCTTCCAACGTCTACGTAAGGTATCCGTGAGGCCGTGTCTTCCGGGATCACCAAGATATATTTGTGAACCCGCAGCAAGGGCCTCGTTGAGCCAGACAATAAGTGATCCTGCTATAACCTCGTCGTAGAGAAGATCCCCAACGAGAATAACGTGAAAATTACCATTGTACGGCTGTGCAATTAAATTCTCTTTGGAAATTGAAATTTGCACGCTGTTCAAAGCCGCGTTCATATTCATTGCCACGCATGCAACTGCAAAAAAATATCACAATTTGTAATCGTTAAATATGAGCAACTCCAGGTTTATCTTGCCTGCCAGATATTTGCATAAAAATTTTATAACACGAAGTTGAATGTTCGAAGGAAAATATAGAATTTTAAAAGCCGTTGAATTATATATACTCAGACTTCCTCGGCATCAGCAGACTTCCGTTAAAGCATAAAATAAGCCAGGTGAATAGAATTCGCAGTGTTGCTGTAGTAAGCGCTGAACATTTCAAGCAGAGCTATAGTGCGTATATGTGATTTATGACGTTTTACGTAACACGGCTAACGGGAATTTAACGTCTAAGGGGAAAAAGACAGTGAGTTATGCTCTCGAAACACAGAAAAGGAACTATAGAGAATACCCGGGAAATTCATGTAAATTCAAAAAAATTTTAACGTGACAAAAGGCTCATCCGGTCTCTTTGATTAACATCTGCAAAGTGAAATATACGTTGTCCAAGGTCACTTCGAAACAAGAACCACTCGGGGTTCCCCCGCTTATAATTAAATGAATCTCTGAATACTAATGAGTAGTAAAGTAAAATAAACAAAAGCACAGACAGTACTAAATCAGTATGCCTTAGTGAAGAAACACCCGTTGTTTTACCGAAAATTCATATTCCCAAATATCTAACTTCCGGTAGCAAAATTTTCCCGAAAAATCAGTTTCCCGAATGTGGACGTCTGTCCGAACGCACGTCAAGTTAATTATCCGAAAATGTGAATTAAAAAAAAGAAGAACCCGAAAATCACAGGATTCCGGAAACACGTCTTATAACGAGATCGACTATGCTGAATTGATTTACAGTATGAAAATATATATGGAAAGTGAAATTACCCAAAGTGGGTCGTCGATCACAGTCAGTAGGTCGTGCCCTTCTTTAACCAGCCATGTCTCGTCGACCATGTTAATTTTTTTTTACGTCCATTCGAAGGCCTCAACCGTTAGGTATCTTATGTCTACGTGCCACGAAGTTCGTACAACATGCATTTGTAACTTCAAAAATCTAATTCTAATTCGATGGAGAGACACATACGAGCATATGAGACTGACAACACGTGTTTATATTTCCAGAAGTGAAAATTAATTTTACACGGAGCAACATCAGATTCATCAACTACTTGTCCAGTCTATTTGATCCAATTAATATATACCCTAGTACGAGTACGCACAATCACTGCTATACTTGTGGGTTCTCTACAATGATACATTATATAATTGAGTTCCGATAACTAGTAATCAGTGAGTGAACCATTAAGTCTTTTAATTTAACTTTTCCAATCGGATAAACGCCATGATAACTAAAACCGGTAAGCCTGCCAATGATTCATGCGGCCGTTGAAACATTCTTCCACGAAATCTCCAGATATATGTATATCAGTCATGAAATCTATAAATATCTATATACGGTCGGAGATAGGTTAACTTTGGCATATTTTATTTTTTTTCCTTACATTGCCTTACTGTTACCAAGCAGACGTGCCTCTGACCTCACCCAAGGAATTCCATTGACTTTTTAGTACTACGGAATTCGGCTGCCATTTGAATTGGCACGTATCTCGTCTAGCTATAGGTATAGTACCCCTCTAAACTTGGACTATTACTTTTCTATTATGTAACTGGCATTACTGAGAATTACGCCAAAGCCTTTCACTGACGCACGACCATCGCCTTGGAGCAGCTTTTCTCCAAGGGAAATCCCCTTTTACACAGGTAGACAGGATACCGATAGTTGATACAGTCGGCTGCCACCAGGTGGTACTGTCAACGGCCTTGATATTTTTTTAAGATCTTTATCCTGTTTAGTTGGTCGAAAATCTATATACTTTGTAAAAGTCTTATAACTATATGGTCTTTGTGACTATATCGTAAATACTGTATTTTAATATTATGCCAATCACGTGCCACGTGCGAGCCGATAAAGTGGAATGAATCCCGCTGATTCATTCGGGAATTTGTTATTGTCTTGTTCGTCGTGACTTTTATCCTCGTTAGCTCGTGCGCGCATGCGCACACCCCAAACGAGGTAGGAAACAACGTCAATAGCCATATGTTTCATCGTACAAAAGGTACACAGTATTTCCCGTGTTTACTCATACTTGTCTTTTTGACAAACATGTCTGCCGATAGAAGAAAAATTCGCTCATTGCGAACAGGGATATCCCCGTTGAAATTTTACTCGAATGACAGTGGAGCAAACAAAACGATAAGCGCGAAACGCGAAAGAGCTGCGCATCGGTACGATCCAATGATAAAGAAGGGTCAGGATGACATTCAATAACTTGTGTTATGGATGAGTCAACGGAGAGATAAAAAATTTTTACACAGACAGACACTCTGCTTTTGTCGGTATATTCTTAAATACTATTTCTCGTAATTTTCATCTATTTATAGAACGTACCAGGATCTATATCGTTAGCCAAGACACTCGACGCTCCTGTCAGCTTAGACGCAATGGCCGAGGCACCACATCCGGCACCAAGGTCAAGCACAGTTATTTCATCCTTACGCAAAGCGGAAGTTCCGTTTGACGAAGATCTAAAAATTGTATTTCCTTCGTCCAAGATGAATCTGGTCAATGCCTGCCCACCTGGCCAGTATATGGACCAAAATGGATCTTGATAAGGCCAGGGTATTCCCACCGATCTTGATTTATCTTCATTCGGTGCGTGGTACAATGGACAGTTTGGTGTCAGCAGATGCAACTTTAATTCCGGGGTCAAATGGTCCTGTGTTATTTCCGTGTTCTTCAAAATTGCTTCCCGTACTTCCGCCACGTCTTCCCCATCCCTTGGACTGGCAACAGTTCCCTTGCGCCGAGCAAATTCGATCCATGATTTAGTCTCGATCAGTATAGATCGTACGATCCTACTCGAGTGGAAAAATCCGGTCATTATCTGAAACGGAGAAATTGAATTTTTGGATAATCTATCAGAAAAACAGGAAACTTGAAAATTTATCAAAACGACCCTGGGAAATTCCAGTTAATGCGACGTACCCCTGAACCTTATCAATCTTATCTAGTGTCTTATCAAAACTTTTCGCCGGTTACTATTTCAGGACTTTTCATTATCTTTATTCGCGTTCAAGTACTTCGTTACCGTCTTCGTTCATTGACACTCTATAATGCATACGCACTCGACAGAACCAGCGAAGCAAATCGATAAAATCTGTATCGTTAATCAAACGCCATCTATTCGTCTGGCAATAAATGACAGTCCATTCGCAGCTTGATAAATTTTGTTTCCTTCTCTTTCTGAACATATACGATTCCCTTACTAATGACGAATCTCCCATTACTCAACTCTTTCCGTAGCGTCGCAGAGGACAACAGAAATAATAGCTTCGTATATACTTAACGTATTTTCGCATCTACCGAGTCATCGCGACGCAGATATTATAAATTATCGTTTTTAAGAATTTAACACATAAAATAATATAACCCATATACAGTACTATTTTTTTTTCACAGAATCGACACGAATTCACTAATCAATTTTATCTAATTATTTATGCAATCTGAATATGTAATTAAAACTTCGGTCCATTGACTCCACATACTAAGAACCTTACATCGCTCTTCTCGGGCTTTCACGGCAACGGCGACTCTGCCAAGAAACCGCAAAGTAACGTGAACTGACATAATGAGACAGAACGTATGATAATCACCAAAGCACCGATTTGCCTGGTAACCGCAATCTAGTAATCGCGATAGCTTTTTAAAATTTAACCTAAAAATAAAAACGATTGTCGATGCTTGAGATTCCATCTGGTGTAACCTGACGCTTAAGGACCTTCATTGCGTTTTATTCCCAGTTACGATCAGCTCAGGTTAGATTTGATTGTTGACAAGAATACCAGATCTCGCCACTTCGATCCATCAGCTGACGAAACCTCTGAAAGTTTCGTGGGGTTGCATCATCCCCTTGTCGACTGGTACTCGGTCTATAACTATACACAGCAAGGACAAAATAGAACGATCCCTCGAACCATTCTGGAAATGAAATTGCTCGAAGGTTATAACGCCCAATTGTACCCAACTTGACATCGGATACAGCAGAGTTGACGAAATGCTTTCGGTTCTTTCATACACGTAATTGCCGACAGACGGACAAATGTCAGGAAATTATCTGGACTTTAATACGAGTCAAAATGCATTCAGCTATAAGTGCTGTGCTAAATGATGATTTAACAGCGATTAAGGGTTTCGTGGTTTCATGAGGATGCTCAGGGGATTCACCCTTTTTCAAATGTACAAATTAGCAAGGGCTTCTACTCTGCTGGTAATTATTACCGTAATGGGCTAACAAATTGCCAGGCTTTTGAACTCTCACCCTACCCTCTGTATTACTTATATACATTCTCACTGTAAGTGTTGGCCAGTATTTACACGCAGAACATTGTCTGTATATATATATTTATATATGTACAGACATAATATGGGGTTTAATTGTCTGATTTGACTTCTGTTGACATTACGGTATTTAGCTGCCGCGATTCTAGATTCCTTGGTGACTGTCGTATGTATGTATTTCCGACGATTCCTGGTAGCCACGTGTGCCACGTATATGCTAACTATAGACATATTTATATACTTACGTATATATATATACATATGGCAGCCTTCTTACGGCATTCCATTCGCACACGATCCGTACGTACTTTGTTAGCGAGTAAAGTGCGTTCCGTGACTTGCGAAATATTTGATCACTTTTCGCGTGGATATATTGTTACGATGAGAATTTATGTCCACGTATCTTTTTTTTGGGGTTTTTATCTTTTTAGTTCAGAAAACACGCAGTTAAATTCTGCCTTCGGCTTTACTCTTGTGAACTTCTGTGCCTATGACGGTGTTATGGGAGTGAAAATTTCCTCAAACAGGTTTTTGTTTCCTCTTCGTCGGCCGAGCTGTTTTAAAAGTCAACCGTACCTACGCACGGGTTATATGTTTCTTAAGGACGTTTCTAAGAATCTCTACAGCTGTTTGGACACCGGTGTATCTTGCTCTGTTAATTGTTCGATGAATAAATGACTTTTTTTTTTGCGAATTTTCTCTCCTTGGGTTTTTAGCACGAAGATTGCTACTACGTTTTCCTGTGTTCTACGGACTTTCCGATTTTTTTAAGCAGCGTTTTTGATAATTTCTTCTTGGTACTTTTGGTCTTATCTCTTAAATATTCCACGTTTCGGACTGTTAATAAGATATCAGACTGTTTATCAGTCATAATCTCCTTATGTGAACAAATTTTGTTTACGTCTATCTTGATGAAAAAAATTTATGTGCGTTATTTCCCAAAAATGTTTGCTTATTTAAAAAGAATAACATTCCTTTTTCAAAACGTAAGTACATAGCAAATATACTAATAAATGTATCTCCAATGTTTTCAATATATTTGCTCGTGTACAAGCATTTCGTGGGAATAACTGACATCAATTTTCTTCTGGAAAATAGACGCAAACAAAATTTATTCATATAAGGAGATCATGAGTGATAAACAGTCTGATGTGTTATTTAGAGTTGTGCTACCGTTTTTGATAGTAGAAAAGAATTGCCGAATATCAAAGAGATAACACTAGAAGTACCAAGAACGTGTTATCGAAAACATGGCTTAAAAAGAATCAGCAAGTCTGTACAGAGTATACTCTGATCTTGTACCAATTTTCAGTTCTAATCCAGAAAAGGTTTTATGCATCCGTCAAGAAAGCATTATCTTCAGCAATCTACCCTCAACCCCACAGTAAAGAAGATCCACGTCGTCAAGACACCGGAAATTGGCGTATTGCGTTACTGGGAAACTGTTCCATTCCTTACGGCCTTCCCCGTGAAAGCGACTTCGGGGTAGGGAATGCCGTCAAGAAGCTATAATGTGTGCCTTCAGTTAAAAAGATATTCTACTAACGCAACAGACGGCTTATCTGGAATAACCCTCGCACGGGAGGTATGGTGGGAAATGGCTATAAAAGGAAGGAGCTGCCTGGTGGGGTCATTCGACGCCAGACAGCCAAGCAGTCAGGGTACGCTATAGTGATAGTTGCAGTACACGTGCGATATACAGAAGTGTTTCACAAGATTGCGCAAGCCAAACGCAAAGCGGACAGTTGTGTGATAATCTCAAGTGGTTAGTGTGACAACTTGAGCTTTGTGGGTTTATTATCTTTTAATCGTGAACAATCGATAATCGTCCCCGAGTGTATATCATTATCTCGAACGATAAAGAAAGGATAACTATAAAGAGTATCCGAGGAGAGTTTGGACATTGAAAAGAGATATTTTCAAAAATTCGTCCCACGTTCAGTGAAGTGTGTCGAGGTGTTAAAAATCAATTACCGAGAAAAAGGGAAATCAACAATAATATGATTTGCGAAGGATTTCAAGCCGTACCTCCTCCAGCAGCTATGGATAGGTAAGGAGAGCTTGTTTCTTTGGAACTCTCTAGAACTGATTTGAATTCATTTTATCTATTCGAAAATGTCAATGAGTACTTTGGATCTATATGAGTTAACGTTTGTGTTTAGTTACCTGATTAATAAATCTGATGTGTCTGATTAATTAACGACAACCGACACTCGTGTTCACTATGGAATGTGCTATGATCGACTGTCGGTAAAAAGTCTGGAAAGTTTTGATATGACCGAAATTATTAAAAATGTTATTACCGACTATTCCGAATGCTACTAGGTCGTGTATAACTGTAAAATGTATATGATACAATGGTGAGTCATGATGATGACACATCAGATGGAATTGCGATCTCTTTGGATTGGAGAAAAACATTAGCAAATCCGGTTGCCGTTCCGTAGGCGCATTTTGTATTCAAAACGTAAATTCCCTTTATATTGATTTAAAGTTATCTGCGACATTGAAATTTCAAGAGAATTCCATATTATCCTGATTCAAGCTTACTGAATGTGATGAATAATCTCGATGTTTCTGTATTTCTTTTAGCGGTAAATTGCCGTGGCATTTACAAAAAGAACTGAGATGTCAATGGGGTAACCAAATCACTTGCGGCATGCTGCCAACGTTGCGAGTATTGGCATCGAAGGGTTGCAACAGTCAAGGCTTCTGTCTGGTGCCACTCAACCCTGAAATGGATTCTGCAAGTCATCTACAGATGACCTTACTGGAAGCATATTGCAGGGAGGTTGGAATTGAAGTAGTAAGAGTGACAGAAGACGCCCTGAGAACCGCCGTTGGAAAAGAAGAGCAAGACCTGTCATGTGTCTTGGTCACGACTGACGACAACTCCTATTTCTTAGAGACTCCTGAGTGATTTATTCGCCATATTCGATCTTGAAAAGAAAATTGGAAATTCTGAATCATACGCCGGACTACGGCGAAACTTATTCAATTCGAAGTGGACGACGAATCTGATTTTAAGGACCCTGCGCTAAAATCTCGTTATTTTATAAAATAAAAAAAAACCGTATTATGCTAACGGTACTGGAGATTGGGGTTAGACTCAGGTTCACGTCATGGAGATCAGAGGCTGTGGATCATTGTTGTATGATGCAGCCTCTATGAAGATTTGTCTTGAGATAGGAGGGATTTAAAGTTTTTTGATATATACTTGTTGGAAGGACAGTGGACCATGGCCATGCAATGTTGAAGTCATTTGGAAATACGATGACAATCTTGCATCTATAATCTGTAGCGTTATGAGAGATGGAAAAATATTTTATTAGAATGTTTCTTTGTTTGTCTCGATGGAAATGTAGTTTATTGTAATGCTGTATATGCTGAGAACAGCATGAAGGCAATTGATATGGGAGCAAAATAAATTATTACCATTACTTATCTGTTTAATTTTAATTTATCAACCTGTCTACCTTATTACTTAAGTCCTCTTCTTCCTCCAGAAAATCGGCTATATCTTCACTTAGGAGCAAAATACCAGTTTCTCCAAGTCTCTTAGTTTTACATCTTTTATTAATGAAAATTCTTCACGATGATTAATCATCGGCAATTTTTCTCCTGCAGCTTGCAAAGTACTTGAAGAATTGTAATATCTCATCCGTGGAGGATCTAAAAATCCAGAATGTGACGTGAGTAGGTACATTAGAGCAGTAATAGAATTAGTACCATTAAAAGACATAGAAACCTGGTAAAAAGAAAGGTATATGCTAATTTTTAATTTTATATCAAATTTCAAAATTCTTTATACCGTAATATTTTTTACTGGATCGCTTGCATACATCACTAAACTACTCGTTATCAATCGTTCCTATATTTTGTTCAAGCAGATCCACCTCCGAAGTGACTTTTCACTTTTTCGCAAATTCCGAAGACGGCGACAAAATTCGCGAGTCTCTTAATCGTCTGGTGCAACAACGTCGACTCGGCGACATAGCATTAGAGTCAACGCACTTTACGTTCCAGCAAAAACCAGCATTAAAGTTACAGGTATACTCATTTTCCGTATACCCAGGACTGAATCACTGATCAGATAATATACAAAAAAAGAGTTTTAAAACTGAACTATATATATATTTTCTAGACTTTGCGAATGAATCAAATAAACGAACGAGAAGTTCGCTTGGGTGATCAGTTCATTCTATCTTGTGTCGCCCAAGGAAGTCATAATCTCAACTTCACGTGGTATAAGGATAACATGTTGGTCAATATGAGCAAAGCTACCAGGTACGATAAATATTACATAAATCAATACACAGTGTATTGTACCATTTAAAAATGATCTATACTCTTCCAATCGTTATAGAGAAATTTGGTATCGACATCTACCAAATGATGGTTCCGATCAACATACGTCCCTTCTGATGATAGATAAAGCAACGCTTTTGGACGCCGGCGAATATACATGTCAGGTTATCGATTGGGGAGTGCAGCAATGTAAAAGCGTTTATATAGAAGTTAGGGACGAGCCTGATGTAAAAATTATCCCCATGAGTGTTACCATAGAGAAGGTATCAAGATACACGCATATAAAATGAAGAAAATTTGAAAAATTAATAAAAAATTTTCAACAGGGTAGCGACATACAATTGATGTGTATGACCCCTAATATGCGTAGCATAGGAATTGGTTTTGGATGGAGCAAGAATCGTGCACTATTGAAGCTCGAGCCAGGTAGTGAAGTATGGGAAGATCTTTACCCAGCTGGGAGTATACTAAAAATTTCTAATGCTCAGGTAAAGGATTGTATGATCGGTTGGGCCCAAAATTATGTTACTAAAATAACGTTTTTTGTCCTTTTTAGAAATCGGCCATTTACACCTGTAACGTTGCCCACAAATCAACAGCGGTTCGGGTGGAGGTAGTTAATCGTACAATGGTTCCTATCTGTACCAGCGAAAAGGCGTGGCGGTTGGATTGGCCGGACACTGGACCAGGATCCGAAGCACTATTGGATTGTCCGCATCAGTTTGTGGGTCGTCGTGTTTCTAGACTTTGTTCTATGAAAGATGCGACAACTCCCGAATGGCAGTTACCAGATTTCTCGTTATGTTTATACGAGCCATTTTTCAGTCCTTACAATAACGTTAGTAGCTGCACGACTTTACCTAATTGTCTTAATTTCAAGTTCGAATTTAGAAGAAAAATTGTTCCTGCTTTCTTTTAAAATACAGTTTCAAAGTCTGACCATGGGATATCAGAATACGACGAGTTCGACGATTGTCATTGCACTTTGGAATATATTAAATTCACGTTCATTAACTTTGTATCCTGGAGAAGGAGATCGGATTATAAATATCCTTGCAGAAATCGAACACTATCAATACACTATCAGTGATCTTGCTGATCTTCATAATTCGGCCGAAGCATTCATTCAGATCATCGATCGAATTCTGCACGATGAATACTCGATCTTGAACCAGCAGGTATTGCGGATAACCTATAAATAACATTAAACCTCGATCAAAATACCTATAATAATTATTTAATGCAACGTTAATGTTTTCAGAAAGTGTTGCTGCTCCAACAACTCTCACGACGTAATTTAATTTATTGGACGAATCGATTAAATAATCACTGCAAGCATCTCTGGCTCTCGTCACTCGTCGTTGACGTTAGACCTTTGGAAATGGATACTGATAAAAATGACGGGTCAACAAAAAAATATTACATCCCAGACAATGACTATACGTAAGCATGACAATATATGTAATTCTTAAGAATTTTCCCTTAAACAATTAAGACACGGTGTAGACACTAATCATGTATAATATTTCTATACAGTTATCCCATGTGGTACAACGACAGAATATCGATTCGCTTACGCAAAAGACACTACGTGGTTAACAATAATAACAGTAACAATACCTTAGGGGGAATTATAGTAGTTTATAGAAATTTATCACGATTCCTTCCACACGCCTACAGTAAGGAACTGAAGTAGGTGTTTTACAAGTTTTATGAAGTCTAATAAAAAAATATATATATTTTCACTGTTCTGTTATTTTTATTAGCGACGGGACGGATCTTGAGTACAGATTTAATTCAAGAGTAGTTACCATAGCCGTGTCAGCTAATGAAGAAATCAACGTTTGGGTGGATCTGCAGATGCAACATTTGAACAATTATTCAGCATCCTGGAATATATCATGTGGAGTCTTGAACCTTATGGGTTCTTGGGATTTGGATAAATGCGTAGCAAATACTATACCAGGAGGTTCTTATACGAATTGTTTATGTTCCTCTACAGGAACATTCGCTTTGTTCCATACAGCACGTGCAGTAAGAGTAAGTTTATTCTTTCAACATAAGGTATTACGTGTGTGTATATATGTATATATATCTGGTTATAGAAACTAAAAAATGTTGAAAATTTTTTTTAGGTGGTTCTGGCGACAAAAGAAAGAGCTACGTTTGTCGTGATATTAGGCTGTGGTAGCTGTTTGTTACAGTGCCTAGCGTCGTGTTTGATACTTGGCTTCTATTGGTGGAAAAATCGTACCTGGTTAAATTTTTTGAAAATACAATGCTGCGGCGCGCTTGTATTCTCGATGGGAATTTTTATTTATGCCGTGCACAGTCATTTGCCTGAGGTACAGAAGAAGCAGCGTAATGATTAATCGAATACGTACTTTTCTCCGATAATTATTACAATTAACAATATTATTTTATCTAGAATTCATTTTCTCTGGTGGCCATTTGTCTTGAAGCTCTACTTCTGGTTGGCATGTCCGCGCCTATATCGCAGGCACTTATTGTTTATGCTGAATTAACACATATGCGACCACGTCAACATTTTCAGCCTACGGTCATTGCTGTGATAACAGGTAATAAATGACTTTGATTAAAAGTTAAGAAAATTTATACAAATAGATATAAGAACTTTTGTCAATAGGTGTTCCGATATTGGCTGTATTGGCAACGGAATTGACTCACAAGAGCACCGGATGGAGACACGAGTCTTGGTGGTTAATATCCGGAAGTGGAGTCTTCAATATATTCGTCACTTGCGCCACAATAATGTTAATGATCTTCATGCTACTGTATGTCGGCGTACTTCACAAGACTCGAGCACTGGTCGATGAAAATGTCGTGAAAAAGGAAACGATAGAGATCAGGTAAATTTGTTTTTGATTTATTACAATTACGCGATCCCTTCCGGTTCTTTATGTATATTGTAAACGTAAAACTGTCTTGTTTACATAGAGTACGTATATTGCATCGTGCCGCTGTAATAATATGCGGCATAATAGCGATGGAGGCTTCATCCATCTTTTACATAAATTCATCGTCAGCTGTTTATCATTACGTATTCGCTTCGTTTTCATCTTTATTAGTGAGTATAATATAGATATGATAAAATTAATCGTTTACGCACTAAACGATACGCAATAATTGTATATCACGTGTTCATAATTGTAAACATGGGATATCTTGCGTGTATGCAAAAATGTGGACGTCAACGGGGCAATGTGGTTTACGGTTATCTACTTTTGGTCTGAATCTCCCGGAACGATGAAATTTGTACACATGCAGAAATCCCATTTTGGACAAAAACGAATACATAAGGCTGCTTGTGGACTTGCGTAATTTTAAAAGAAAATGTACAATTATCACCAGGGTTTCATAGTGATCGTTGCGTACGTGGTGAATGGTGAGATAATGCTCGTGGCTCCACTATTTCAAAAGCTCAAATGGAGACCAGACGTCGAGGACGAGCGAACAACGGAGCCTATAAAAGGTATTTAAGAAAAACGTTCGATAACAAGGAAAAATAATATTTGCTCTCCTGAATACAGTGTGCTCAAATATTGGCGGTGAGGTTGAGAATGACGCAGCACCATCTTCACTGATGAATGAACCGTATTTAGAAGTGCGAGGAGTAGCAGCCGGCAGTATAGACATGCGTGAATATATAACAGAATCGACTTTGTCATATTCGAAGACTTCCGATCCAGCGCCGAGTAGATTTTTGCCGAAAATACGAATCGATCATTCGGAGGATATTAACCTTGAGAATTACAGTACCAGTCCACGTAAATACCAGGAAACTATGTCCTTCGAGACCGTCTATCCTGGCAGAAGTAGCGGACACTATACTCCAGATTCGTATGGGATGAGCGAAAGGTCTACTTTTGGGGACTATTCGAAATTTGGTACGAGTAGCCTGGAGCGTCGGCGATCACCATCTTCTACGTCCAACGGCATAATACCGGAAGCGTCATCAGCCAAAGTGTTGTGCAGTGCGGAAGTAGAGTCTCGAATAGGCGTCGGTAGCGGTACCATGCCTGACGTCACTCTAGCTATTAAGAAGAGCGACGTAGAATTGTTAACCATTATTGAATCGAAAAGTAGAGAGCACAGTGGCACCATGCCGGATATTGCAAATACCACAGAACGGAAGCAACCGGATGGTGAAGAGAAGGCACCAGAAATTCTGATAACTGATTGTGAAAATACCAGCACTGATATGCTTGATCGTATATCTCACGATCTTGATTATCTTCTTAACCGTACACACAGTAAGGAGGACGGCTAGAGACATCTTCCGGAAGAAAACAGAACCTCCCTCTTCTACCGGTACCGGTAACACCTGACTTCCATGAATCGGAGAGAATGGTCCTCGTGGATATTGTTGTTTACAGTGTGCGCAGATTAATGGCGTAACAGGGAAAATTTTTAAGACTCTTTAGAAGCTCATTTTCCCTGTCGCAAGAAAGTCTATGTCTTGAAATTATAAGAGATTATTATTCTCTCCCATTTGTCAAGGTATACAAATAAACGTTTTTTATAGGCGTACAATGTCGAAACTGAAATTGTTCGTAGATGTCCCTTAAGATAGTACAACAAATTAAAATTACTAGAATCGAATGAAGATGTAAAGAATCATATAATCATATACTCAGGAAAGAATCATATAATCTTTATCGAGTTGCATTAAGAACGTACCATTTATTAATAAATTTCTAATTCCTTTTTTTACTTGCAAATTTTGTAACTGTTTTCAGTCGGTATTTTATTCACTATTAACAATATCCGCAAATGTCACGTGTAATAAATCAAGAGCAATGACAAGTAATAATAGTTCAATCGTTCTTTAGAAACGATTCGGACGTTCTTTAGCAACGTCCTGATGAATTGTAAATTTCATTATTAATTTTTCATCTAGTGTATGCTAGAGAGTGGCTCAGTATGTGTTTTGTGAAAATGACATAGTAAGTAGTGGGATGTACATACGTCCTCCGCGTTACAGTATTTATTTATCACTGTTATCATACAGCCCTTTCATAATATCCATAATTCAGTCGTCGCTTTTTGTCATTATAATTTCAATTATTATAAAGCTATACATTGAATTTAATGTCATAACCTACTTACATACTTAAGGTCGAAGTTTATGTTGTTGGTAATAATTACCGCTAATATGGTTAGTCGTTCGCTTAGTCGAAAAAATGCGCCACTGAACTTGATTTAACGGAGGTACGAAATGGGAGCAGCAATTTTTGTTGTTTTTTCTTTTCTCATGGTCTAAGCGGGTGTTATAAATGCAAAAGACGTAACAAGGTCGGTGTTAGTTCGTTAGCACTCGAATATACCTATATGACTAGTTTTCTGTGTCAACAGATTTTTCTTAAAAATATAAATTATTTACAAGGATTTCAGCTAATTTTTATATCGAGATTTTTTTTTTAATAACCTTGGTTGAATCACATCAATAATACCCCAAGAACAGCAGGGCCGTGGCTAGTTTACTTTCTCTCACTCTCTCTCTCTCTTTCTCTTTCTCCTTCACTCTCGGTGCAGACTCATGTAACCACCGTAACGAGGAAAAAAAGGAAAAAAAAAAGATTACAAAATTACAATAAGCACCGTTCATAGCCGTCATCTCACACGTCAATTCCGACGCGTGCAGGGACGCATGGCTAATCGAGAAATCCCACTACGTTGACATTCTTTTGCTGCTATTGTAGCCTTCTTCACTTCAGACAGCACTTTTCTTTTTTTATCATAAAAACAAAAAACATTGTGCACATCAAGAGAGTCTACGGTAGGTGCGGAATGACGATATTTATTGATCCTTCAAAGTAATGAAAGTCGCTCGACAGCCCACTCATGGAAATACTTTAGCAGATATTTAGGCGTACATACGAGTAGTGACTTTAATATACCCTCCCCACCCAACCCTTATTATTTTTACGTTTTCTCATCTGTAATATTTTTTTACGTCTACACAACGTCGTTATTCAGTATAATGCGATATACTTTTTGCCAACGCTGTTTTTAATTCTTCAGAGTCAATTAAAAAAAATTACATTCCTCTGCTTTGGACAATAAATAAACTAATAGTCAATTACATGTTTCTCTTTGCGGCTAAACAATGATATATTTACTTCTGGTCGTCTGTCCGTCATCTGCATATTCCATTAGAATGTCGCATCGTTCACGCTCATCGAAACACTTGCCGCATTCTTTCGTATCCGGACCTACCCCACTCTCTATTAATCTACTCATCGACTAAGTATTCCTATATTAATATCGTGTATCAACTAGTTCTCACTGCTTTAGTGTGACAAATGACTCTCGCACTTGCGTCGCGTCGCCGAATGATTCTCGTTACGTCCAATTCGACATTCAAAGATCCGGTAAAGATTAACAACGACGCGCAAAGAAGAAGAAAACAAAACGATTAGCATTCGTCATAATTATCGTGAAAATATATAACAGCAAGAAGTGAGAATAGCGAGTGAACCAGTTGACATAATTGTCGCAAACGCAAACCTACGAATTGTGAGCCATCGCAATAACCACGTTTTCGTTAAGATTACCCTACGCTCATTTTCATTCGCTTGTCCCTTAAATACTTTTAATAAAAAAATCGGCACATAGTTGTATCGCATTGATATTTCTACTTATGGTTATCAGCCACGGCACCCTCCTCTCACAATCTGTCCCTGCCAATCTAATTAAACTCCCTTATATACTGTATAATCGCATAATCGTCCGTTGCGCTTTCTTTACTTAAATATAAAAATACATAGCCAGTCTATACATAGAGCGTGCAAAGTGGCACAGTGAACTGAATTACCAGAAATCCTGGATGGTTAACTGCCGCTCTCAGTGATCGTCGGCGGTTCTGGTTCCTCGTTATTTCTGCAGGGTTTGCTGCTATTCGAACCGGAAGGTCCAACCGAAGAATTTTTTGGCAGCTGACTCGTCACGCTATCACTGCTTGACGTCGTAACGTTACCCAGAGAATTGTTCAGATGCGACACGCACGGAAACTCCGAACCGGATAATAACAACGTCGTTTGCGAAGGAAGATTAGTCAGGGACACCATACCCGGATTTATCATTTGCTTGTTTAAACAGCTTCTCAGTGCCTCCTCAATTAAATTGCCTATTTTGTCGCGATCATTCTGCAAGCAGTGATTATTAATTAAAATCGAGCTAGATGATAAAGACATGCTCGAATTGCAATTAATACCTACCTCGTTAATAAATCCAAAATGTACAAGTTCCTGGGCGAGAAGCATCGACGTATCTGTCTGCGTAACTGGGCACGTTAATTGCCTATTCATTTTATCATCCATACGTAATAATATTGTCATCTGAAAATAATTGACGAATATATAAACTTGAAATCTCTTAACTATACAAATAAATAAATTCTTCCTTACTAATCAATGTATATGATAACACGATAGTAGTAAGTGAATTCATGTTGCATACTCACAAGTAGTTCGCTACTTTCTTCCCTAGGTTTAACGTTACACATCATATTAACTACTCTACGAGACTCTACGTCGACCGGCTCTGGTGTCACCGACTTCACAGATTCGGTGACTTCGGGTGATATCGCTCTGGGACGAGCAGGCGGCGGTAATTTCGCCATAAATGCCGTTAACGGATATATTCCATACCTGAAAAAGTAACATATATAGGTATAGTCACTGGTACCGCACCATTAATAAAATAAAAATAAACTACGGAAATTCCATCAATACGTATAAGTTGCGAATAACAATTACCGCATATGAAAACTCACTTGACATCCTCCACAAATTTCTCCAGCTTCTCAGCGACCGGTATGTCGCTCAGCCGGATCTGTTGCGGAGATCGACCCTGATATTTAATTTCAGCTACAACAGTGTCCGGACCATATAACCTCTGCAGCACCTCATCCGTTATAGTTTCCGAGATGTTAGCTGCAAGTGCCAGAAGCAAAGTTAACAAAGAAATCGGTAGAACTAAATAAAAATCTACATAGAGAATATATGTTGACTCTTCCTTATTCCGAGCAGCATATAACACGTGATATTTCTTGTTACTGTTATCAATCGTTTAACAGATGCAACAAGAGATTTTAACAAATTATCAACATAAAACGACTATACTGGAATGCTTACTGGCTGAATTGACCAGCGCATGAGCCGCAAGTAACTTGAGCGAATGGACTTCGAAGAGGACGGGATGAAATAGAAGTTCCCTCGCACTAGGTCGGCTGAGCGGGTCCACCTGAAGACATTTCCGTATAAAGTCTTTCTGCTGTGCATCATCTAACGATTCTATTGTCTTCTTGATGTGCTCTTCGGTAACGACTGTACCAGAGTCACCATTTCCTTGGATCTCTAACGCAGCCATCTCCAGGGCGCACATTCCAAACGAGTATATATCTATTGCGGGCGTCAATTGATCTGCGTACAATAAAAAAAAATCCATACTTAGTATCATTATCCTGTATCATTGTTCCAATATGATCTATTGCGCTCATGACTAACGTTCTACTCACTTCCGTATTCGGGGGCAACAAAGTGCATGTTCTTCATGTTTACTCGGCAAGTTTTCACGTGCTGATGTATCGCATCCGGTGCCACTGTAAAAATTATAAAGAATTACATCATTAATCGAGCACGCGGTTCAAATCAATCACACGCGTTTTGTAAGCATGAACACAAAAATGACATTATTAATGTGAAATCATTCGACGGGCAGTGTGTTAGGAGACTCGCTTGGTACACCGACGACTAGCAGACAGAATTTATTGACATTATTGTACAACAACGAATCTCTTAATCGTTAATGACAAACGCTACAACGAGGCAATAAAACATTGTCACGATGCATTCTGTATGTCGGCCGTCCATATCGCGCGTGACGAGCTAATGAGAGAATTTTTCTTTGGACCTTTAGAAAAATTGTGTCGACTTGAAAAAAAAAAAAAATTGTCCTAAGAGTAACTTGAGCCCTCATATAGATAATCGTTTATTCGCACGTCTATCGTTTCTGAATGTTTCTGGAAATAAAATGAAAAAAAAAAAAGAAAACCAGTGAGAGGGTAACGAGATGACAGTAGCACAGAAATACATGAGGATGATTATTCGCATCTTAATATGAGGAAATAACGAAGACGTGACTACGATGCAAGAAGAGTGCAAGAGTGACATGTGTTCTTGATATAGGACTGATGAGAGAAGAAGATTGGTTATACTTTTTCTTTTTCTCATAACTCCTTTTGGAAATTATAGCGAGCGCCAGGTGGGACTAGGATGGACCAAGCGATAAATACAGCATCATCTGGTCCATTAGTCTGTTAGGTACATACAATTAATTATTGAAATGGTGATGAGTGCGGTGATGAAGATGAGAGCAACTAGAAGAGAAAGTGGCAGATAGATAAAAACGATAGAAAATGTATGGAAATAATAAAAAAAAAAATATATATATATATATATATATATATGTATACATATATATGAAAGATAAACTCGATACATGAAAATCAGTCTACGTCTTAGAAATTAATGTAGAAATATTTAATTTTTACCTCTTTACGCTTAATTTACTTAGCTGGCGATAGTCGTCGGACAACAACAGCCAAATCGTATTAATTCTCTTCGAGTTTGACGTCGCACCTTATTTGGCGAGCGCGTCGTTCAGTGAGTCGATGACTGTGACGACTACGACGACGACGATGACGATGACGACGATGTGGAGCATTTCGACGTTCGACGCCTCGCTACGGCATCCGGACGAGGAAGAGGAAGTGCGTTTATTCCGTATTTCGGAAACACTCTTCGTGGAAGGCTTTGCTGTGTTTTTGTTCATTATCTAGATTTAGCCTATTTGCTACAATTAAAAATGAGGACTCAAGTTACTCCCAATATGAAACATAAGCGTGATCACAATCTTTCTAATGGACGACATTGCATATAGTAATAGCGTCGTGTTATCGGCGGCATTTAATCCTTCGTATAAATAGGTATACATAGAGGGTGAATGGGGGAAGAATGAGGACTGATAAAAAATAAAGAAATAAAATCGAAACGCGAAAATCATAATTCCCGCTCCTTTGCCCACCAGATCTAAACATGGTTAATGTACTATTTATATGACCCAGTGCGCATTCAATGCCAATGGAAAGGAGTCATCGACCATTCATACAATACCACGTTCAGGCCCGCGTAGATATTTAATTATATCACCTTCGGCACGCATACGAATTGTACAATATTAATATTGTAGAAGGAAGCGTACTTTCTTTCTAGAAGATTGTCGCGAGAGCTCTCGCATTACTCGATCACATAATTTGCACGTGGCCGTGCATAGAGTCGTTACCGTGTTTACGGCAATACAGAGAATTCGTGAAATCGTCATTACAAAGTAAAACAGACGACAGGAGCTTGTGTAATTTCACCTCCCCTTTACATTCGATGGAACTGACACGATATTACTAGTGACAATTCTCTACGCATATCCGGACGCATATCGTGTTATGTATAATACAATACGGCGCCTGATCCCATTTGCGTCATTATATCCACGTGTGGATTCTACATCAAACTGCTATTGGCTTGATATATTATACGTGCGGCCTATTTCTATCGCATCGGCTGAGGCCGGTGTACTATTTCGTTCCTGACATAAAGCATTGAAATGTGCGCCACAGATTGAAAAAGTCAGAACGCTCGTTGCCAGTTATAAATTCGATGAAATTTAAAGGAAAAGTTTCACAGCTATAAATCTCAATGTCGTTATTTACACGCTTCCTTCCTCTCTGACGTAGAGCATGTGTGTTCGTCGTATCCATATTTTTTTAGCGTCCGGACAATTTATATTTCGGGCTTGGTCAGACTTTTGGCTTGAATCGACATTTCAGATGCCAATTTGTATTGAAATTCTGAGAGCAGCGAAACTTATCCAAAAGTACTAGAATGCTCGAGCGACTTGATAAATAATAACGAGAGAATTTAGATCTGTTATTTTCTCTGGGTTTATCTTGTGTAATTAATGTTTTACGAGCTTCAGAGAATCCAGAGAACGCACCAGCAAAGTAATCATAGAGCGAATAATTTTGCACGCAAAGTGCTTTTCCAGAATCTTCGTCCTCACTGGTGCCGTTAGGTGATTTCACCTAGTGTTTTATTTGACATCATTCTCAGATGACGAGAGAATAACGACTAGGTCTATCCTTTTTCTCGTCGCACATTCTCGTACCACACGTGCGACACTCCGGTGCGCGAAGGTCTCCCCCACATAATAATAATACGTATCAGGCGACGAGAACGGCGATTGCTGGCGGTAGGATCGGCGACTCACAGGGAACAATACCCCTTCAGTAGCTAATTCTCATTCATTGTACGGCAAGCCCACGCGTGCGTTCATTTATTTCTATGCAGCGAAGGGACTTCTGAATGCATCCACGCACGATTACCCACCTGAGCCAATCTTTACGAGTCCATTGTGCTGGATAAATATCGTGTCACAGGTCAGATTCCCATGGATAATGGGCGGCGAGCAGGAATGCAGATAGCTGAAAAACAAAAAGACACGATACGGAACGAAGCGTGACGGAGAGCTCGTTACACAAAATTGCATTCCAATCAAAGTTTCTTTCTTCCATTACTTTCAATGTTTCAATTTTTTGGTTTAAACCCACACGCCACCAAAAGAATGTTACATGCTTCGGAGAGAGAGAATATTTCAACGTAGTCCTATCAATTACCTCAACGCTGAGAGTATTTGCGTGCACCATCGTTTCCACGCTTGCAACGGCAACTTCTTCACGTTGCGCTTCGTTCGTTTTAGGAACTGTTTTAAGGATCCGGAGGACATGTACTCCGTTATAAATATAACCTGTAACAGACAATATAACGTCGAGTCAATTATACAATACATTTAGTTTCCTCTCACTTTCATGATCCCTCCCTCTCTCTCTCCTTCTCAAGATTCATCACGAGGCGATTGAGCAACCAAACGGCTTGCGTTATCGGAACCATGGAGGAAGATGCCGATGACTCACCCGAGGCTTGTCATTATGCGTATCCGTCCAATATCTGTGAAACTTGACGATGTTTGGATGCTCCAATTGTGTGAGATTCTCGAACACCAGTTGTATCTTCTCTTCCTGAGCTTTGAAATTTTTACGCTCAGAGAACTGAACTTCGTTCCAAACGACCTCAACACCTTCTTCAGTGTCCATCGCGAGGTACGCACAATCGATGCCAGGAAGATCACGTTGTTCCATCTGGCAGACAACAGAGAATGGAATAAAGTTATTCTGGAGGTCCCTTCAAAGACAAAGAAGTCATAAAGTTAATGATCAGAAGGTTCATTTATTCAATTCCATCTAAACTGTGTATCTCAGTCTAATCGCGACGATAAGAACTTGACCTGAGAGAAAATAATATCTACGCGATAATTTTCTTATCCACTATTGAAAACAGTGCTAATAGAGTACAGGGACCTGGCCTATGAACAGAAGCAAGCGTGTTACCAGAAATTCTTGAATTAATTTCAAAATTGTAAATTCTCTTGGATTTTACATCATATAACGAATCGTACATGTTGTAAAAATTTGTCAGCAAATAATGTAAATCCATCATAATCCATTGAGGCACAGCTTGACGAATATTGGGTAATCATTCATTTAAGTCTGCTTTAGAGGCAGTTGAAACGATTTCATGCCTATTTGCCATTACATAGATGTGACCTTGTCAAGAATTTAAGGAGGGGAAAGTGGGAGACGTTCACGACGACGTTCTGCCGTAACCATTAACAACCACGATGACAGCGGTCTTGTAAAACTGTGACAAACACTGGTATAAGTATATATAAATTCCGCTACCGTGATTCAATCTATAGGATTTTTTTTACTGAATCAATATACATATTTCAGATGCGCATTGATCACTCAACGAATCGAGTTAATAATCGTGGCCATTAGAGCTGCTACCAATACTTCCTGAAATGGGAATCGTTATGAATTCATATGTACCCCAGGCATGAATCTCTGGGGTGATATACAAATAAAGTAGTGCTAGAGATGCGACTTTTTAAAACTGACTCCTTACAATTCCAATAAATTAATTCCCTCACCTCCGTCTCAGTGATTTCGTTTTCACCGCTTCTGGAAGCCGCTCCGAAATTCGTACCTTCAGCCATCGCCGATTTCGTACCGACGTACACCTGCGAACGCAAACGGGAATTAGAAAATAGTAGATACCCAAGGGCGACTAGTTACGGCACGTGTCGTTAGACTGTTTAGAAATTTTTTCTGCCTTCTTCAATACGATCTCTTGCTTTCCTCGAGCATTCTACGATCACGTCGCTATGACCATTTTCGAATATGAAATTATTTAGATATATTTTCCTTCTGCAACGCACTCCCGCGTATGACTCGCTTGCTGATTTTAATCTATTAAAATTCATTATTCGTCAAGGCTCGTAGAATGGCGCGTTATGAACTTTGTCGCATCCTTTTGTCAGATTGAGCACAATGGTGGACTGTATGTAAAATCGGCACACGTGAGAGGAACGGGACGCCTATTAATTTGTATTAATAGCCACTGTGGTGCATGTGAATAAGTTAAAGGAACGTCAAGACGCTTGTGTCCCACGGACACTACTCATTAGCCAAACCTAGCCAGAGTATATTAATAGCTTAAAATATGAAACAGCCTAATGTCGGTGAAATACTTGTGCCAAGAACTTGGTCTAGATAATTCTAAACTGTTGGTTGTGAGTTTGTTCCTAATAATGGAGAGGATAATTTATATAGTGTCTGGTGAAATAAACTTTGACTGCATACTGTCCAAGGACTCTGATCACTCAAGATGTCTATTACTGTGCCATACTTGACTTTTGAATAAGTTTATTAAAGGAAGAATTGGCAGAATTTTTATAATGGTTATTATAGATACCTTGAAGTAAGATTACGTTCCTCAGTCTAGACTATCGTTGTCTTTGACTTCGTAATGTGTGTCTCTATACTGATTTGTGGTTAATCGCAAATACTTTTTTATGGACTCATTTATATTCTTAAGAATCAAAGTACAAGAATGGTTACTTCTATTACTTTACTCGTTTCTGACCACAAAAGCAGCATGATATAGATAAACTAAGGATACTGATATTATTATTAGAAATAGAAACGTTTATGATAGATAAGTAATTGAAAAGAATTTAATACAATTAATTAAGTATTGAGAAATTATATCAAATTATAATGGAGAACGTTCATTATTGACTTCTGAAACATACATTGGAGAAAGTATAATAATATTTAAAGTGAAACATTATGGCCTAGAAATAATATTATACTCCAAACTTAAAAGTGTGACCATAAATTTCACTAATGTGCAACCAGTCTATAATGCAAAGAAACAGTATACAACATATAAATATTAACAATAATCTTGAGTGCCAAATAGACACATATTGAATATGCAGCATAATCAACTTAAAATTTAGGAAAACTTGCATTGTTATTGATAAATTTGGGGCTCCATTAAATGCATATTAAAAGTATGAACAAATTATCAGGATTTAAAAGCATGAATCGTTAGAGAAATAAGATTAACAGTATCCCAAAATGTATAAATAAAATGTCTTTACAAAATCCTTGAAATCCTTAGTGTATGAATCAACAGACACCATGTATAGGCATCGATAGTGTTAAGAATTGAGTTGAAATTCATCGTAAAAGGCCATAGCTCCAAATAATGAATGCAAAACCATACAGTATACAAGATACTCTGCGTAGATTAATGAATAAATGGTCCATACCTCCTCCCGACGTTTCAGCCAGCGCCCACAGGGGCTTTCTTCCAGGATCTCACTCTCATCCTCGGAATCCTCACCACTTTCCCGCGGTGACTTGTGTTCTGGATCGGTGCTGGAGCGACTCCCAGGCATCACACACGCGATAATTAAAAGAGCACACTTAACACCGTATGGACCGACACGGCCAAATTCATTGGTAAAAAAACAGTCTCAATCTTGCATCTGTCCAGTGATACACAGCACAGCGTAAGACTCGGAACGTGCGTTAAACTGTAAGTCTCGCGAAATGACACATGCAGCAACTCGTACCGACCCGAGGGGCAATATTTCTGATCTTACACGGTCCCGCCGTCGGATCTACTGTTATTGACTTTCCTCAGGAGCGGTACGGCATGCTGGACACCGCACAGGCTTTTCACGAAACACCCTGTCAAAATAAAACCTCTGTTATGAACGAAATAATCTCGATGTGACATACACTCTGGCACTCATTTTCGCTATGTCTTCGGTAACGTTCAGCCAGTATGGCTACCATGAGTACCGCACCCTTTTCAAGCACTAGTACTACCATCTGGTGATAATGATATTAACATCGTTTAGCGATGCTAAGATATAACATTCCTATTACTGACAATCTTTTAAAACTCTGACATTACGTCAAAATGAAAATGCGCAATGAACAGTAGAATATATATTTCCCCAGAAATACCTGACCCGTATTTTACTATTTGACCAATTTTTTAATTTGTTGGCCTAGTTTTTGGAACTGTCAAGATTTGTTTCGCGTATGTACAACAATTAAACCATTTTAGCATAAGAGTTCGTCTATGTGAGCACCGTTCACTGACCCCGATGGAAATAATCAGATTCAACAGAAAAATATTCAACAATTGCAGAATATCAACTTTAAGAAATTGAAATAAGACTGGTATGTATGAGATATTTCGTATCAGTTCTTTTAAATACTATGTTCAATTAAATCTTATAAACATGTTATCCCTTGAACAAGTGTGAGAAGCCACTCTTCTGCAGACCACTTTCACAGATACGCAACTCGTGAACTAAAATCAAAAAGCGTTGTATTTATAGTTATTATATGCGAAATCCTGATATGAAATGAAATGCAATCCTTTGTTTCAATGGTACTATACTGATGCGTAGTTGATCAGAATTTTAATTACAAGACCAAGTAATAGGAACCTCTTGAAAAAATCGTTTTATACACTTACAGTATTCGTTACGGACAATTTTTAAGGGACGGAAACCAATTGCTTGGTTTTCAGCCATAGACTATTTTAGGCTACTATGTAAACCAGACAAGAAAATGGTTTGGGGTGTTTTTAACGTCATAATCATAAAATGCAGAAATACATTAGACCAATAGGAGTGCGAGTTGATCCATCTTATATCTGAAAGTCCTTTTCATTGGCTTAAATTAAATTGCAAAATATAGTTCAGGGAGTCGATTGTGTAACTTTGTGTTAGCTAATCGCGTGGTAAAGTCACAAGAAGACAAGCACAGCGATTGGCTAACAGCTATTCGATTTTAGCATGTTCACTACATTTGAGTTACACGATATATCTCCAGGGTTAAGGTTGATGCATAATAAAATTAGTTATTTGTATGAATACAATGTAAGTACTCAAGAGTTAACAGAGTGATTGCCCTGATCTTCTCAAACCGGTTTAGTTAATACTGATCTAAAGGAATTGATGACCAATCCTAAATATTCCTTACGAGTATAAATATGTCTATGATTTGTCTATTCCTTTAGATTGATATTAACTAAACCGGTTTAAGACCGTCGTGTAAACGTAGTTATTGATGTTAATAGTGCGTTGATAATAATTGATGATAATAGAGGGTGGTTAAAACATATGGATAGATCAGAAATGGCGGAAACTTGATAAAATGGATTTCAAAATGTGTGCATATATTGTTGGAAATAAATGTATTGTTTGATTTCTGGGGTTTGAGCGTATTTTCAATGTAATGTATCGTTAGAAATATTCCTAAACGGAGACGTAAGTGTAGTTTTATAAAACATTGAGTAATTGCGTTGTTGGCATGCAATATACTGAGACTTATTAGACGGAAGATACAACATGTCAGGGTTAAATATTTTTTTTCATGAATTAAAATAGATGAATATTTTTATGATTCATGACCCTGAATTGATTTACAATAACTTTTATGACTCTCAGGGAAAGTGGTACCTATTGATAATGCTCTGTTCAGTGCAAATAAATATATGTTTGCCAGAAGCGATTATGTATATTAATGTATTATTATTATTTTTTTCTAGATAATGTTATCAAATTTCTCTAATTAATTCAGTCTCGAATCATTCAGTCATAGTACAATGGGTTAACGATGAAGCTCTTCAAGTTGATTGTGCACCAAAAGAATTTCAGTGGGGAGGACCTCATAATTAATCCGAAAGATTATCCAGGCATCAAGAAAGGAGATGTTGTTGAGATTTATCATTTGGAAGATGAATTCAGTCGACTGCTTCTTCAAGTTACAGCATTTAAAGAAGATCTCCAAGGCCGAGAAACAATTAGTGTGGAGAATAATATAGCTACAATGTTTCAATTACGAACATTCGCAGATGTATATATGAATATTGTAAATCCTGCTGATGTGTCACTGGATTCAGTGGAACTCACATTCAAAGATCAATACATGGGCCGTAGTGAAATGTGGAGATTAAAAAACAGTTTGGTTTGTAACATGAAGAAAGTGAAAAGTTATTACATTTTAATTGAAAATAATGTAACATAATGTTTTACTTCTCTTGCAGGTCAACACATGTGTTTACCTCAATAAAAAAATCGAATTTTGTGGTGGTAGCATAAGATGTCAAGTTTATGAAATGTGGTCACAAGGAGATCGTGTTGCTTGTGGAGTAATAACAGATGATACAAAGGTGTTTAAAAGATTCTTTCATTTTTAACTAATTAAATGAATGTCGGTATAATTAAATTTTTTACAACAGGTCGTATTTCGCTCATCGACAAGTATGGTCTATTTATTTATCCAAATGAGTTCTGAGATGTGGGATTTCGATATCCATGGTGACCTTTACTTTGAAAAAGCTGTTAATGGTTTCCTGGCAGATCTTTTTCAAAAATGGAAGAAAAATGGGAGCAACCATGAAGTCACCATCGTTTTGTTTTCAAGAACATTTTACAAAGCTAATAGTTTAGAAGAATTTCCAAATCACATGCGCGAATGTTTGCAACACGATTATAGGGGTAGATTTTATGAAGACTTCTATAGGGTTGCTGTACAGAATGAAAGATATGAAGATTGGAGCAACGTCTTGGTTCAACTGCGCAAACTATTTACTGACTATCAAAAGATTGTGTTAGAGTATCATCAAAAACCAAGTATTCCGATGCCAAAGGCCACAAACTCAACTGCTGCACAAGGAAACTTTCTTGAAGTTCTTAATATGTCTCTAAATGGTACGTAACATGCCCAATTAATATTTACTAGCATGAAATTCACTATATCCTAAAAGTAATTAGCAAATCTATATCACACAGTATTCGAAAAACACTACTTGGATCGTAGTTTTGATAGAACTGGACAACTCTCAGTTGTCATAACACCTGGTGTAGGAGTGTTCGAGGTTGACAGAGAATTGACAAACGTTACTAAACAAAGAATTATCGATAATGGCGTTGGTAGCGATTTAGTATGCGTCGGCGAACAGCCATTGCATGCAGTTCCTTTATTAAAGGTATATTTTCAAATTATAAAAAGATAACTAAAATAAAAGATAAAAACTATAAATGTTATTAACTGACATTAATAAAACTATGTTAGTTCCACAATAAGGACACTTCCATTAACGCAGCAGATGACTACAGTATGCCCCATTGGATTAATCTAAGTTTTTATTCAACAAACAAGAAGATTCCATACTCGACGTTTATCCCGCGAATAAAATTACCACAAAGAGTGTCAAAACAGCAAACCGAAAACGGTAAACTCTCCTTCAAACCAAAACTTCTACAAGAAGATACCAGAGAGTGTTTGCACAATACATTATTTGATTACGATGCCTATGATGCTCAAGTCTTTCAACTACCATTGGTCCATACGGCTAGGTGATTAAAAAAAAAACCTTTAATTTTATTACTGAACAATTATCTAATTTTGAAACTGTAAATTAGTTTGCAAAGGGTCTCGACGAGAACAAAGAAGACTAGTGTAGCGTGTATGGAAACGCATAATAATGCCCAAGCATTGAAATTACTAAAACGTAAAATGTCCGATCCGGATATTCATCATCCTCCGCCGGAAACGCATTCTCCACCGACAGTCGGGGCACGAAGTGCAGCTATTACCATTCCACATAGAACTGACGATTCCATTAGTAACGTATCTAATGTAAATTTGAATGGTATGCAATCACCTTAAAGATCAATTATACCTATATCTTTACGGTTTAATTAATCATGATCATCCCTAAGACAAGTCCCGGACATCTTTGAAGAGTGATCACGTAAACACAGAAATATCACCACCGTTCAGGCCAGTCGTAGGCAGTGCTGGTAGTCCAACAAATACAACTGCTCAACCGACAAGTGCTCTTCGACCTGGACGAGCGTTGATTAATCCTTTTGATCCATCCCACGTGACAATAAAACTGACCAGTAACAGACGTCGATGGACGCATATATTCCCAAAAGGTAAAAATAAAATAATTGTATTAATTGTATTGTCAAAATTTATTCAAATCAAATTTTTGCAGGACCCACTGGAGTACTAATACAACAACATCACTATCAAGCAGTACCAACTCAATCAAGCTCAGACCAACAGAGTGATGCCACTTCGATATTAAGCAGTTCGCCAGTCGAACAGATAGCATCATCAGGTCCTTTAAATAATTTTCAAATGTCAAGATCTGCCTCCCAAGTCGGATTTCAAGATCGTAAGTAATCAAACGAATCTTTATTATTGAAAGATTTGAAGTCCATTTTCTCTTTCATAGATACAAAAGGAAAGTCGCAACGACCGAGTCTCGCATTCAGCAGCGACAAGAATTGCAATCAAGGCGCTTTAGCAGCACCAAACAAGAGTCTGACACTCTTGTGGGGCGCTACTGGTGAACAGGAATGGACGCCAGCCTTGACGACAGGTTTGATTCTGTTTTTCTAATGAGACCAAAAGAAAAAAAGAAAGAAGTAAAAGAGAAAAAAGAATGAAACATCACGTCCGCTGGAAGTGACACTAAGTAAGGAAGGAATGACGGTTCTTGTGGGCAAATGGAAAAATAATGCCTAATATTCCCCACGTTAACGATGGCATCCCATGCATGTCCATTTATGATTCTTTACTCGAACAAATGACCGATGCAGGTGATATAAGGATTTCAGCTCATACCTTACGGCCCAATCCACTACATGAGAAAAGTCTGGAGCATCGTGCATGCACTAGCCAATAGGTCAGGGTTCATACAGAATTATCCAAGAGAACAGTACCTACCCCTGTACGTTGTTTCATCTATTAGAGCGGATCCACGCACCCTTGGTTTGGTTCTTAGGTATAGTCGTGCAACGGGAAGTATACATACCGACTACTAGTAAGTATACTAGTAAGTATACCTTGAAACTTGAATTGGCAAAACAAAAACTGAAAACGAAACTATTGGGCGATACAAAAAAAAGTCATTCATTCATTCTTCCCGCACGCGATACCTAAACTGCAAGTAATTAACAGGATCCATATTACTTGCAGAATGAACTATTTTTCATTTAACCGTCATTCTATTTATATACGCATTACGTTTCTCTTACAGCCATTCATTTTCAATTAAGGAATGAATTTTATATGGATTCTGAAGGGATGGATAATATTAAAAGGACCAAAAAAATCACAAGAAAGAGAACACCTATTCCATAGCAATCAATTGGGAAAGAATTTCGAAAAAAAAAACTGATTAACTTCCAAAAGATATGACCCAATCTTCGATCTCTTCATCCCTATCAATCTGTTTATACAAATAGTTTTATATCTTTATTCGTAAGTCATGTAACGCTTCTTGTGTGTCATCATGCTAATATATTTCATTTTCAGCTGTAACTCTATTATAGAATTACAATTGTTATTTAGACGTAACACGCGTAGTAAATTACATTTATAGTTTCAGTATTAAATTTAACATTTCTAGTTTTGGATATTCCAAATTATTTTTACAATGTGTCATTTCACATCGAATAGCTCCTCAATGGCCAATCTCAGGAGTCGTTGATATCCTTATCAAGGACGTTAATTCAAAATTAATTTCATTCTTGTTATGGATGAAGCAATGAAATTCCATAAAAGAAATTTTTTTAAACGAAGAAGCGACCGCTTCTTTCACTGTATAAAACAAAAAAGACAACAATCATCACTCTCCGATGAATATGTAATGCGTCGAATGCGTTTTCGTTCTCTGTATAATTTTCTTTTATATCTCTCTTTTTTTTGTACACATATTTTTATCATGATCAAAACGAATAATGTTGTTCAATTTATTTACATGCTGTGGTACGTCTTATTGGGATGCAACGCTGGACATATTGATGCGTGTGTGATGTACGACTATGATGTCACTTTATACAGCGATCATAGGTTAGCGCCATACATTACTGGGGGCTGATTCGGTTATGGTATACATTTACAATGGGGCGTCGCGGCGCCCCACTTAGAACTTGTTACTACCCTCTTAGTCGGTATTATTTTGTCCTAATTTTTGTAACTGTCTTTCATTATATTTATTTTTTTGTAATTACTGCATGCATATCATATATAGCGACTGCATTATTTTCTTTTTTTTTTTGTTATACAATCTCTCTTCCTCACATGCGTTACGGTAAAGCGATTCTTAAAAATGCTCATATTTATGAGAACCCTACATACATAACATAATACTATGCATCTTTCGCATCTTGAAATTTTACAAATATTCTCAAACCAGTACGTCGTTTTAGTAACTATGGCTTTTTCCTGTACATGCGTATCTTCTTTGTTGTGCTTATATGCATACTTGTATTCCTATTTCTTTTCTATGTATCACATATACAGAGTAAGCTAATCGTTCATAGTTTTCATGAGATTTTTTTTTTTAATTTATAATCACTCATGTTCGTACGTCTGTCTTTCTGAAAGAGAATGTCAATGTTTGTAACTCGTACTGGTTGTGCCTTGCACCTGGCAATAATAATACTCCATCAGTATTTCTTATCTCGTTCCATAATATGCAACTGCGTACCATGTAAAATGTAGAATTTTATGATAGCTCAGCTTTTACCCATCGAAAGCTTTTGTGTTTAGTGTACAGTATATTACGCAAATGGTGATAAAGTTTTTGAAAGGCAATCTGTGTGTATGATATTAAAACTTTATCGCCAGTTCAGTACTTTACTTTATCTGTATAATAAAAAATGTATGTACTCAAGCAGGTGTAATGTGCTTGGTTGATTTCTGTATTATAATGTAGCATGGGCTTATAGTGTCTATTCACTTCTCTATATTATATATTTCCTATATACTATCATTTGTGTAATGCGAAACCTGCGATATCAGATGGATTATAATTACTACAAATTTATATTAATGAAAGTGACACGCTTATAACATTTCTAGCTACGTCACATCGGTTCTGACATATAATTTTGAATGAAAGATTTTATGATTTGTCACAAACTTAACCGTACAGCGAAATGTATAGAAATCTTTATGTAGTGTACAATTTTAAACGTGTAGCAATCAGTAATTTTATTCAGCATGAACGGGTCATTTTATTGAAAGAAAAAGTCACTGTCGTGTTTCCAGCAGTATTTTTACATTTAAAGACGCCTACGAATATATATATATATTTTTTTTTTACTTTCGGGTTTAAGGGATAGTAAAGGTGTCACTTTAAAGATGGCGAAGATGAAACAGATATTAATATGCTTATTATGTTGCTCTGTATATACATATGTGTAATGATGAATTGTATATATATTTTTTTGGTGTATTTTCACTTTCTTAAATTGATCATCTGTTTCTTCTTCTATAACTGCAACAATCAATTAAAAGATTTCGATTTTTCTAAAATGCTTGTCTTCTTAGGGGTGGACTGGAAGTCGCTTACTATACCGGCCTGCCTGCCGATCACAACCGATTACTTTCCGGATAAGAGGAGCCTGCAAAACGATTATGTCGTTTCCGATTATAATTTACTTCCGGATGACGTGAATGCAGACTTCGCGCAACAACGTGCGATATATAAAAAACCTTTGACAACCGCTGAAGTCTTTAAGGAACTTGTATCGCAGCGATTAGCACAGGTAAGGCGAGAAGTTATTTTATTTAATAGTCGATTTCGTCGGCTTTAATTACATTAAAATCAAATTTCTTATTTCAATGCAGGGCTTTCAGTTAATTATCTTACCAGCGAACAACAAGAATCAACCAATAACACCAGGCAGTAACCATGTACCGCCTATAAGTTCATTGATGCGTGGTAGACAAGCAGAATCGGAGCCAAAGGAAGAATATTTATTGAGTATAGGAAGAATATTTCACAAGATTTCTTTATGTGGAAATTCAATAACTGTCACGAGATACAGGCCAAGGTAATTATATTATGACATTAATCGCTTGATTGGTTTTATGGATAATGTATCGTATTGTACAGGCATCCATATCCACCTTTCAATATACATTATCGGTATCGATTTCACGCACCTCATCACGATACCTATGAAGTCTCCTGGGTCTCCTTTACCACGGAGAAACTTGAGAATTACAACTGGAATTATTTGGACCATTATATCTGCACCAGAGGAGACACTGATTTTCCTCTAGTCGAGGTATAAAAGAACGACTGATACTATATGTTTCGATAGTGATATCAATCTGGAATATAAATATTAAAAAGTTCTGTTCTTGTTCAAGGCTCTCAAATATTGGAGATTTCGAGTGTTTCTATTACCATCGCAAAATCAGGCAACTCGCAGAATTCTCGAGGGTTCCTCCAAGTGCGATATTTACACGCGACCTAGTGCCACTGAACAGGCATCGCTTATGGATAGTTTTCTTCGTTTCATCGAGGGTTGGTTAAACAAGATACGTCGAATAAATACTAACAAGAATTGGGTAAGAAATTGTAATATTAATCCAGAATCATACATAGTTGATTTCATTGATTTTTTTCAAGCATATTACAGATCACTTGGCTATTATCAATAATAATTGTCCCTGAGAATTGATTTTTTTAAATTAGAATGTTATCGGCATCACAGCTCTAGTGCTTTATAGAAATAGTATTGTATAATGAACAATACTACAATTTCACGTCCCAAGCATTTAATATATTTGAGATTTTATTTTTGCATCGTATGTGCTACACGCAATACACCATTAAAAAAAAACGGCATGCTAATATATTTGGTACCAGTTGATTTGCGTGATTAAGTAGAATTTAGTTTTGCAGCTTAATTTTGTATCTAATACCGCAGTCGTTATAATAATCTCTATTATACATACATGTATTTATATATTGTCCACACACAGTAAATGTACAGTAAACGTTCTACCGTCTCTTGGAAATAGCAATTAATATCATAAATTAAATACTCATTCGATTCTTACTTAAAGAATCGACCTTGTCTCAGGAGATATAAGATCCCCATGATCATCCTCAGTGTCCAGGAAGTGACGTCGGTCCCAGTCAAGTTTCTACGCCCTTTACGATATAACATCCCGTAGCTAGAACGTTAGTAGAGGGTACGGTGTTCAGCATGATATGTTTCAGAGCCCGACAGCTCTAGGTGGAGTAGCCCCAAGAGACCCTGCCTCCCATCTGACCAGGCGCAGGCACAGCACGAGCCTGATATTCCTCACTAACCAGGTACTTCCTTTCCAACCAGTAGACTGAACTTCAAGGGTGTCAGCCATGTCGACAGATTCGTCTCTGTCGATTCTCTGCGCTTTTGGGAACGTTCTGGCATATTCACGTTCAAGATAATATCGAGTTATGTTATATGAATATACTCGGGATTTTTTTATATATAGAGGAAACCCATCAAGGATCCATCAACTTTCCATTGAAAATACTGTGTGTATAATATACACTTTATATCTTATTTCCGCGTGACAGAGTGTTGTCAGTCACTCTAATAGACCCTAAAAAAAACATACATGACCCGCGTAATGGAAAAGCTTTAAGTAGTTTACACGATGATGAAATAATTTTTGTTACTTACTTATTTTTCTTTTTTTTTTTGAAATTACGCTTGTTGCGTTTTTTTCGCCTCTTGAATGTGCATCCTTGATTATAAGAGCTTAATGCAACGCGTGAAAGATTTTTTTCACTTCTCTTTCTTTCATTGTCTTTCATCTACGGTACACCTCTTCACAATGTTTCAATATAATTTGCAGTATCTATTGATTTTTTCTTTTTGTACGGTTTTACTTTCTTTCTCTTTTACTCTTCACTCTTTCTTTCTCATCTTTATCTATCTTTTCTATTCTTGTACAATTTCCATTCTTTCGTATTCATCACTGATTTAGTATTACATTCTCTGCTTGTTATGCTCGTCTTTCTCGTATTCACTAGTGATTGATCTCTATCGATCAGTATCGGGTGTTACACTGCTGTCAGTTATAAAAAAATTTTTTTTTGTTTTCCTCGTAATTTACAGACGAGTCTAGTCGGCAGCTCCCCCTTCAGGGAGCGACTCGGGAGCAACCGCCTACCTGAGAAACCACGACCCAGGTTTGATTAAGCTTCTATAGATGATTGCAGTGCAGCTTTTACTTCACTTTCTCACTTTCGATTCCATCTGTCTTTTATTTACTCTATATTTCTACCTCGTTCTTAGCGGTGTACAATTTTTTTTTCTTTTTTTGTCAATTAGCTCATGATCTGTTTTTCCAATTTTTATATTCACCAATCTCCATTCCTATCTTATTTGATGTCCTGGCCTTTGACCCATTCATGTACATTACAAAGCTTCTCTAAATCTAGCGTTCTCTAACTATTTCTTTCAGTGCTCTGATTATGCGATAATGGATGACTCTGTATACCGTATTTGCATAATAATTTTATGCAAAAGATTCTTTGTATTGATTCTAGCCTCTTTTTGTTTTATTCGATTGTATTTGATTTATCTGCATGTTTACGCTATTGTTTTCATTGTACTCCGTTAAACGTTTATGTATACTTTCATGCAACGTCATATATGTAGGACTTCAACGACGTTCCATTCCCGCTACTTGCATCATCTACATTATTTATTATCATCGTAGTGATATTTATGTCGATAGTCTATCAATCGTGATCTGTGCGTTCTATTATTATTTCTAATCCCTGCATATTCAAATATAGGTGTATTATGGTTACGTGCTTGAAACTTGAACGTTCGGAGTGGCTTTTGTGAACGTTTCTCTGTCACTCTTATTACATTTTATTTTGAGACTGCAGTGTACAGTGGAAGGAATTCATTTGTATACTGTGATATAATTATTTTAAGAGCGTTACATGGGAAATATATGTATCGCATATATCAATAGAAAACACAACAATAATACTTTGACATTACCTATATTGTTCTGGAAATCCGAACATAGGTCGTTGAACTACTTTTCTGAAAGTTATAATACAGAATAATTATAAAAATTGACTTGGATTAATAAGCCTCAGGTTCTCTTTATACTCTTAATTAACGTTTTATACACTGCCTGGTTCAGAAGTTTTGTTAAAATTTTTTATTAATTTCATGTATGATAGATTATAGACTGATTTTTATATAGTATTTCTGGGACGATTATTCCACACCGAAAATCAATCTTTGATACCAATGATTACACTGTATTTTATATTTCTCGTGCAGCGTTTTTATAATACATTCTTATACATTTATTAATATTGACTTTCAGGTCGATAGCTTGAAAACTACATTAAGTTTTTCGTCCATCGCGTTTTTCATTTATCATAGATATCAATTTGTTGCTTTGAGGTACTCGCACGATTTTGGTAGACTTATCTTCTGTCTAGAATTTGAATTTTCTATATTTTTTTTTTTTTCAAATCTGTGCAAGTACTCGAGGCATTTTAGATGTATATATGTATAATTGGTTGTGAATGAGTGAGTGACGGGGTTCTTTGTACAGGAGAAGCATGTAGTGAATACCGCTGCGGCTGTCCGTACTCTCCTCGACACTCCTCGTCACGTGCCTAACAGGTCAGTTTTTGATTACTTTATTTTCCATTAAGAGAATTCTACGAGTACGTAAATATGTAAGTATTTTATCAATAGATAAATGATGATGATGAATTTTCATTGATTAAAGAATCAAGAGCACAGAATATACAGTATTATAATACAGAATTTAAAAATACCTGTATATAGTTATGTATCCATCCGCTGTACTCTCGTTTCATTCATTAATCACTTCCATAATAGTATCAATAAAAAATGTTACTATGCCAGCATTAATTAATTTGCATATCAACTAATTAGTCATAATTATACCTTGGGTGTAGCTAATATAGCGCTTCACCTCATGGCTCGCAGTTTGAATTTGAGGCATTTTGGGTTTGTCGAATAGCACTGGTTTTACACAGCTTGTCTTAAGGCATTAATTATATATAAGTCTGCATTGTTCATTGACAGTTGCATATTTATGTCTTTTCTTTATATCTCTATCTTGGACAATTAGATCTGGATCAAAGGTCATGGATAGAGGAAGAGTATCACCAGCTAGTGAAGCTGTACTTCCTCTTTCACCAGAACAGCAACAGCAAGAACACTTGGAAGCTAACGAAGAAAGGTATATGCATATAGATACTGGCAGTATTTATTGAAAGACTCTAAATCACTATCTAATAATTACATTATTATTGCAGTGCCAATACAGAGGTCAGCAAGATAAAGAGCAATGCATCAAGCTCTGAGATCTTAGAAGGTATGAAGCATCCGCAAACTGGTGTTGGATTTTTGAAACAGTGTCCTTCGCTACCTAGTCAAACTTTTGTCAGTGCTGATGCTGTCCAGTGGCTCAACAATCATATAGAGGGTGGTGTCACAGTGGAGAACGCCATCAACATTATGAAAGTAAAAACATATTACATCTAATATTCTATGATACCTATTATTTAAATTATTATCTGAATCTATTTCTTTTCAGAATATGATACAAGAAAGATTAATATGTCATGCATCTGGGGATTTTTCAAAGCCATTCATACTTGGTTTTTATCTATATCACATAGTACAGGATAAGGATAACCAAAAGAGTAAATATTAAAATTAATGAAACAAATTTTAACCCTTTACACTCGAGTGTCCCATCTCAAACACCAGAGTATGCGGACGAAAAATGGGTTAATTCCGAGTGTAAAAGGTTAATCATATAAATATATATTAATAAAATATAATATTGTAGCTGGTGATTACACACCCCCTCTAGGAGATCTTCAGAGTTTTGAAAATGAATGGGTAGAAGTTGAAATGAGAGCACCTAAGGGTTGGTGCGAACCATCAGCACCAGTGACTAGTTCAACAATTTCATCGCCAATATCAATACCCACAACTTGCGAGACAATTGATGAGTCGAACGTACCGCCATTTCTTAGGGATGATCTAGATCAGGCGTATTTTGATGAAAAGGACTGGAAAGGTACGAGAAATAAAAAATAATTCGTATCTCTCTCTTACCCCATTACTAGTCTGATTTCTTATTCGATCTTTTGTTTCAGTACCGGCTTATAAGCACAAACACCTTGATATTGATATCAGTAGCAACAACGATAGAGTAGAGTGGGGTCATTTGAGATATCAATCGACATTCAAAGCAGATCATTCTTATGAATTAGTTGTACAATGGGTCGCCGCATCTGGAAGTATCGTTGCAGATCTCGTGAGTTTAACGATTCTTTATTGCTGCTTATGAGGAATAAAAAGTAATGATGTTTTGATTTAAATATTAATTTTTTTTAGATATTTCTATGGCAACGAAAAGCTCAAGTGTGCGGTATACAGATGGTACCGATTCCCAGTGATTTATTAGCTTTACCATTTACGTTAAAGAGTGATCCTTTGAGAGGTCCAATTTTCATACCACTGGATACAGAATGTTTGATGACGAATAAGCGTTATCTTTTTGAAGGTTCGTTAGTCGCATAATGAATATCGAAGATGTATTCTTTTTTTAAGGCAAACTCTATTTACAGAATTTCATAAGGACACGTACGCTCAGAGACTGTTTTTATTCCAAGAAGCTATTCTTCAACGGTTTGGGTTTCTGCCATGTTTAGCTGAATGCAATGAGAATGATCATCAGTACGTTCATATAACGGGAAACGCATTTGTTCTTGTACCTTCTACTACGTGCGTCAAACCAAAACCTCGTGCTGGAGCGAATGTGGTAAGAAGATCAACTGGACAGAAGAGATATCCTGTCCATCCTGATCAGCTAAGTCCTCATGAAGCATATATCACAAGACATGTCAGTGGCAAGAATAAGGATAATTATAGCATGGATCGAAGGGTAAGTAATCAATCTATTATTTAAATAACTCTTTTTTTTAACGAAAATAATAACCAATCGATATTATAGATGGGTTTCCTGTGGTCCTGGAATCACATGGTCAGTCGTAAATGGCGAAACTCATCTATGTCTGTTGGTGACGAACAATTTCAGAAAAAGATCATTCAGGATTTTCGACACTTTTGTTCGAATGGCGATAATAGGCTTAAACAATTTTGGGAATCTTGTTGGGACTTGAAAGAAAAATCATGCACAAAAGCAGAATAATAGATTGGTGGTTTATTGGTCAAATTGCTAATCAGTATGAGATTTTTGTTATAGTTGGTGCTTTAAAGCTCTACTGTGCATAATGACTGACCTTTTGTTGATATTTACAATCCTTTCATTTTATAAAATGTAGTGATGATATTTTTACTCGTCGAATGCAAACCGCCTGGCTTTAATAAAGAATCAAATTATTTTGTGGATGCGCAAAAATTTAATCTGCCGAAGCCACAATATGTTAGGATGAAATTTGGCGTTAATTTTGTTGTACATGTCGTTTATATTGATAACAATATTTTTGTTACTGTTATGCATATTTATATGGATGTGAAGTTGTGAATAAATCGTTCTAAAACTTTTAAGTTTGTATTGTTAATTAATTATTGTTTATTATTGAATGATTCAAAACGATTATACAATTTGGGATCGTTTTCACAATTGAAATTAAGTACTCCTTCTTTTCATCTTTCCTCATTCTTTCCATTTTCTTGCAAAACGTTTATACATAGCAGTATGAATAGTTTGTAAATAAAAATATAAATTTGTGCAGTACGAATGAACTATCCGAATAGAAATTTAATCAGACTCGTCACATCAGCTCAAGCAGTATAAATTCTTAACAGTATGAATTTCCACGTCGCGCCCCAAAAAACAGATAGTTATAATAATAAACGTTATTAGTCTCGTTATACATAAGATTACAAAAAAAAAGAAAAATCATAACTGCGACTATTTGGTTGCAGCATTTTTGCTCCACTTTACAAATAATTCAACTGTTTTATTATCAAATTAAAGGGAAAAAAAACAAACTCCTACTATAAGTTATAAATAAAAGTTTATACGAAGCACGCAAAATGCCTTCTGTCATAAGGCTCAAAGCAGTATAAAATTAATTGTTCGATTGGTTTTCTGTAATGCATATTAAATTACAGTTTGAGTCCCTGCTCAAAAGCCTGTCTTTGTAGGAGGTGTCGCAAAGTACTTCTTATTCCTCTTCATGAACGTCCGACTGTAAAAGAAATATTAATTTTCGTTTTAAAATTCAACGAAAGAAAATTCAAATATATAATTTAATGACTAATTATTTCCATGCTACCGACCTCGCACTTATCGGTGTGTGAAATATACCACGGGATGCAGTACGTTTTAATAATGATTCCGTAGACGGTGTGTGCCTGAGCTCTGAAGTTTTGGGAGTGCCAATTTGATGCAAATTTTCAGTATTGACAAAATTGGCCCAGTAATCGGACGGAATTTTCAAAAGGCTCTCCACGATCTGCATAAAACGTTATTGATTAAACTTATATAGATATGATATGTGAAAAGTTTAATGTAATACAACGTACAGCAACTTGATTTTTTGTTTCTGTCAACATTGAAGTTGGTGAAGGTTCCTGAGAGCTGTAACCAACCAGAGTTGGTCCGAAGACCTTGGCAAGATTACTAATTGGCATTTTACATTCTGGAGTACTAGACACTCTCTGCAGGTGAAGAATAAGGAAGGCAAGGGTGTCGCGATTTGGCTGCGGAAGTTCTGATATAGCCTGGTATAGTGCAGCATCTGCATCCTGTTTATCTGCAATGGTAGTGGCACGAGCGAAATCTGCCCAGAGACCAACCGTCAGTAATGGTTCTCTTAAAGTTCTAAAAGAGAATAAAATAGATTTTTTTAAAAAGTACTAAACATAAATAACATATTTTAATAAATGATTCATAGTCAAATCCACTGTATCTTTTTACTGTACCTAAGGAAATCCTTGAGTGTCGAACATATTGTAGGTATGTCCACGTCCGATAGATTAGGTGCACCTTTCCCTTTTAAGAATTTCTCTTTGAGACACTTTACTTCAAGGGAACCACCATTAACCCTGTACAACCCCTGTTCTCCCATTCCGCGCAATTCTACCTCATTAATACAGTGGACCACCAAAGAAGGTACCATTGGCGGTATCATGGGAGTATAGTCAGCTATGGTACCCTGTAAATAGTGTTATCAATAAATTCTTATAAATATATTTTACATTTCCATGTTTCAAACTTAATGCGATAAGTACCGATACTCCACGCAGTGTAGGCGTATTTCCTGCTGGTACGCATGGCAATGGCACCAGATCTTTACATTCCGAATGTGTAGTGGCTCTACAATCTCTGCATTTAAGAGCCACTTTTCCAAAACGTATTCTGTAAAAACAAAGCGGTAATTGATTAATTATTCCAGGTTCAATCTATATTTTGAACATATCCGTGTATCGGAATTAATTCGTGAAATGTATTGAATTCCTCAATCAAGTTTCGAAATTATTGATATCACCATTTTCAATAATCTAGATGATTATAAATTGAACAAATACCTTTTCCCACAAGGAATACACATTTCCGGTTTGATTACAGTCTTAGCAGTAAAACTATGTCCCCTAGATGTTTTAGAATTCAGAGTATAGCCACCGATGTTTGGACTTGGTTTGAATATACCTTCAGAATCTGACCCCGATGTCATTATTTCTGCTTTAGGCGCTGAAGGCTGTAAAGTAAAATGTTAGTTCTCTTCTTATGGTTATATTTAATTTCATGAGAGAACGTACTGCTGTATCCATGGGTGGGTCATCCAAGTTCAATGGTGGAATTTTCGTTCTGCTATGACGTTCTCCACTTTTACGCCTTTTTCGTGCGCTGCGCAATTGAGTTTGTGGATCTTGATTCTCGTTCGAGGGAACTGCCTCGATAACCGACGATGCTGTAATTGTGCCATCCTTAGGCATTACCACTGTAGTGGTAGCCACGATTCGATCAGATGAGTTCAATTCAGCAACTTTTTGCACATTGCTTCGTCTTTTCTTAGCTGAGTACTCTCCACTAGGTCGATGCTCTTTCCACTCTCTCTTCTTTTGGCTGTGCTGAATGATAGCACTGGCATCCAGGTCATCCTCAGATTTGGAGAAGCAACTTAGGTCACTTAACAGCGAACCAGTAGAGTCCAGCTCTGCTATAGTATTCAGTCTGTAATGGAGAAATATAGAATATTAAACACTGCAAGCAATAGAAACGATATGACATCACAAATAATATAATACTTGTCATTATGCTGCATTTCCTTGAGATATACATTACTGTTACGAGCATTCAGTGTGGTATTATTGAGAAACTGTAATTTCTCACGAGTCTCATCATTCAAGTTTCTACCTCCATCATTGAATAAAAGATCTCGAGCTAGAGCTATTTGTCTCTCCTAAAATACATCAAAAATATATCTAGAAAACGATAATTATGTGAAAATAACAAACGTGACAAAATGTGAAGTAATTACAAGAGAATTTCTTTGATCTTCAACAATACGACGCCTTTTCTTCTCCTCATCCAACAATCTCCTCGCATGACTTAACTTCCTATCTAAATCTGCTGCTTCAATGTGTGCTTTCTCCAATGCAGAATGAAGCCGCTGACATTCCTGAACAGAGGCCAGCATCTTTTGACGCATTTCTTCTTGATTGATGGCAAAGCGAAGAAATTCTGTAATACAATTGTACACATTCAATACCACGAATGAATTTTACACAAGCACACTAAAATAATAGAAAAGACCGAAGCATAAAATAAATTGCACAAGAGATTATATTTTAGCAAATCGTCAAGAATATAATTTAAAACAACTTAAAAACCTTCTTCGCAGGAGCCGCAGGCAAGAACATTTGTACATCGTGTAAGTTCATCGTAACTTGCCACCATCGAGAGTGCCCATGGTTGATCAGTCATTTTGCAATAATTACTTATATGAAAATAACATCTATCCACGCAATCAACGAAATAAATAAATTAACTGCGGCCGGACCGACTTGCCGGCAACCGTTAGATGAAAAATTCTTCAGTTCAACGTACGAACAGGTGTACTCGACTTCTGAATATCCTATTCCAATTACTCCATTAGAAGTATGTGACACTTTATTCCTTATGCTACAACTTGCGTATGCCGAACAACGCTCAATTAAACGATGTTTCGCACTACAAAATATCCGTTGACTGCCGTTGACATTACGCCGTTACACACTACAGGACGCTACAGTTTCACCGCCCCTCGTGAATTTCAAATTTCACCAATAAGGAACGCCGAAATTTTTTATATTCAAACTGTGCACGATAGATGGCAGTGGTGTATTTCACGATTGTAACTAAAGCAAAGGCTGAAAGAAAATTCAATCCAACAATCCCTGGTTATAATGCTTACACCTAAAACAATGGTTGTAAGACCTAAAAATGAATAAGAACCTATAGTTTTATCAATTTCACTTATGGCGTTTTTGATTGGTAGAATTTTCTTAGACCGGGTGTAAGGTTCCTGCCAGTGCAACATTGTATCACATCGTACTTGATGACTGTTGAAAAATTTACCAAGCTTTATTTTACATTCGGATCAAGAAATTATGGGTATGAATCACTGCATATGGATGAGCTGAAAATAAAACTTTAAAAATTCTATTTCAAAATAATCTTTTATTTTAGTATGTTTTACAGTATGATACTAGTATCCATGTAACAAATTAATTGATATACTAGTAGAGCGAAATACTAGTATTTTTTGGTTAGTGCAATATTGCATTTAGAGAATGCGCTATGTAATCTGTTACGTATACATTTTTTGTTTATTGTTAATGTAAAATTGTTGAAAAACAAAAGGACGAAAGGCAAGGACACGCGGTGTTCCCAAGCGGTCACCCATCCAAGTACTGACCGCGCCCGATGCTGCTTAACTTTGGTGATCGAACGAGAACCAGTGCATTCAACATGGTATGGACCTTGCCTGAATATGTTGGTACATTTTAATTTCATAATTATACAGATCCCTATAAATAAACTTTTTAAATAATCTGCGTTAATTAAAATTATAGATAACCGTTTGCTATGAAAATCTGTCATTCAGCATGATGTAACGTCTTTGTACGAAATTTTTAGTATTATTGACTGTACACTTAAAGAAATATACAGAATTAATATCAGCGTTATTTAAAATTAAATAATTATGAACCTCATTTATTCTTTCAACAGTTTAATATGTATGTATTTTTCAACAAAACGATAGAAAACGCAATTTTTTAAAACCTGAAGACCAAGATTATAAATTAGAAAATAGTATGAGCCTTGTATGTAGTCAATTGTGACAATGAGACACAATAGTATTTAGAAATACAAAAATTTAATGTATTTTGATATCAACATTCTATTCCTTGTGTTAAAAGTACGAGTGATGGAAATATTAGTGGAAATCAAAAGAATCAGATACATTTTCAAATCAAGTGCATATTCCCACGTATGGATAATATTGCGGTCCTGAAAAGAACCATTTTGTTTGATTTCGTCGATCTATGCTTTCTTTTCAGTCTTCTTGGGTAACAGAACTGCCTGAATATTTGGCAGCACGCCACCTTGAGCGATGGTTACACCAGAGAGCAGTTTATTCAATTCCTCGTCATTGCGGATGGCCAATTGCAAATGACGCGGAATGATTCTGGTCTTCTTGTTGTCACGAGCAGCGTTTCCCGCCAATTCTAGAACTTCAGCAGCCAAATATTCCATCACAGCAGCCAAGTAAACTGGAGCACCAGCTCCGACGCGTTCAGCATAATTGCCTTTGCGAAGGAGTCGATGAATACGACCAACAGGAAATTGCAATCCAGCTCTATTAGAACGAGACTTTGCCTTTCCCTTTACTTTTCCACCTTTGCCACGACCAGACATCACTTCGTATTTATATTTCTCGAACGTACAGAGGATCTTGCTTCTTTGAAGAAAAATTCAAATATAAGTTTTCGGTGAAGGCGGTAGTGCTTATATAGTAAGCCGGGGAGAGATAGGTGCGCCAATCAGGTTGCGCTGCTTCACTGAGTTCCAAGCGCCAGTTCCTGATTGGCCAGCTCAAGCTCTCCTCTCTGCTATATAAACGGTGCGTCGCCAGTCGACCACTATATTCAAGGAAACTGTTGTACGGCTAGTGTCTCGTCTCAGAAGTTCATTGTACTTTGAAGCATCATGCCGCCAAAGGCTAGTGGAAAAGCTGTGAAGAAGGCTGGAAAGGCTCAGAAGAATATTAGTAAGACTGACAAAAAGAAGAAGCGCAAGAGGAAGGAGAGTTACGCTATCTACATCTACAAAGTATTGAAGCAAGTACATCCTGATACTGGAATTTCGAGCAAAGCCATGAGTATCATGAACAGCTTTGTCAACGACATCTTTGAACGCATTGCTGCTGAGGCTTCTCGTTTGGCGCACTACAACAAGCGATCAACTATTACATCTCGAGAAGTACAGACTGCAGTCAGGCTATTGCTTCCTGGTGAATTAGCCAAGCATGCTGTCAGTGAGGGAACCAAAGCAGTCACTAAATATACCAGTTCCAAGTGAAGATCCAATCTATATCTACCCGGATTATACAAAAACGGTCCTTTTCAGGGCCATCAAATATTTTTACGTCAGATTCAATACTCGTGGTCATCTTTTGGCATGAATAAATCAGAAAGAGCCCTACCTTTTTAATTGCAATATGTAATAACATGCACTCTTACTTCGTTCCTTATACAGGGTGAACTCATCTAGCTCCGAATCTGAGAGAAACCTCCGTATATAGGTGCGTTGTTCTCTAATCAGATTACCCGCACCTACAAGCAACGTATAGTTCATATGGTATTATAAACATGTCAGGGTACTGATCCGCATAACCGTCTTCTATTCGAACAGTTCACTCGGTTTTCTACCAACAAACGACTATAACTTCTTATCAATGACTCGCTTACATAGTCATTCCAGGTGTTTCGATCTCACCTTAAGGCTGTTCTGGCTATACAATCCCCATTAAAAGTGATGGAAATTTGAAAAAAAAGCAATTAATATGTTGTTGATGTACAATTAGTTACTTCAGAGGGTATATTTACAATAAAGTACATTAAAATTAATAATTAGAAGGATTTTCAAAGATATTTAAGAAATTTTTACCACTATTTTCTGTTATTTGCAACATTACCTTTTGTAACTTTTGAATGTCCTTCATTTTGAACCTAAGAAAATGAAAATAGCACGATTTTAACACCCGAATATAGTGTAAAATAAATACAATTACTGTATATAAATATTAATAGAATCATTTAAAACATTTTATATAAATCGATTCGTTATTTTATAAAAATAAAAAATTATATTTGAAGCATTTATAAAGGAATCTATCCTCTAAGTACTCTTTATTTTTTGTGAAATATGTTTCTAATATAATTAGTTGTTATTATAACAATTTTCAAAATCCTGGCACTATTTTTTATTTACTTTTTTCTCAATTAAATGTGACTGCATTTCGTGAAACTCCATAATAAGTTGTTTTAATTCTAAATGGTAATGACTTTTAAACAAGCTTGCAAATCTTTTCAAAAATTGGTAGGTGAGTTTATGATAATATCTACTTATTTACAAAGTTTCAAACATCTGTCACTATTTAGATCTATAGCCAGTATAACCTTAACCGAAAGACGTGGATAATTTAATTAGAGAATAAAGCGCCTAATACTCCTACCAAAGGCTCCTACCAAATTCGGATTCTAGGATAACTAAGAGTATAGTAAATGCTAATTAATATTAGAAAAATTTAGTAATAAATCATAAAGTACAGGCTGGAACGTTTGATCCTAAACATATATCAATGAAAAATATTAGTTATCAGTACTTTTCAATATTTATTATATACATTTAAGTAATTTCTAACAATTATTCATTTCAGAACATGAAATATTTTTTACTTCGAAATCGGAACAGGTGCATAGAGTTGATCAGCAAATATTTCAGTGCACAACAGAACTAGATTTTCGTAAGCCATAATACAGTAACAATAATAGTGACTTAATGATAAAAATTATTATACTGGATTAAACAGAGTCTCAACTTATCTAGTTTCCATACCGATGGAATATTTTAACGAAGAGAAATAAGTTACAGATAAATAATATCATGTATATGGAGTTTGCTTAGAAACAATCTGCCAAAACTCTACGCGTCAACAGATATCTTGTGTATATATAAATATTCCAAGCCTCTTAGAATAAAGGTCAAAGTCTATAATATATACTGACTATATTTTCCCCAAACTCTTGTCAAACTTTGATTGTAAATTATCTAATAAACTAATAAGCATCGTAACATGATACAGAATTGAGGAAGAACATTTAGTGTGAATACCCAATAGGTCTCTCTCCATGGTCCGTGCTCTGCCATGACCATAAACGCACGACCAGCGCAATTTAGAAGAGTCTTTATTGTTACAAGTTAAACTGGTTTTTAACGAAGCAGATAATATCGACTAATGAGTGAACAAGTTCAAATTGTTTCCACTGTTGCAATGGCGTCAGCAACAAGCAAATCGAATACCGGCAAAGCAAAATCAACAGTATCAAAATCAAGTGCTGTTGCTAAGCCGACGCATCCACGGACTTCAGACATGGTGAACGCAGCCATATCTGATCTTAAGGAACGTGGTGGTTCGTCTATCCACGCGATCAAGAAATATATTACATCGACGTACAAATTGGATTCAGAGAAGCACGCACTTTTTATCAGAAAATATCTAAAAGCTGCTGTGGATTCTGGAGCTCTTATACAGACAAGAGGAAAAGGAGCATCGGGATCGTTTAAGCTGTCGTCAGTCAAATTGGAGACAAAGAAACCCGAAGGTAAAATAATTCCGAAAAAAGTTCCGGCTCCGAAAAAAGTGACAGTTGCGAAAAAGTCGGCTGCGCGAAAACCTGTTCCCGCGAAGAAGAATGATACTCAGAAAAAAGTCATCGCGAAGAAAACTCTGAGGAAACCTGTCTCGAGGAAGACTGTTATTGCCAGTGTTACCCCCAAGAAAGGAAAGAAAATATCTGAAGTTAAGAACAGGAAAGCTAAGTCATCGCCAAAGGCTAAAAAATCTAATAAAGCATCTGTAGTAATGCCTAAAGTTCCAAAACCTAAGAGAGTCGCTTCTGCATCTAAGAATGTGAGGGCTGTTGCGAAAAAGTAACTCTATACGCAGACTGTACTGCGTAGATGTTGCCAACATAAAAGGGCCCTTTTCAGGGCCACCAAATTATTCGTACGAAAGAACAAACATGGTTTTCATATTTCAGTAAACTTCCATCTGAAACATACGTTGCTCATAAAAGTAAATAATCTTTACTTAAAAGATAAGTAAAATATAGTTATTACTTTCACGAACTTCAAGGATCTTTCATTAAATTTATTTTAAGGAATTTTCATATCAAGAAAAAGTTTATCCCTGTATATGCATTTGACGTAACTTTCATTTTGCATATCTGACTTCGGATAAACGAAAAGTTAGGAGTTAAATTCTTGGTTTCGAAAAAGTAGAAAGTTCCTATGTGAAAAGTATTATACCACATATAAACAAATTGTTGGTCCTGAAAAGGACCGATTTTTTTTCAGCTGTCAAGACAGTTAATGTTTATGCACGTTCTCCGCGAATACGACGAGCCAATTGAATATCTTTGGGCATGATCGTTACGCGTTTAGCGTGAATGGCGCATAAGTTAGTATCTTCAAATAGACCAACGAGATATGCTTCGCTAGCTTCCTGGAGTGCCATAACAGCTGAGCTCTGGAAGCGCAGATCCGTCTTAAAGTCTTGAGCAATCTCGCGAACCAATCGCTGGAACGGAAGTTTGCGAATCAATAACTCTGTACTTTTTTGGTAACGACGAATTTCTCTCAGAGCGACAGTTCCAGGCCTGTAACGATGAGGCTTCTTCACGCCCCCAGTTGCAGGCGCACTCTTACGAGCAGCCTTTGTCGCTAGTTGTTTTCGAGGAGCTTTTCCTCCGGTAGATTTGCGGGCAGTTTGCTTCGTACGAGCCATCTTCAATACAACGTGAATAAGAATCGAAGTTGACACAACAAAACTCAAACGTAGAATGAACAGCACGCCCAGTTACGGTCTTATAAGCTATGCCAGCTGCAGAGCTGAGCGCTCATTGGCTATTGAGGAAGTGGTGGGGATATGGTTCTGAGCGCTAATAAATAACGGTTCGACCAACGCTTTTTCATCAGTTTCACTGAGTGTCTCGTTCAGTTTGCTTCTAATAAAGTTAAAGTTGTCAATATGACTGGTCGTGGAAAGGGCGGAAAGGGATTGGGAAAAGGAGGAGCGAAGCGTCATAGAAAAGTTCTTCGTGATAATATTCAAGGAATTACGAAGCCTGCTATCCGTCGTTTGGCTCGCAGAGGTGGCGTCAAACGTATCTCCGGTCTCATTTATGAAGAAACTCGTGGCGTCCTGAAGGTCTTTCTTGAAAACGTCATCCGTGATGCAGTAACCTATACTGAACACGCAAAGAGGAAGACTGTTACAGCCATGGACGTAGTCTATGCTCTCAAACGCCAAGGACGTACCTTGTATGGATTTGGTGGTTAATTCTCATCGACCTCGACTACGCTTCTTCAGAAAAAATGGCCCTTTTCAGGGCCGCAATTTACTTACAACGTAATTGGAGCACGTTCGATTCCTAAAATTCTCATTTCCCCTTTAAGATGGTTGAGCATAATATATATATATATATATATATATATTAATATTTATTCATAAAAATAGTTCATTCTTTCTTAGTATCCGTTAGAAATAAATATAGATGGTGAATGTAAGGACGCCATGAAGAAAAAAGAAAAATTTATAATTATTTTTATACGGAGATAGAAATCCATGTACTATCAAGAATAACCATGGAGAATGTTAATATTTTTTCTGCTTAAATGATTTTATTCAAATAAGGAAAAGTACCACCATGTTCATATTATACACGAAGCGTCGTTTCTTAGTTGCAAGCCGTATATTTCACGTGTCGGCCATATTGTTAGTTCGCAACTTAGTTCACGAGTTTCATGCGAGATGGCGCCAAATACACTATTCTAAAGCACCAGAAAGTATGTCTAGGGAAGATGCTAAACCTTACTCTTATGGAAAATAATAATTTTAATTTATCCTATTTCCAACCCATGTGTTCCAATATACTTCATTTCTGATGAATCGAAGGACGAGAAACGGAAACATCGTGTCTCTAAGGCTGTAATTTTTGAAAAATAAGAAACACGGCTTATTAAAAAAAAATCAATATATCAAAGAAGAAATATTGAATGATCAATAAATATTATGCTCTTGAATAACGCATTTCGATTATAATCATCTACTAATCAGGTAATAATAATCGCCTTTTTGTTGTAATTTCACGTAAATGCCTGAATTCGAAAATCGTTTATAGCGCAATATCGATGGGAAACCTTGAATGAATAAAAAGTTACGCGAAGCTTGGTCTGGCTTGTTTATCCGATAACCATAAACTTTATATTGGACGCACTCATTCCAACGTTCTTTCGACTATGTTTTTTTCCCACGTTTCCGATCTTTATTTCCCTCATTCGTTTTTTCTCCCATTATTTCTGAATATCGAGGAAATGGAGCTCGATAATTCTTGGTTATCGAAGTTTCCAATAATCCATTTTTAAAAACGCAGCTGTTGATACGTAAAACTTTATTACGGCAAACGTTGGTGAATTTCGCGTTCCTTGAAAAAAGTCTAGCGCAAAGAAAAAAAAAAGGAAAAATCCAGCACAGTTAATTAAGGCGGATTCTCATATTGCGAATTTATTAACATTCGTGGCAGTCTGGAAGACTCTTGCGCAAACTGAAAATGTCGGGAGCGTTGCTCATTTTCATCACGAATTTAGTGTCAGTTACAGCCCTGTTTCAGTTTTCTGCTTCTGCATTGTCTTTCTTCCATTTTCTGGTCTTTCATGCTCCACAAACGTATTACCAACGAGGAGACACAGTGCACGCCCGAGCGATTACGCTCGAGCCTGTCTACCAGCTGTGCCGTAAGGCCTATGGAAATCTTGTATCTAATTATCTTCACGGGATTCGTAATTGACCTTCCGCCAAAACCCTCTAGCCGATAACTGGTAGGCACAGTTCCGATAATCCTTTGGCCACAATTACATTAAGGACGATGGCTCTGGCCAATTCGACAGGCAATTCCCTAAAATCAAATTAAACGGAACCCAACTGAACTTTCCAACGTTTCGATATTCACGTAACGTTCGCGATTACGAATTCCACTCCTGGAATTGATTACTAAGTAGCATTCGGAAAGTTTGAAATATTTCAAAAAAAGAAATCAAAGCAAAAATAAATTTTTCAAAAACTAAGTCAAAAAATTATTTTCAAAAATTCGTAAAATGAACCCCCTACCACAGCTATTGTAAAAATTAAAAATTTTTATTTAAAAAAATTCGCCTCGCTACTTTGCCGTTAAATAGAGATTTCTCGGTCAGAACCCAAAACACAAGAATACAGCTTCGTATAAAGCACTGTGGCATTGAATACGAAAGAAAAATCATTAAAATCGAAGGAAAACAAGGCTGCAAAGTAGAATCTTACACTTTGCTTCTTGATTCTTTTCCTTCGTTCACCAAGCCTTCACTATAAGGAAGTTCTTTGATTTATTTTGGCTATTTATATACATACATACAGTTAAAAATGTGGTAAAAAAAAGCTAACAAAACAATAACGATAATTTTTTGAAAATTTCAAAACCACGTAAAATCTGAACCGCTTTAGCGATCTTGTCGAAATTCAGTACCAAACAACATTGAACGTATCTTCGGTTACGAAGATCTATTTAGCTAAATCGTCGAACCTTCACGAAAGTTAGAGCGACCACGCCCTTTTTTCAAAAAATGTTAAATTACATAAAATCTGAATCTCAAATTTCAGTCCGATCGTTCTAACGGTTACTAAATAAGAGGCAATTGAATTTTCGAAGCCCTGCACACACACATACATATATACATACAGACATTTTTTCTAAACTACTTTTCTTGACGTTTTAGACCATGTTAAGTATTCTAACATGAAAATATCGAAAAAAAAAATTTTCATGAAAACAGCTTCCTCCATGAGGAAGCAAAAAGGGATGAAAAAACAAAGTCCAGAGATACGAAAGACCGGAGGTCAGAGTAAAGTACGTGCTCTTCCATGTCGCACGGTTCAAGACGCAATTCCCGATGGAAGTTTCATGAGGATTCCTTACGTCTTACAAACATACTTACAGAGTCAACTAAAATAATGTCAACCTCGAGGAAGTAATATCCCGTATTCGTTTTCATAGAAGTTCCACGAGGTTCCGCGAAGATTCTTCTCGAGCGTTCGCAACGAGACTGTGCACTACGGAGATGTCAGAGAACAAAGAGGAGCAAAAAAAAGGTAATAATAAAATCAAGAAACTTTCGGGACCCAAGTTTATAGCCGCATCTAACAGAGCCTATGGGATTTTCTCCATTAACATTTCACTGCTTGTTTATCCTTTTTTTTTTTTCACCAGAAAATTCGATGATTTTCACCGGGCCCGACTCGGCGTACCAACCTTATAAATATGAAAGGCCATGCCCGTCTAGCGTAGAAATTCGGGCTGAACGCTACCATCTCTCCCCACCATCCATCCTGGAAGCTTCCAATCTCTAAGCACAGAGATACCCGTAAGCCAGAGAGCTCGTCGGAATTGCATAGTCAGGTTTTTTTTTCCCCCAGTTACGTGAATATTGAATGACTCGTTCTCGTTGAGTTTGAAAAAAAATAAATAAACATTCCTTTCGCACGACTAATGGTGGTAAGACTGAAGAAAAGTTACGTTTTCTAACAATGCTCAACTATCACGTAGCTCCGACGGTCGATGGTTAAAATTCAGAGAAATTTCTCAAAAAATCATTTCGACGCGATACAAAGACATTTTAGCATTAGAAAATTTACATGTTTGACAGTAACACTTTTTTTTTTCAGTACTTGACTGTTACTGGCAATTCTTAAGATTCACTGAATATTTAACATCTACTGACGGATATCAATTTTGCTAATAATCATACCACGTGGCATTTAAATACGTTCCAGAAGGAACATTTTTTTTTTACTTAAAACGATGACTTTTTCATACATAATTTTATTACTGTATCTATATTCGAGTAATATACACATTTAGAACTGGCTCAATTGTTATCCAGAGTGGGCGGCTCGCGATAACATATCTATAGAGCGATACTACCAATTACGCATGTAACTATTCTCGACCGTGTATACGTGGGTATATATGTATATATATACACGCGGATAGATAAAGTGCAATATTGCGGATAGCATAGACCCGCGAATCGCCCACCGCAGCACGTATTCCGCTAACGATCCATAATCGCTCGACTAGTATCCTACCAAATTCGAAGGACAGCACGGAATCCGGTAAATAAAATAAAAGATAACATACCCAGGCAATCGGACTGATCCAGATTCCACTTCTATCCGAATCTCATTCCCTCGCTCTCCTGCAGCTTCTCTTTTCTCTCGTCAACCTTCCATTTCTGCTTACTCCTGCACTCGCTGCTGAAAACTAATGAAAAACGGATTTTTCTTGTAAAAGGGTAGAAATTCCTTAGAATTTTTCAGATAATTTTTTTTTCGTATCTTCAATTACACGGGATCCCGATTATATGGATGTTAGACGGTAGAAATTGACTTGCGTAATTCGGCCATGTTAATCGAGAGACTCGGTCGAGTCTGGCGCCAAGTATAGGCAACCGGCGATACAGCGAAGCCGACGAAGCAAATCATGTAGCTGAGCGTCATTAATGGCGTCTTGCTTGTGGACGCAGTCCACAAATAATCCTGTCCATTCTCCTCTCATACGGCTTTGAAAAGCTGGACACTATTAATGACGCTCATCTGCATTCGAGATTAGATTTTCTTTTAAAATTTATATATTTTTATGTATCTGTAACGATACAGATTTGAGTGCTTGGAATTTCTTTAATGTAATCCCGTTGAGAAAAAAAATTTGTTATATCCCCCCCAAAAGACGCTTACGTGTAAAAAGCTATGCCAAGTAGAGGAGCGCTGTGGATTCCTTGAATAAAATGCATTGAAATTACATAGGCTGGACATGCCCGTGTAATCTATGCCGCGTGGTTTTGATATGTAGAATGTTATTAAGTACGTAAGGGTAAATGATACTCGGTTGGCTACCAGTGAATTCACCTGATGGTCAGAAAGCCAAATGAGCCTACAGCATTGGAATGAAATTCCCTGAATGTTTCTTCTCCTGAAATAAGTTAGTTAGATTAATTAATTATTAAATGATCATTAAATCGTAATTGGGTATGAGAAGCAGTAGTAACGTAAAGGAGTAGCGAAGACGTTATAGGAAATTTTGAAAATACAATTAAAATGATGGGCCAGTGCTAGATCATATAATAGGTAAATAGGTAGGAACTTATGTACTCGGAATTAATAATATGATTTCGATACTTTTTCTTACAAGAATTCACAGCACTTCTGTATTTGGCATAGTTTTTACACGTGAGCTTTTTTTGGGGGGTTATCCTATTAAGGATGGGCTTTATTTTGTGTATATATATGTGTATGTGTATATGGAGGATATGATAGAGCTGTATGATAATCCTATACAGAGAACTGAAGCCAGGTTAATCCTATGAATGCGCAGCAACGCTTCGATAATAGAATTACAGAATTACTGGATAGGTGCTTTAGCGGGGTTGCAGTTCGCTAGGCGCAGAAGTAATTGTTTTAAACGCTGTACTTAGTGGAATTATGTATAGGGTTACGGCATAACTGTCGTTGGTTGGTCTGTGTACCGTGTTCATGTAATAAATTCTACGTATCCTCGTTATATGACGGAAGCGTGGGGTTATTAATTTTTTTCTTTTTAATATTCTTATTTATTAGATTCTTATTTCATTTTGCTTATCTGACTAGCTGACATCGTAGTTGGTAGTTTCAACAGTGGCCGCTAGATGGCACATTCAAGTTCAAAGGATTCTACTGGTGCGCTGTAGTCAGTCTCGCTAAATATGTAGCTACAAATGGCTGTTATTCGTATACAAGAGTTAATATATCTATATCGGGTTTTCGAAGAATTACCACAGTACGTACAGAAGTTATCTATGTCTTTCGTGTAGTTACGCCAGTTCGTAAAGTTCGTTCGGCTTGTAACACTCGGCAAGTTCTGCAATCCCATTGCAGCTGTAGGAGCGTCGCTGCTATGCAGCGATATGATTTGATTTCGTGTAGCTAACAAAAGTTTGCCGAGTGGCAGTGCATTCCGGGCGAATCTCAAGGACTGAAGGATCTACACCAGTCTGATTGGAATTATCGTGTATCGTGCATCCCTGCTGTATCGTTCGAGCTGTTTTCTTTATTTTTTGGTCTGTGGTTCTTTTTAACTTTACATACTTTCTTTTTTTCTACCTTGTTACACCTGACGGATCCAACGGCGCTTGTCTTTGGGGAATCAAATTCGTTCTCTGCTTCCTGAATATTTATAACCTATATATTCTACGCGCGATGCACGGCTCGGCGCAGCTTCCAATATACCGACAGAGGGCAAGAGGAAAGGAGACGGTAAGAAGAATGAAAAAGAAGGAACTAACGAGTGAGACTCGAGCTCGCTCCGTTTTGCGATTATCGAACGACTCTTGAAATTTTATTAATCCGATAGGATTCTCTACGGCAGCCGAGCGAAATCTATTTCACGATTTAATTATCGCGCGCTTCCAGACCTCTTGGTTCGTGTCGATTGCACGTGCCGCAGGGACGATGTGCCTATATAGAAGGAAAGGTGGAAAATAGATCACAAAAAAAAGCAGAGTATCGTAGGGGCATGACGTATTCCATAAATTCTCATGGACGAGACTTTTCGCAGAGTTCATTTTCATTGAATTATAGTCTAACTATTTATATCGTGGTATTTAATTGACTAAAATTTCAAAGGGTTCGGTACACCTGGACGAAGTAGTACGAGTTTAACCGGCGCGTTATATAAATGCAAATTATTACTATGATCTTAATTGATTGTAAGGTAAGGTTAGGTTGGACGAAGTTAAAGGGAAATATATCCTAGGCTCTGGGAGTTGCGCTCTCTTTAAACTATCGCTACCTCTGCCGAACTATTGTTTTGGTTTTAACAATTTTTTTGAAAACTTTTTCATTTTTTGATGTCTATCAAGAAACTTTACTCGTGAGCGTTTCAGTCGTCGCGTCGTAGATGATGTAAAACATTGTCACAGAGGGTAGAACAAACGTACGAATTTCCGTTTCACTCCAGGTGGCGACAGTGTCGCGCGAGGGTTACAAAAACTTCTTACATTTGGCTGACAGAGAGACGACGTCGCGTAGCCAGAAAATGCCCTTGCGTGCCATTACGGTGCGACCTCGACGTTTTAATTTCAAACCCCGTTGATGTGGGTAGGATAGCTGTAGTTAGGTAGAAGGTAGTACGTAGGCTCCGGTAAATGGGTGGGTATGTAGGCAGACACGTGTGTATTTACGCTCTCGATTATGGTACACACGGGACCATAACGCTCACGGGGAAAAATCTTTATGAAAATGTGGAGTAATTTTTTGTTATTTTTTTATCTCATGATCATATTTTTGCCCCCTTTACTCGTGGCAACACCGTATAAAATTTCGGACGTTAAATAAATATTCTTGCGCCCCAGGGTGTCGTAATGACGCAAGACATTAGTAAAAGTTTCATCGAGACGTCATCAACAATATCGTAACTCAACAACAGGTTGCCTCGACTTTTGCAAGTTGTACGAGAGACGTAGATTTACATGCGCGCGAGGAAACCTTTATTTATCTGTGAGGAGGCTCAGCCATCTATCGGATTCGTCGGGAACTACTCGACCATTTTAATTTCCATTTAACCCAACTGTCGTTCTTTGGTATTTCGACCTGCGTTTCTGTCAAATTATAAGTTTTTATTGTAATTTCATAATAGCATCGTTGGCAATTCCCCCTTGGGACGCCTGGTGTCGATGACATCACGCTCTTCGAACTTCTCGTCACTGTTATTAGGGCAAGTATCAGTAACGTAATTTCCAGCGCTCCAAAGGGCGCTACTGATAGTCGGAATTCTCGTTCGAATGCAAATTCAAACTCCACCGGGCTATTTCGGGAATTGCACAGGACGTGACTAACTCGTACACTTCACATATGTTGATGCATATATACACCGCATGTAACTGCATACCGTTGGCTCTGGACTCATTACTCTTTCCGTCATCTATATTACATCCTATTAGAGATACGAATATATCTATTTGCATTTCGATATGCTGTATCTACATTAGCAAAAACCTATAATCGATTCTCATCAAGCGATCAGATAGCGTTAATACATTGAACGACCAGTTATTAATTTTAATTATAAAAATTAACGAAAACTAAAAGACTCGTTTTCCACTGATATTACACAAGCACGCAGATGTCTCTGAGAAATGTTTGAATCCCCTAATAAAAGTGTCCCTGCAGATATATATATATATAATCACTAGAAAATTAGGTTAACGTGATAAGCGTGGTTTGGCATGATTAAGCTACGGACTAAAACCCTTCCTGGGCTCTGGCGGAAGTTGTTGGATCTTGGTGCTGAAAGCTGTGATGTGGTCTTTCGAGGTAGGATGTGGGGCTACAGGAGAACGGGTGGCATCTGCCAGAAGCCGTTCCGTAATCAAAGCTTCCACCAGGGTATTGACGGCTCTCAAAGTGGGTGCCAGCCACCGCCTAGAGAGAAGAGAAGCTTCGACCTGACCAGAGTCGGGACTTCGTGGAAGCTTCGCATAACTTAATCTTGGCCAACCGTCCTTGAATTTGTCCCGGGCTTCGCGTAGCTCTCACGTTAAAGAATAAAGAAGGCACCGTGTATAGCTGCCAAGCAGCACCATCTACCGGAAGCTTTCAAGCCCCGATGAAAGCGTATAAGGAACGTTGGCTGATTCGGTTCGACGCGTATCCACCGCGGCGCCGTGCGACGTCACAGGAGTATGAAACGCATTAGACATATATATACATATATAGTCCGTATTTCTAATTACAGGTATATCACTAATTATTTCTGTATCTCGTATTTAGCTGATAACAGATAGTTAACTGCTGTCGGGATCCAAGCCTCAGTCGAATGACTTACGGAGAAACGTGGCGTATTAGATTTACGCGGGAAATTTGAAATTTGAAATATCAATACGTCGTATCGACGTTCTTAATCGCTATGAGACAAATAAGAAATTTCATATATTTTGTTATTTCGATATGACGTACAAAACAAAAAGAAAGTATAATTAAATGAAAGTCCCCCGAGTGTATTTACGGGTCTCGGAGAAAATTCAGGATGTACGACTGTGTACGGAGTTTAATCCTAAATTCAACCTGACTGTACCTCTCCCGTACGTATCGTGTATTTGGATTATCAAAAGCTGCATCCCATGTATCTCAGGTACAAAGCGTACAGGAGTATCGACATATTGGGTAGGATAGGGGATACCAACTAAGAATAAGAAGAATTGCCAAAGTAAATTCGCGAGGGAAATTCATGATATCGAAACTGGCACGGGAGGGCGCCGTAAGGTTCGGTATTACGTAACGCCCTGGTGTACTCAACTAGCTAGAGCGCCAACTCCGATCCTTATTTATTCATCCGCTTAAGAATTACGCCTCTGCCCCGCACTACGCGAATACTCTCGCATCTCAGATTGTCACAGTTTCGCTGTACTATACTTGACGTAATGTACTTCCTGCACGGTCTGTACACCGAAAGGTAGCTAAGGGCGCTGGTAACTCGCAACTTCTATTTAGCCTAACCTGCTCTATCCCAATCTTTACTTTTGTCCTAACCTAAACTAACCTGACTTAAATTTTCGCGAAACGTTCACACCTATAATGCAGTTAGATGCTTTGTGCCGGATCGCGATGGATCTTATCGTTGCCTTGAGAAACGTAATTATGTTTCTCACTTGTGCGCGATTATAAACAATTTTGTAATCTGCCGATATACGCTGTGACGCTTTTCTCTCCTTTCTGTTTCACGCTTCGACTACGTGTATAAACAGAGCCAAAGATAAGATAAAGTATACGTATTTTTAGTGATATTTTTTAATTACTTTCTTTCGCTCGCCACTTGTTCAGTCAAATGGTAGAAGGTCGGTATGGCGAACGGTCGATGGATTTGTCTTGATTAGCTGACGTTTTCCAAGGTAATAGCTTTATTTAGGTATAGGCACGAGGGTGTATAAGAAATTAATGGAAACTGGCAGTGCGCTCTCGTTTCTTTTCGATTCCGTAGCGGAAATAAGTGCGCGTGTTGGTAGCCCTGGCTATATATGAAAACTCGTAAATACGTCCCGTAAAAAGGGCTCAGGTCGTGAGAAGAACTGTACGTTTAGATGAAAATAAAATGGAGCTTGCTATTGGATTTTTTTTCAAGCTTTTAATATGTACACGTAAACAAAGTTAATTTTAGCCAGTGATAATCCAAGCATTGTAATTCGACTTTCTTTTTTTACACTGTACGTCGAGCTTTTTAATATTTTATCGAACGAGCGAAATTTTTTATTTGCGCGATTTGTACTTTCCAAGCAAAATGGTTAAGATATTTAGCGACGTATGGATACATTGCGTACGATAGATTTTAGCCTTTCTTAATATTCGATCAATTTAATCAGTCGCGTTCGATTAATTCGCTAATCGATTCTTCCTTTCATCAGCTTCGAATTTGTACACCCGGTACATCGGTAAATACGGTTTTACTTCTCCGTCGCTGTCTCCCTCGTCCCCGGTCGGATCATCCGCATCAGGCTTCGAGGATCGATATACACGACTCCTCTCGTAAGTCAAACGACCTGAGAAATTAATCGTAATTAATGACTTCCGGTATAAGGACCAGGTAAAATAATATAAAAACTTCACGCGACATCCGACCGTCGTCCTTACCATCAAATTTCACAGTTTCAGCTTGATTAGAGTCGATCGTTGAATTTTCAAAATTCTCACTACCAGCTGCCATTGGTTCCTCGGACTCTATTGGATTCTGATAATGATCCAATGGTACAGTACCGATTACTATGTCAGTTCGAAATTTCAGATTCTTTTGCAACAGCCTATAGTACCATTCACTGATATCGACACAGGCCTCTACTTTGAGCGTGTAACGGACATCAATGATACTGCAGTGAATCATCCCCGTAGGTGATATGGCAGGAACGTCTATTGGAATTGCATAAGTCTCAATTCCAGGATCAATCGGCTGTATTATCTCAACGATGATCTCCTTATGCTTGCGAGTCTTCTCAGTCGCGTGATAACTGACGACCTACCGGTGATCAACAGTTAAGTCCCTATGACCTTCATACAAATTTGGACGCCATATTGTCTTCGAGACGTCACTTTTGGGTATAAATGATAAAAAAAAATTTTTGATTATACCTTTTTCAAAACTGTCCGCATCTTCTTGACTCCCACCTGGGACGTGTTTTTTACTGCTACGTCCACCGGGATGACCTGACCAGGTACGTAACCACGCACGGGAAGAGATACAGACATGTTCAAAGGTTCCGTCTGACCCATAAATGTCTTTGAACAGGTTTCTCGAAGTGGCAGCTAAAATGGACAGAGGACTGGATGTAAATGCATTACACCGATACGGATTCAGCACTTACCGGAGCCACTGGGTCGCGATTCAGATTCAATATGGATGCGACTGTGAACGGTAGGATATTCGTTGACAACCTGAGAATGGTCGTTACATCCAACATGGCACGGATGGAATAACGAACTCTACCATACCGACCCTCGAAGCTGCATGGTATGTCTTCAGGTAGTATAAATTGAAAGCTGTACGTCCCGGAAGCAATGTTAGTTTTGTTGGATCCGTCTGCGTTGAAAATAAATGAATACTTGTGAATTCCGTGATACGAAATAACTAAGCGGTATATCGATACGTTATTTTAATATTTGGACACGTGTAGCGACACTCACCCCCTACGAGATACGTTTCTTCGTGAAAATAATTTTCCTCCGCCCTGAACTTCCGGCGGATACCAGCCGACCGATCCGTAAAGTACACCTGAGACTCGCCCTTGTACTTCAGTCTGAGACCTGATTTCAAGGAGAAGACTCTCATTAGGAATGATTCTAGTAACGAGGCTGTCGTTTAATTTGCGAACACACGGTAGATGTGGTTGGGGTCGATATTACGTTTGGCACGTGTTGGATTCGGCTCGACGAGTACTATTTTTTTTTTAATTGCCACCCCCTTGTTCTTACTACCGTAAACAAAATTATTGATGACCAACAGCAATTAACGTGAAATTGATTCGAACAGTTTTGTAGCTGCAGAGGTAGACTGTTCGTGTATCTTTAAAATCAATATGTTTCTTTGGGGATTTAAAAAAAGAATTTGTATGCACTTTTGTGATACTTCAAGACTCGGTATACGGGGTGGTGGCGAAGTAGCGATTTAGACTTGGGGTGTACACGGAGGGTTTGGAAATTCGCTTGCGACCCAAGAGCGAATTGGTTCGGTTGTTTCTGTTCCTAAAGCAGAGGAACCAGGTCGTGGCTAACCTATGGCGCCGATCGGAGACTTCAGTGTCAGGTAGACTTTTCCGGTGACTGGTTGTCCGCCATAGTAAACAGCTTGCGGATCGTCCAGTAAGATATCAAGGCGTTCGACCCCTATGCTGGAAAAGAATTGGAGCGAAAAGAAAATTTTATTTAAAATTTCAAAACTTTGTAAATTTACATAAGAAAATTTTTTTTCTAAATACCTCTCAGAAACTGCTGAATCTGCGGGGGCGTCTTTTCCGTCTGGTTTTGTATCCTTTCCTTGTTCCATTGTTCTTATAGGATCACTGATTTCCAGAATTTCGCTCGTGTCCACTGATAATCACACTGTCAAATTGGCACGAGGATTGGCGCTACGTGGTTGGCTGCAATTCGCAGATGTCGCGTTACACAAAATAGTATATACTGTTTGTACTGCATGCAAGTGGTGTACCGCAGTGATTATTGGCGTTTCGGGATTCTCTGACTGGTTTACGTGAGCGGAACCGTAGCGGACGGTTTGTTGTCAAGATTCCAAAAAATTTGGACGAACAAAAGTTGGCGAGTACGCATGCGTCGGTACGTTCGCCAATATCGCGGCGACGTTCTGTCGCCTCGCGGATAACAACCCGCCGCGTGACGTCACGGTCAGCCCTTATAAATTAAATTGATTAAAAAATTTACCCTTTTCTCACGATGCGCACCACTTTTATTAGACATGTCAAATTCCAAAAGAAAAGTATAAAGTTGAAAAAAATTTCAAAAATTTTTTAACCCGCCAACGTATCTAACGAGCATTCGTTGCCCACACTGTATGTATGGGTCATTGGTTACGGTACGTCTGTAGTAAGACTTGATCCCGGTTAAAATTTCTCTACCGATTCTTTTTCTATCCGCATTTTCACTTACGTCACAAGCTTTCGTTACGTCACAATCTTATCGCAGTTTTTCCTCGTCTCGTTCAACAAACACAGAAAAGTAACGAAAGCGTATTTTGCGCTTGGAAGTTTTTCTCCTTTCCTTTCCCCGTCTTACCTACGTAATACGCGGTACGACGCTGGCACGTTCGAGAGATCGGGTAATCTCGCATGGGGTTTTGCGTCATAAGGCGAGCAAAGTGCCACCATAAATCGAGCGTTGTCGCGCGTTATCCGTTACCCACGAGACGGGAGGGACAGAAGGATATAGATAATATCGACACGCTGTATTTTTGTATTAACTATAGAGTGGAAGGGGCGAGGGAGTTTGGAAAAAAATTTTTAATTAAAAAAAATAACATTTTACCAGGATAAATTTAATTGACAATTATTATTTTGCAAAAAATTATTAACCCTTTTTTTTGCATAAGACTCTGTATGGTATATATGCAGGTTTCATTGAGTGCCAAGTTAATGCGAAAAGTTCGTAAATGAATATATCTGACTAGATTTACATATTACGGGTTACGAATGACGTACATTTGTGGAATTCAGCAAGAAGCGATAGACTCGATGAAGCAGCATGCATGCACTGTGTTTACGTATATAATAATTTTAGTTTAGTTATTATTTCTATAATTTCCACAGTTCATGCGAAAAGTTTGCACATGAATGAAATTCTGTATGTTACGTAATGCTTTATGTATATACATATGTGGAAGGACTGAATGAGGGTTGACGTATTAAATTCGCGTGGAGTGCGTATATATATGGCTGTAGGGTGCTAAGCAGATATAGCTAAAAGTTAATTACGCTTCTAGTAGCCAGAGGGAATTGCACTAATCCAGCTAATTTCTGTTAGGATGAATACGGAATTGGCTTTTTGACGTATAACATGAATGATATAGTAATCCGTTGTGGATTAATAAATGTTTTATGTAGAAAGTGAAATTTTTTTTTTTTAAATTAATCAAAACCTTTTGGTGTGGTCGCTAAGGATTTTAAATCAAGCAATTTTTTTAGTATACATATATATATATGATTTACCATGAAGTTCTGGCGTTACCTAGATATTAATTATCAGCTGATAAGACCCTTGAACGTATCCGCTGATAAGACGAGTCTCCTGCTGGCGTGCACAAATATAATTGGGTATTATTAATTAAGACAGGATCACGGGTGCCAACTAATTGCCGGCCGTAAGAGGTTAGGAACCCCAGCGCATTATATTCAGGCATAGATACGAAAGCGCTACTGGTATAGATACGGTTCGAAGGAACGAAATTCCTTGATCAGGATGAAATCTTTGATAAGGCGGATAATGCGATAAGGGAGATAAAGAACCTTAAGTCTGAAGGATGCGCGGTTATCCAAAAAGGTTACGAAACGAATGGAATTTGCGTAATTGCAATAGGTAAATTTCCCTGAAATTCTAAAATGTTCCTGAGCTCGTTCACCGAAATGTAACGGATTTGAAATTCGTCGAAAATACTTTTTGATAGCAAAGGCTTAATTGACTTTGATAACGCATTCCGTTTGCGTATAAAAAATCTAGCCAAATAAAACAGGGTATGGTTGGTAAAAACATAAGGCGACTAAAATCCAAATGAATAATTGGACGACATCCTGAGTAACTTGGCGTAGATCCTTAAAGGTCCTTTCACACAAAATATTCATAACACAGAAAACAAGTCTTTATTTTACGCATTTATAAACACGTGCTGATTGGTCTGTAACTTATGTTACGATTATGAATTCGGTGTGGAAGACCCTTAATACTATGCGGTATAAAGAGTCTGATGTTACACGGTAAACAGTGATAAATGACAGAAGTTCACTGCGCGCCATCTACTTCCTGTCTAGTATTGTGAAGTAAACCATATTAGATATAGTATCACATCGTGTAACATGTTCGTGAATAAAATTTTATTTTACGGGGGTCATCACCTTACCAGCTATAAGGTCTAAGAGTCCCCTGTATATATTACCACCTAGTGATACTATAATATCGCGTATACGTGGTTCTTAAGATATGAGAATTTCTATCGTATAACGCGATTCCATTTCTCTCTTGTTCTTTCTTTATACGTTCTTACTCCGCTTGTTTACTTATTTATTTATTTACTTTACTCACGGTACACGGAACATTTCTCGGGATGCAGAAGCAAGTGCACTCGGGGACGCGACTGATTTATTACTGCACCCCAAGAGGTCCACCGAGCCGGGTTGAATGTGGGGGCTGGCTGCTACAACGAAAACAACAAATACCCGCCAAGTAATAATAGTTTCTTGTAGTTCCGCGACAGTGGACACTGGGGAAAAGGTAATCCCGACGTTCCCATAAATTTCAATGGTAACGATTATCATGGTTCTTATTACTTTTATCCAGGAGGACGAAGTGAGGCGAATAAAAAAAAAAAAAAACAGAAAACCGTACCCCAAAGCAGAAAGGTATATAAAATAAATTTTTGTTGTACACACGTACAATTATTATATTTCTAAAAATGGCCTTTTTTTACATATATGACTAGGCAAGTGCAAAATAACGCTTACGTATGGCGAATTTTTGAATTTACTATTAAAGGTCGAAGTAGTTGGAAAACATCTTTAGAGAAACCCCAATAAAAAATTGTAGCATTTCACATTTCCTATTTTGTCTTTGCCAATGTTGTACCGCCTAACGCCAATGGGGTTTCTATTGATCGATTAAAAAAAAAATCCATTTATATATATATAGGCATATGTATGTGCGTATACGTGTATTCGATGATATACATATCGATAATACCTATCTGTAGAATCGCCATTGCGTATACGCGTTATACGTAGCCATGTGCGTAATCGCCGGATCGAATCCACTGCGAAACTGGAGGGTTCGCAATTTATGGATAGGTCGAGTTATTTGCGACCTCGGTATTCGCAAATCAGTTGGCGATGCTGTCAGCGTCCTTGCCCCCTTCGCCACAGGCAAGCAGCATTGGCGCGGAGACGTAATTTTTACTTCGTCGCGATTCGCGACAAATCGATTCGTACGGCAATCAATTGATTTACCATCGATCACTAGGTGCCTCAATTTCGTCGTTATGAACTCTGAAGGATTGAACAGAAAAATATTGAAATCGATATACGCGAGCAAGCGATTAACACGTGCGGAACGGAAAGTTCTTATCATCGATAAGGTAGATTGGAACCGGAAGTTGACTAGGGAGCAAGAAACGAACGAGGAAGAGGATCCACTCTAGATTTATGCTTTCTTCGTAATCAGGAGATTCCATGTCTCCACCTTTTCGAAATTCGGCAAAAATTATCCCGATAATCGCGATTTTCTATCGGTTCGATGAAGATGCTGCGGATGATCTCGCCGAAAATCCGGAACCGGTAGAGACAATGGGGTACAACGGCGTCCGGTAGTAAATCCCTTCAGCATTGTCCATAACGTGGAATACGCAGTCTAATGGCTGCTGATACTAGCTGAATGCATGCATAAGCTCCTTAGTAACGGATAATCTCTACAGGGTGGAACGAAAGAATAAATGAAAATTGAATTTCAATTTCAATTATGAAAATATAATTGTTCCAACGAAATAATTAAATTTATCTAATTATTACGCACCCACTATAAAGGTACCATGGACCAAAATATTTTTAGACTCGCGTTTGGTTAATTCACTGACACCGAGAGCGACGAAGAAATTCGTATCCTATAATGTCCTTACTCAATTTAGGTCACGCCAGGTTAATCATAGCAGAGCTTAATTTTATCGGGCACCCGGTATATTATTGCACACGCGGTGTGCCGCCGATATCGCGACATGACGATTAGGGCCTATTGTCTATGCGTAATGGCTGCGCGTTGACATAATTAATAATACATCTTCTATTCCGTTACGCATTCACGTAATGTCTATATACCGTCTACGTTGTATATGCAGCTATATATATATGTATATATATATATGTATATATATATATATATATATATATACATATATCGATCTACGTTATCAGCTGCACCGGATGATTAGCCCGAGGATTGTTTACCAGAACTTGTTCGATTAGCGTCCGGTTGATCAAAAAAAAAATCTGTATTGACGACGAACGTAAAATTAAGCCTAGATAATAAATTAATTTTAAGATAAGATAAATAAAAAAAATGTTTCATTTTAGTCTCAACAATATTCCAATCTTAAAATGCTATTACGAGATATATGAATTAGATACGTTTTACATTATCCTGACAAACGACTCTTGAACAGGTTCAGTTAAGCATTCAGGTTCTGTAATAATTCATTGCAATTTAGAATCTAGCGGATCTAACTGTCGGATTATTTGTTATAAGCCGAATGAATATGACACAACGTACCCAAACAGGATGATCGTATAAACAAGAGTAATAGGAAATGTTAGACAGTCATAAACCGCACGATAGAGTAAACTAATGGTTTAATTGACCCAAATTAGAAGAGGAGAGTCAGTGAGAAATTTGGATTCATCAAAATAATTTATAGAATCGCATCATCGTGATCGCTATTGAAATGGAAACCTTTCTTAGAACTATTACCGATTTTTAAGGAGAATTACTATGTACAGGATATACGAAATCAGAGGGGTTACATAATTGTACCTGGTAATCAGGTTAGTTGGAGTAACAAGGATAAAAAAATATAATAAAAATTGTGACTGCAGCTAAGAGAATGTCAAAAACGTATTTTTCGACATATTTTTTAATTTCAATATTTTTTTTATATCTATTTTTTTTCTCACTACGTTGATTGACGTAAAATTTTATTGGTCGTTCAAGTTGATATCTAATTATCACTGTACCAATGGTTCAAGAGAATCGCTAACGAACCAGCCAATAGTTACAGTTCGTTAGAGAATCAACGAGCAAATAATTATCATGCACAGTCGATCTTGATATTGCATTCCTGTTGCAGTATAAAATTGTCAGTTTAACCATCAAACTCGTTCACCAGTTTCCATCGCGAAACCGCTAGACTGAAAATTTTGCTAAAAGGCACTGGAAATGGACGTGTGTATTTAAAGGGTATCGACCCTTCAAAATGAGCCAACGAGCGTCCACGTTATTTTTCACGTGCCGTCGGGTATCTTTATTTAACCTTTTGCCCATACGGAAAATCAATATCGATAATAGAGCAGAAAAGAAATTTTTAATATTCGTTATTCACTGCAAGTGTTATGGACAATTAGCATTGGAATTGTCGTATTGCAAACTGAGATACCGGTCGACCCTATTGGCATGGGTGAAATATTAGCTCGGATGAAAGTAGTGGCTTTGTTAATATTAAAAAAATATGTTATAAAAGTGTCATAGAGATTTTTGAGCGTGACTGTAATGCGTATACAATGTATTTTGGGTTTAAAAATAAAAGAAAATTATGGTTAATAGTGGTTTATTAAATTATAAGATAATAAATAATAGAGAGCCGAGAATACACATACAGGAATATCTTTTTCTTGATCAAATGCGAAATTATAAAAATATATTTCGTAACTCTATTTATCCTCTATCCACGAATGACGTTTAATCGAAAATCCAATGAATGTTTTACTCGAAGCTTTCAGTCGGCAAGTGTCGACGTTCGTACGCTCAGGATTTGTCAAGGCGCCGCCTGTCGCCGTCGGGCTGAGAAGCTCGGAGGGCGTCGCTAGCTAGCATTAAAGTGAACTTTGAAACCGAATGTTTGGAAACTCTCTTGACTAAATCATCGGATTTAATGAAAATTTGAGCCGACGTGTGTATGTTGCGCAGAGCGTAAGCTCGTGAGAATTAATTCGCTCCTACGCGAGTATTCGCGTGGGTCCGCCAAAATCATTTGACAAGTAAATCAAGAGGATCTTCCAGGAACGTATGAGAATAAATGAAAATTTGAATCAGCCGTAGAAATGTGTAAACTTTCAAATGGGCGACCCACGCGCTTAATTACGGAACAACGTTTCAAGAACAATTTTCTTTGATTGCTATTACAAATTAGGGTTCTTGTACTTTGGATAAATCGAGTGGCGCTGCCGTCGCTCGAAATGCATAAGTTATATGAATTTTCGTGGTATATCCGAGAACTAAATGTAATAAGTTTCCCATCGTTCCGGACGAAAGTCGATAGTCTAAGTTAGCATATGTTTTACATAGTTTTTTCATTGAAATACGTAAAATTAATTGTCCTACTCCTACGCAAAGAACATAGGGACCTTTGAGCGCAGCCGTAAAAGCAACAGATGGAACGAATAAATCTTTCATTAAGGATTTTCTATAAAAGCCCATGTTACGTAATCGCCAAGTTCGTTCTTTGATATATATATAAATATATTATCACCTTTGTTTTCGTAATATTTCTAATGCTTAAATCTCATGCATCGTGCAACGGTTACATTAAATATAATTAAAATTAATTAGATAAATAAATAAAAAATGTAGATCAGTGCCCTTCTTTTCATTATCAACAAGGCGTTGTAAGTACTGTTTTGTAAATATAATAGTATAAATGTCGTATGAAAATATACTTCTCGCTACCTATTTCATACATTTTAATTCATTATAGGAAACATTATTTTCGTTATTTCTATTTATCTAATTCTATATCCTATTCCTTATCGTTTCTACCGAAACACATCTTCATACATCTTAACCTGACGTATCTCTGACGTACATACATGTAAGACAGTCTTTTTCGATAAAAAAATCATATATTAAAACGCATTTCTGCAGATGTAGCATCTAGTATCTATAAAAAAAGAGAAATAGCGAAGATACAAAAAAACAATGGAAAACGAAATAAAAATATGATTTAAGGTCGTTTACAATCTATCAAAGTCAATCGACCCAAGAAAGTCCCGATGGATCTCAGTAGCCAGCGGCCAGTTAACGTTATCATCAATTTTTAAAAAAATATTCTCCTCGAGCTCCACATCCCATCCGCTCAAAGTGAAAGTACCGTCATTCTGATTATTAAACGGTATATTTTCAGCGTTGGACTTGTTCGATTTACGTTTTGAAAATTTCCCGCGCTTCTTAGGCACCCGAATCTTTTTTTCGAAATCGCTTCTCGGCACCTGACCCTTCACCTCCTCTTCTTTCTTAAACACGTTGCCAACCGCGTTGTGATTTTTTAAAACGCCCCGACCACTCTCGCATTCTGGGTTTTCAAAACCAGAATTTAAAAACTTCGTTAAGATAAGCTTCTTCAAGGGCAACATTTGCTCCATGCTCTCTTCGGCTTGCGTCCTGACGCAACCATTTTCAGTCTTCACCTCTTGCCCTTTGCCAAAGTTTTCATCGTTTTTAATATCTGTCCCCAACATACTCGTCTCAGGTTCCATCTTGATCATATCCAACGAATAAATACTCTTTAGATATGATACTTTCGAAGGCATATTCAGAAAATAAATTAACGGCACATCTTCGAATTCCAGTTTACCAATCGGTTTGATCTTATGGTACAATGTTGCGATAGCTTTTTTCTTAATACGTTCGGACATCCTTCTCACGTTGGTCGCCTGAGTTTCGCATTCGGAAGTCGATGGACAATACGCATCGTCCATGGCAGGTAAATCCAATTTGATATCCAAACAAGCGTTTCCCACCATTTTGTATTTCTTCTTCGAGATAGAAGCCCATTTTCTCAAATCGGGATGTACCATCTCGCAGTGCTCATAGAATTCGCCCTTCGTAACGAATATCGTACCTGAATGGAGCACAGAAAAAATAATAATAACAACAACGATAAAAATGGCCGTTTTCTCAGATAACGTCAAAGGATTTCATTGCCGCATAAAAATCACGTTACAATCGAAGATCAAGTATTGTATTGTTCCGGGCGTCCTGTAGTGCCTCGATCTTTATTGATTTTACGAAATACGAAACGCTCCGAGTAAACACGAATAAATAGAGATCCTCTAGTACGTAATTGATACGCCTGTATACGATATAAACACGCTGCTGCTTTCTTCATGGCGCGAGCCCGATAAACACAGTATTGCCAATGGCAGTCACTGATCGTGAGTATAGTATAATAGTATAGTATATATACGTATACACAGTACGTGTTTAAGTGGCAACAGAGTAACAGCAGTGAGTAGAAATAGTGGGAGGCATGGCTTAGAGTAGTCAAGATGGCGGATTAAGTGATAGAAGCATTGTCAGAGAGTGAGAATGAAATGTAAGAATAGGATCCAGAGAAGGTGTTATAAACAAGAAACAATGCTTTGGCAAATAAGACGAGTCATAACGAGAGTCTCGTTTATTTTTCTCTTGGTAAAACTGTCGGTGCTTCTGCCTTACTCTTTAGAAATATATATATATATATATATATATTTGGTTTAGCGAGTAATATATATACTGTACGTAAAACTGGAGTTTACAGAATTAATTAGAACGCGCTAGTTAGTTGCAGCTTCTAGAGAGAAAATTGTACGAAAAATTCGAAAAATATGGTGGCTCGAGTATTTTCGTTGCTCGAGCAGTTCGCCTCTCGAGAAACTGTCGTGCGTTGTGTGGTTGAAAGTTACGACTTGAGGTACTACCGGGTAAAATGTACTTGAGACAGATCCGAGGATTGAAAGCGGTACCTAGTAAATATTTTTGTACTAGGAACGAAGTGAACGCATAAATTAGGGATGTAAAATTTGCAATTAACGCTAATTACCGCAGCATTCTCGTTGCTTTTTTGCTATTCCATGAATCCTCCCTTCATGACGACGAACGTTGAAATGTCGTCTGCTCTCGTATTTACATTGCGAACACATATACATTGCTCCCGTATGGATCTCGTCCTAATAATAAAAAAAGATAAATAAGAGAATAAACAGAAAAATAAAACAAAAAATCTTGCTACAAACTTGCTAAGCCAACGTCAAAGATCAAGAAAAGAAAAAAAAAAGAAAGGCCTGAATTTCCACAGAAGCAATAATGTTAGGTCAGGTTAGGTTACTCTCACCTGTTGCCTTAAAGAGTATTTTCATGAAAAAAAACTCGCAATTGCGAATTTCTTTATTTCCACGTTTCGCATAGATGTTGGGTCGACGTAGCAACAAGAAATATGTATATCCGCTGAGTTTTCATACGCACAAGTCTTCATACGACACTTGCCACGATGATACTTATGGGAAGGCAACACTTTGATTTTGCCGATCGTCACTGTTTTCACCATGAGAGAGAAATTATATGGAAATAAAAAAAAAGTCACCAAACTACGAAATAATATTGGACATCGTACGGCACTGCACTCGACGAAGTTGATAGCTCGACGTAGTGTTAAGAACTGACGTCCAACGACTAAGAAAACTCCTCCATAAACTATAGGGTACGTTTCTATGAAGGAACAGCAAACAAAAACACTAAAGTATCAACCTTGAATGACCGCTAAGATACACGTGCAGCCCCGACCAACCCTCTCTAATCCACTGCGTTAGACCCACTGGGCCCCACTGTTCACTACCGCCATTGGATTCGGTGACGCCGCGAGATAAACATTGTTAAACCTACCGCCACGTTTTCAAAGAAGCTTAAGCCGAAAGTTGCCGTGATCGATTGTAGTTTCGTGTTTCGATAATTTTTTCTTTTTCTTTTCTATTACAGTGTAAACGTACAATATTCTTTCTTACGAACTTACGGAACGTGAGTGAAAAAGTGTATTGTTATTGTCGACGATCAGTACTACGGTGAGTGTATATTTTAATAATTACGTAATTTTTTTTTCTGTCTTTCCTCATCGTAATGCTAAGTTCCAACCCATAGTCTATTAAAGTAATTATTCCGCATAGCATAAGGACGCTTTTACATGGACAAAATTTTCGATTTGGAGACACCGACGGTCGACTGCTAATCGGCGTTGATTGCAAACTTGCGCAATTGTCCGTTGTATAATGCCTTAATAAGCCCTGCTCTTCTAGTTGCTTTTAGTTCGTCGTAGTATTCTTGAGGCTTCCATATTGAATTGGAAAGTTTTCGCGTTACTGGGAAACAGCGTACAATTTTTTTTATACTCTTTTTTCCGTGTCTCTGTCCCTCTACAGGAGAATTGAGGAACTTAGGACGCTCTTATTGCGTTATATTCGGAGCAGGCCAATAATGGCGGGGATAATTGTCATTGTGCTGCTGGCAAAGTAGAGCGTCGGAAACTCACTGCATTCGAGATACGAATATTTACCGCAAAGTGAATAACAATTTAATATCAAGAAATGATCATTAAAATATCTTTAATCAATTTACCGTATCCTATTCAGATTCTACGACTAATTAATATACAACGAATTGACAGTATACGACTAGAACGAACGTATCGTTATTTTATTTTTAAATCAACGCATTAAATTAATGTAAATGAGTAACATCCCGCATTATATTGATTTAATGGTGCTTTTCCGTGCACGTTACTTAAATAGCAATATCTAGTAATACTTGAATGATCGGTAATGAATTCAGTGTCATTAGGTAACATATCATCAGGATCTAATGGTTAATAAATGATCTTACGCATTGTGTATTTGAAATAAAATTTATGTACATGTCTATCTTGAATATGCTGAACAAATATTATCACGTGTACCGCCAATCTGTTTTTTTTTTTCGTTTGACTTTGTTATAACTTTTGGTTATTGAATATATAGAGTACACGTGTGTATCGGCTCTGAAAGCAATCTGGATTTTTTAATTATATCGTGCGGTAACGCAGTTACCAGCGCCTTTACCTCGTGGTAGCATTTATCAACTAGGTAACGCGAAACGACTGATTTCCCAAGTGAGCGGGTTGCGTCTGCACATACTATAAGTACGTGCTATATGTATATTAACAAATATATACACATGCATGCACATATTATTGGAAATTCATATCATACTTACAATTAGAGGACATACTATGGTATTTAACAATATTGATAGAGAATTATTGTTTTTTAAAATTAATGATTACAAAATGTGATTAGGTCAATTATGTAAAAATTTTATGTTAATATGTGACTAACGATCTTATAAAAGATATTACAAGACCCTGGCGTATGGTATTGAAGATCGTTCACGACGTATCATATTTGATGGATCCTTATGTAACTTTTCAAGGATACTTTCAAAAACAAATTGACGGAACGGAGAAAGGGAGTCCATCCCGAGATTGAGAAATAGGATGAAGGTTGTGTTTGTGATTTCTTTCTTGCGTTGGTATTTTTTTTTGTTTTTTCTTCTCTCCCTCCCACTTGATCTTCCACTTATTCGAGGTCCGAGGAAAAGGGATTGCAATGTTTCCAGATCGTACCTTGTTGTTGTTTTTATTTTTATTTATCGAGGAGGTCTCCGTGGCATCATCCCCTGGGATAGGGTCGATGTAGGAACTCACTTCCACCCTTGTTTCGCTCGATCGTGGATTCCAGGGTAATCGCACGACCCCCGAGATTCGGGGATTTCCCTGGATTCTTGAAATTCCTAGGACCTCCCGCGAATAGCGGGGAAAACCAGGTCTCTTTCTTCTCTTCTCTATAACGCGGAGGATCTCGTACATACAAGATCGTACGGCTGGAAGTTTCGGTATGGCGAAAGAGAAGCAGAGCAGCAGTGGCGACGTTACCTCTCGTGGCGAACGGAAGAATTATTAGAGGTAAAAGTTCCGGTACGTCGGTTCTTTTCGGATAGGCGATTAAAACTTCCCTCGTCGAATTTACAAATTCCTCAGGGGGTGGTAGAGACAGACGTAGAGAGAGAGAGAGAGAGAGAGAGAGAGAGAGAGAGAGAGAGAGAGAGGGCGACCGAGGGAAAGTAAGGAGAGCAATAAAGACTAAGAGAGAGATCAGGAAGATTCCGTTTGAGCGAGAGAAAGAAGCATAAACTCCTGGAGGACATTAGTTCCTCGCAGTGAACTTCGAGCGTTCGAATTAGAATTTAAATCTGCGGTTGGAGCGAGACTCTGCCCTCTTTGGTAATGGCTCAATTTCTTTTATCGCGATTACGTGGCGTTTTAAGTAGCCCGGGACACTCGTCAAACCAGGCGGAACAGTCCTTTTCGTTTGCATGTCGAGAGTAGGTGACTGTGCACGTATAACCTGACTCCTGAACTAAACAAGTTAGTAAAATGACCGATCGTAATAATCGTCCATAATCAGTGGAAGTTACTGTGACAAGTTAACCTTACTTTTTGAGATAATAATTATGTACGTGTATATCTTTCAACAAACTAAAATACATAACCTAAAAGTTTACCTGCGAGAAATAAAATCTGAAGAGCATCAGGAATCTGTTGTCCGATAACGTAGAGGGTGTCACATGCTGACTGGAATTATTTTCATAAACAATTGAGTATCATAGTCATGCTAATTATTTTACAGATCTTCGTATACATTCTGTGGGCTGAGACGAATATGCTTCGGAATAAAGAAAAGCGTGTAATAGGTTGTATGCAGAATTCTACGCGAAATGAGAACCGGGAACGTACGAGAAGCGCGGAGAAAGGAAAAAAAAATATGAAGAAGGTACAAGAGTTGCGAATAACGAGCGATAATCGATTGCGCATGCGTCAATGGCCGCCTTGCTCGGAGCGCGTCGTGCGTCTTCGGTAGTTTCCGCTTCTCTATGTCTCGTGGTGGGGATAGCTACGCGTCCAATGGAAAGGGTAGGGGTTGTCGAGCCGCGTGTCGTTGACAGGAGCGGCAGCCAGCAGGCCGAGTAAATTGCTTGTCGACAGTCAGTCGAAGCCGGCCTCTCGGCGTGGGAGCAGCGTCACTTTTTTTCTCGTGAATTTTTCTTACACAGTTCACGGCGTCGTTCGGACCCCCGCATGCCTGTGAGTCAAACGACGACAAAATTCCGTCGAGGATACGTAAAACTGTATTTGAGAGGACGGCGAGGCTTTCTTTATTCTCAACGCGAAGAGTAAACGATAGTAAAACTCTCGGGCATTAACTTCTCCCGCGTGAGAGGCAGTGATCGCTCTTAGTGCGTGCTCGTTGGAAACGTGTCCTGTGTGTGCCAAACATCTTCGTTTCTCACTGAGAATTTGAGATTTTCTTTCTTCGTTGAAGGAAGATCATCGGCAGTTTATATCTCCTGTCATTTTTCAGCTGCTTGGTACCTTCGCTTGGTATCTTGTCTCAACCTGAATCTCTTGGTGAGTGCTGTTATTATACGTAAGAAAATCTTGTGGAAGAGGATACTGTCGTGTCTTTTCTTTGGAAAACTGTCTGCTTTACTTTCACGTCAGAAATTCTTCTGAGAGGTTAAGAAGCGTGCGAGCGTGACCGATTAGTCGCTGGCTTGTGGTTCTCAACCCTCGTGGTGAAACCAGGATACGTTACTTGTATACGAATATGTTTATCTTTTCCTTATCTTCTGCGGTTCTTTGTACCCTGACAGATAAATTCTCAGGATACGCAGGAACGCAGGATACTGAGTAGAGAGTCGTATATTAATGCAAGGGACGATACAAAGCACAGAGTTATGGATCGATTTAACAGGTTCGCGTGTACATTATTCGTATTTTATCGGTCGAACGATTCTTACTTGCCCGGTCCATGCGTAAATAATTACCATTAGGTGGACCCGATTAGAGTTTCGTTTTACTTCTGCGTAATGTCCGTGGCAGCAAGACTCCTGTTTGGAGCACCGTCGTAATTTTCGGTATTAAGATTGCGATTGTTAGATTAACGGTTTCGCGATAACGACTTTGTTGGTTGAATGTACTAGAAAACTTGTTAGAGGTTATACGTAGCTGTATGACTTAATTGTATATATTTTTTTTAATTTTCAAAGCGACCCGAAAGATCATATTTCATTGAATACGTATTTTTATGGTTAAGGGACGGGTGCTTGCTTTTTTATCGATGTTATTTACTGTTTCTGTATTTAAGGGCTCGTCAGTTAATTTATTTACCAATCGAAGATACCTTACAGCACGGGTTGCGCGCTCGTATAATTTTACAAATCATCCGGCTATTTTCTCAGCGTAATGAAAAGCTCTAATTTTTATTCGAAATCCTAAAAACTCGAAGTTTCTTATTACGAGTTGTTTCACGTCAAACAGGCAAACGAGTAAAATTTATATAATTTCAGGAGCCACATTTCCTTTGATTGAAAAGCGAAGTGCCTTATTCAGTAAAAAATGAGGGCTACCTTATATTTCCTCACGTCTTAAAAGATTAACGTTACCCTGTTCTCGCTTAAGGATTTTATTTTTAATAACGGCAGAAGCTCCAAGGCGAATTTACTCGTTGGTCATGCAATATACAAATATACATATATATTACACCCAGACGCTTAAAAGAGTATAACTAAATCACATCCATTCATGAAACTGATTGAATTCATTGATTACACTAAAAGCATACAGAGTAATTGATCAAATTTTCCTTTTTTTTTTTTTTTTTCTGTCCCCTTGCCATGACACTTTGTACTTTAGTCTGATGGAACGCTTTAGCCTGTAGCGCAGCCGAAGCCATTGTCTTACGATTGAAAATCGATCAATTATAATTTCTCCCCGTAAGGCTTAAGGCTGGACCCAGCGTCGCGACGCGGGTGCGCGTCTATAATTATCCCTTTGGAGGCGTCTCCCATAATAGAGGACGCAGGGCATTTAGACGCGACGGGTCCGTGTGTTTATTCTGGTTTTCGAAAGACCTCTCGCGGTCAGTGGGGTTAGAAAATTTGAGCGAAAGGGTCATAAGCCCAACCGCAGCCATGATGAATATAACAGAGGTCGTGATAGAGTTTGAATAGAAATTCTCGTTTGAGAAACGGCCTTAAGGTTGTTTAAGGTCACAGACTTGTGTTACGCGACAGGATGACGATGACGATTATGTCGGTCGTGTGGATTTTCAACATAAAGTAGGCCTCAAGGCCGATCTATACGATAGCTTCGAATTTCTTTCTCGTCTGCTTCACACTTTACGGTGTGCGCGCGCTTCAATCGCTTTCATGGATACTCCCGTGTCCAATGGATTTTCTATCAATCGTATCGCCCTGCACTCACGCGCTATGCTTTCTAACGAACGTGCTCGATAACGCAACTGCATTCGGTGATGCAGGCTCTTCCGACTACCTGTGGAATTTTACGATTCGTCATGAACATCATAATGGCCGATCGTTCTGCGATCAATTTTCGATGGGACGGCTGAGCCGTCCGCGCCGGAATGTGGAAGTGGGAAACGACGAGGTCGGGAAATGGTGGCGGCGGCGGGAATGTGGGACGCCGGGAAGCAACGCGCGATGTAATCAAGGATTTGCTTTTGTGCCAGTGCTTGGGGCTTCATTCAACTTTGGTAACGAAACGTGATGCATCTTTAATTAAATCTTCATTGCGGCTACCGGCGCAGCCGGAAATTTATTCCCTGCATTTCAATCCGTGTTTGGCTTTCATCTTGACTTTTTTTCCCTTCCATTCTACACTTTTTTTTTTTTTCATTCTCCGTTCTCCGCTTTTTTTTTTTATATGTAATTCTTTTCTCCTATTTCACGTTTCCCTAATGGCTACAAACGTTCCTCGGTGGCTTCCTTTAAATTTAACCGTACCTTGTTCAGCTTATCTATGAACCTTGAAAAAAAATTTCTTTCATCGAGCCTATCCAAAAACGAAATCGAGCCTGACTCGGCGACGATTAATTTATTCGGATTTCTTCTCTCTGTATGGAAATTTTTTATTCGACGTACTTCGTGTTCCATTAACGGGGTTCGATGCATGCTAAATCCTAATTTTTGTCCTTAGACTCCAGCTAGTTAGTCAAAATACTGTGTCTGCAGGGGCAGCAGCCGTGATGCAAAGTCCAATTAATGCGTATCGATTTGCAAGATACACGTAGATTTGGCATGTAGAAATTTTGGCTTCGGTGACGTTTAAAATCTTGCAGTGGGGAAAAACCTTTCACCGATCGCGCATGCGCAGAGAGGCGCACGCCTAGTGGCCATCGGTGACATATTTACACTGCGTTGGGCGGCGGACATTTAACATTTAAATGTATATCCGCGCACTATACAGGAACTAGCAGTTTTCTGTGCTACATGGACATATGTACCTGGTAACGTATATACGCGATTGTTGCGCGGAGCTAATAAATATATATCTATATATACGCCAGTGAAATTCGTGTTTTTGGTATTTCTCCATTTTCAATCTGTTTCATCGATCCACTTGCTTCACTATGTATCAAGCTTTATTGACGTTATCTCTATCGAATCGAAATGATTTCCTCCCCTCCCGCCTCCTTCGTACGGGTCGCCACTCGCGCCGATTCCACTCAAGGAAATCGAACGGCCAATATAGATTATCGTTGTTTTATTAGTAATAATTGCTTTTCCGTACGGGCAATGCATCCCCCCCTGCTCCTGCCTCGCCCTATTTTTTTTCCCCCTCCAATCACTCCGCATCCGCTTTGTATACGTTACTATCGACGCGTCGCGGTATTATTCGTATTTTCGAATGAAACAAAAGAAATTTCTCTTGGGTTCACCGAACAAGCCAATAACCGACAATGATAGTTACACGTGTGTCTGCCGAGCGATGGAAAGGTTTTGAAAATTGTTCAATTCCTTTTTTTTTTCTCCATAATATTTTTTCAGTATTTTTTTTTCCCTTTTTCGACATTGCGATTTCTTTTTCGCCATTTCCCGCGAATACCGAATCCGTTGCTTCTTCCTTAAGGTGGCTTTCTGGAGTAATTTTGTCGAGTCCCAATATTCGTTTGTTTGACGCGTGCCCGTTACGAGTTTTCTTGACGATTCACGAAGGGCAACTTTTGCCTCTTGGAAAACTTTGTGAACGCGCCTTAATGCCCGTGGCTGCTTAACGACCGGGAGAGAAGCAGAAATCCTCCCCGTTTCTTAACTGCATAGCCTCACCGGTAAACATGTGGTCAGACCGGTTGATTCCCGACGGGTCGGTTTCCTTCTCTCCTCTCTCTCTCTCTCTCCCTCTCTCGTTTCTGCCTATCTTTTTCTTTCTCTCCCTCGAATACATGTCGCACCTACTGCACGGCGAATATATATATATACACACACACACAAATAACCTGGTAGTAACTTTCATCCGTACGTATCTACCTGGCAATGTGTGTGCGGATTTATTATTCTTATTGCATACCTACTCGTTCCTGGATGTACCTGACTGCGTATAATCAGTAAGGATGAAAAATAAAAAAATAATGATATACATAACGGACACTCGAAATGACGAAAAACATTTTGGCTGTCAAGTTAGCGTCCCGGCGTTACGTTACCTCGCAGATCGTTAGACGTTGGCTCGATTTATTTTCGCATTTTTGCCTTCAGATCGATTCGCGGTCACGTGCAAGCGGGTCAGTTGTTAACCCCGCATTTGTTGATTTCGATCAGCCTACCGTGACTCCCGAGGAATGATTTTTCAACGGTGTCGTGTTGCCGAGCTGTTCTTGTTATTATTATTCTCTATGTCGGTCGCGCAGTGTCTCCTGGCTTCGATTCCCGTTTATCCGTGGCATCGGCGCTTTGCCTTGCGTCTTAGGTCAGGGTTCGTAAACTTTGACAGATTACATTTATACGTAACCTTCCACGGCTCCGAAGTACTTTGACGAAGATTCGCTGCTAAGCGAAAATCGTATATCGGATGGAACTGAGTTTACGCGTATAAATAAATCATGGCTCTGACGTACGATTTATTATTCAAATGAATATCAAACTGGCGCCGATGCGCGTTATCAAATTTTCATTGTCAGGGCTCCCCTCCAGGTTGCCCGTGGTAATTAACCGTGATCATTAGGGACTCGGCGTTTATTTTAATTTTCACTTTTAAAGGGGTTGACGCTTGCTGGAGCTATATAGGAAGTTTAAGGCTACTTTCAGTACCCTATTCCATATCCCTTCGATGCCAACGTACTCTCGTTGGCCTGTGTAATTATTTTTCTTTTCCTTTCTTTTTTTGAAAAATTTTTTTTTTCCCTCCATACCTTCTCTTTGTATTTTACAAGCAACTATTACTCTAAGCTTATATTATCGCCGTACTAATTTACTTTGACGCCGACGTACCGCCATTGGCGCCGCCGACGAGTTGCCTCGTATCGATCAAACATTTTCATCCTTTGATGGATAAACGTTGCGCAATTGGGGGGTGCAAAATTTGGAAAAAGCTGCATAACAAATGGCACGGGTTTTCTTTCCGCTGCTTTGTGCAGGTCTCGCGGTATCCTGGGTCAGTGCGGCGGGGTACGAGTGTTTTGGAGGGAAAAAAGGAACATACGGCCGCCTTTAACGATCTGCGTAATAGGTACACGTGGGCTTTACTTCGCGCGAGAGACGTTTGTTTCGAGCGATAAGAGAAACGAGAAATAATCGCGGATTGACGCCGCGCCGAGTCGCTTTGCCTGGACTTTGCGGCACGAAACCCGATTGCCTCGCGAGATTTTTCCCTAGCGAACGCGGGAGGCTAAAAGGAGCGCGTCTACGAGCGCAGACCACGCTACACGTCGGTGCGGAGGTGGTATTAGAGGTTAGCTCGATTTCGTGAAAAGTCCTTCATGCGGGTGCCTCGGTACTTTAAGAATTTGCACTTTGGTATCGAAATGGCCACTTTGCTTGTGGGATCTTTTTTTATCGTCTTGCTTTCAGGCTTGCTCTGGTCTTTGACACTCACTTGCCAGCCTGCTGCGTAAAGGCTGCAAGTACCTATGGAATTGGGTACTGCGGTTTTACTTGGGTCTGGGTCTCTGTGTACCTATACGGACAATGACCCCAGCTGATGCGCCGTGACAGTCATTACGAACACCTCTTTGCTCGTGCTGTCTCTCTCTCCTCCCTCTCTCTCTCCACTCTAATGATTATTGTCCACTTCCCGTTTTCAATATCCTCATTATTGGTCCACCATACTTGGTTACTCGTCTACTTGGAGTAATTACTATGTTTCGTATGGTAACTGCTGTGCAATGATAGAACGTAACCCGTGGGTACACACGTAAAGCGGTATAAAGGGAGATACGACATGTGGAGGAGGTACCCTTTAGGTTGGTAGCGTTTCATTTTTTTTTTTCCTTCGTCGTTATCCAGTCGAGTCTCTCTTTAATTTTATAAGTCGTGAAGTCGGTATCTCTTTACGAACGCTGGTCCGTCGGGATGAGAGCGCCCCGGTGGTCGTAATGGGAACTGGACTTTGAGGAGGAAGAAAAATGAAATAAATAAAAAGTCAAATCGAAAATTAACTTTTCCCACTCCGATCTTCTTCTTACCCCCCTCCTCCCCCCTCCCCCCCTTAAAGCGTGCTCGCGCGCGAAATTCAATTTTCTCGCGAGATGGTCTTTGTACAATTTTTCTTTCCCCCGTCCGCCCTCTTTTCTGTCTTTTGACATTTCTCATCTTTTTTTTTTGTTTTTTTTCTTCTTCTATTTTTTTCACGATCCTTCGATTAAATCGTCGAACGGTCGAACTTCCGTCTCGTTTGTCAATTTGTAGGTTACGAGCGGAAGGGACTTATCGTAACGGATCCCGAACGTCTGCATTATTCGATTGTAGGTTATATATACCGGGTTTAATTAACTTGGATATTTACATTATTAATTGGGAATAATTAATGCAGCCGCAGGCTGCCGTGGCTCGATGAAAATTAATGCGGCCCTCGGGTACCTCGCTCGCGTCGTTCGGGAATCTTCGGGAGCCGAAGTTAACGGGGACTGCGAACAATGGGCATCATTTTTTTTTTCGTCCACAGGGTATATAGTAAGTTCGCGTAATACTTTGTCGCGTCTACGATCTTTTACCCTTTCGTCATTTCCCTGAGGTCTCTGTAATTCCTTCCTTCTTCTCTTTTCCCTTTATCTCTCCTTATCCCGTCTCCAGAGGGTGCTGACGTTCCGCGTCAAACTTTAAATGAAACTCTTCGTTTCATTTTAAGTTTTTACGAGTATCCCCGACCGCCAATTTATAAGCGTTCCCGTAACGGGTCGCGCCACCGGCTCAAGGACGCTCGGGCATTTTTATTCGAGATTCTTGAAGTCCCTACGCAACCAACCTTAGCCGACCTAGTCTAATCATGGACGACTCAGGTTTCTGAGAATTGTATTTTTTTTTGACCTTCTTTTTTTTCCCCTCTTCGAATTAATTCCTATCGGTCTCCACGTCAGCTGGTAAACGCTTGTTCTGTTGGCGCACACCTAACCTGACCTAACCTACATGCAATATCAAAGTTAGCCGAGCGTAATCATTCCGAATGCGTGTCGGCGAGTCCTCGTTTAACCACTTTGGGTTAAACGCACGAGAAATCGCGGACGGTCCGAAGTCGGCTGGTGCCCCGACGGGCTTGAACTGAATCGCATCGAGCGACAACCGCGAGAAACGTGTCCGTTTACATGTTTTTTTTCACGTTTCCATGTACGGCCGTTCTTTTTCAATAGTCGTCGCGCGGCGTCGTGGGAGTCCATAGCCCGATGCTAATTAATTAGGTTAATCTCTCGTCTCGACGGTCACCATAAATCACAGGAACGTTTAGTGCGACAAGTCGCGCCGTTGGAAACGCCATTGGTATCCATTAATCGCACTCTGCGTGTAGACGTATATATACCATAGAGTTAATACAGATAGAGCAGACAAGCCATAGGCTGCTCTGCAAGTGGAAGTGTCCGTTCGCTCATAATGAGAAAGAAAGAGATAGCCGAACCCCTTTAGCTATCCGTTTTTGCACCCTGATTTGCATCTATCTCTCTCTTCGCCGCTGCCGCGTTGAGAGCTGGCTTGTCTGCTCTATCTGTATTAACTCTATGATATATACACGCCATAGCGTTTGACAAAAGGTTTTCGAGGGGCCATCTCCTTATGGCTCGCAATATTAAAGAGTCCCCCGGATCTCGTATCGGTCCCACAGCCCACGTTATTTCGTAGCTTCGCCGTGCAATGCGAATTGTCAGTCCGTACGAAGTGGAAAAATGAGATATTGTAAAATTATGAAATTCTCCTCGATCAGAATGAAATCGTTATTGCACTTCGTGTATGAAAACCTGCATTCGTATATGATTGACACGCGGAAAATTTTGAAATCCATAAATACGAAGCACTGTATTTTCGATTGTTCAAAGAACACTTTTGACTCGTTGCAATTGTATTTTTTTTTACCCGCTCGTCGATTCGTTATCTTAATTTTATCCTGGCAGCTCCCGAGAACTGCATTCAGCGCTGAAGTAAGTTTAGCGATTTATCCGCGGACGGAGGGATCCACGCGAGTGTTCGCATCCGAGATTATGAACGGCTTGCACTTTGTTCTCAAGTGCAATAGCTCCAGGCCCAATTAAAACTGCTTTTCCCGGGGGTGCAGTGCAGCTGTTACGAGCCTCGTGAATTTTCGTAATTCGCCCGAAAGTTGCCGAGCGCGTTGCGCGCGGGGCTTAAGGTTGTCCTATGTCGATGGGAGACCGGTGCGAGAAGTCTTGTTAATTTTTTTTCTATCGCATATAAGTATCCATCTCACTTGAGACTTTTTGAAAATTTTGAAATTTTTTTTTTACACCCGTTTCTTGGCCAAATTGCAAAAAATTCCTCATCGATATTCCAATTTCCTATCGGGATCGTTCGATCGGGCGCTCGATAAATGATATGGCTCGGGGACGCTGTTACGTCATCAATTGAAATCATTATGACGACTGAAAAGGGCAGCCCCGTAATTGAGAGATTTTTTTTGCCGATCGCGTAAACGATGTTAGGCTCGTATCCATTGACGCTCGTTATCCATCCGTACAAGATAAAGTCAAATAAGACTCTTGAGTTGTCGTACGCAACCTGTGTATATATGTATATATATACCGCTATTCAGGTTAGACGTACGACTGTAGAGAATCGCGTGTCGTCAATTTTTCTTCCGAGCTGAATATCTAATACGAGCAGCCATTATGATAACACTTTGAGTTATTCCGCGATCGATACGTCGTTGGCGTGTCATCCGAATGCGAATAATAGAAAATGGCGAGGCTCCTCGCCATTCTACAAGGTACTACGGGCACACTTCTATCTGTCATTTATTTTTATATATCGTATATAACAGTTTATCGCTGCTCCTTAAGCGTGAGAATCCCCAATCGTCACGATTCACGTCGCGACGTTCAAAGCCTCGCTCTAAAGAGGAGAAACGTGTGCTCTGTGCGGTGCTACATATTATATGTATATTTTGTAATAAACTTTTTTTTTTCAAAAAGTCGAATTAATTTTTTTTTTTTTCATTTTATCCGTTTCAGGTGTAACAGTGTTGCGTGATCATCGGGAGTGTTTCATGGGATTGGTGAGTGAAAAATTTTGAATAAAAAAAAAACTAAAAAAATTTTTTTTCGGTTACTACGTCAATTTTATAATTCATTCTTCTTGTGGTTATTGTTATTATTTTTTCTATAACTCAGTAACGTAGCAATGCAGATGATACATAACAATGACCCCCCCCCTGCCCCCCCGGGATTCAAGGGGTAATATAAACGTTCCCACCGAAGGGGGGTCTCTGGCAAGGGGGGTGGCGGGTTTCCTTAGAATCCCGGAAATCCCTTAGAATTACGTCACGTCCGGCACCCTCGCCGCCGCAAGTAGTGACAGTGATCAATTGCGTTCGACCCTCGCCGATCGATGGGTCTTGATTACCGTTAAACGCGAGCACGAAGTTAATTACGCATTCTTGAGGAGCCCACTGCCACGCTGGCCCGATTGAACGTTTTAGCTTTCTGCGTGTATACGGGGTATACGTATAATAACAAAAAGGCGAGCGACGCCCGTTTACGAATCGGGGCGGCGTCTCTACGAGGCACCGCGACGACGTCGGGGGTCGGTCCGTTGGCTTACGGCTCCAACAGGGAAGGAATTTTTGATTTTGCGAAGGCTCGGAATATTTACGGTCGTACAAAGAGATTCTTGAGATTTATTTAAAGGGCTCTGCTCGCTGGCGTTACTTCTCTCTCTCTCTCTCTCTCTCTCTCTCTCTCTCTCTCTCTCTCTCTCTCTCTCGCTCTCGAAACTTGAGATACCTCTTTGGAAAAAATTTCAAACGATTTAAACAATTCCTGGCATAACTCGACTGTATCCACTGTTGAACTGCAGCCCAAGTGGTCCGGTGCATCTTGATGCAATTGCATCGTCTTACGTTTTTACTCCGCGCTGCACCGTGGGGCTCTGCCACGGCTACCTGCCAGACACACCGCATGGCATTTGGTTGCTGGAGTCAAAGGAAATTGCACTGTATGGACTTCCCGTCTATGTACATGGGTATATCGTAGGTACTTATACTTCACGGTGGCTGTGTATACATTCTATGCCAGGTTATATTTCTATGCTCTCTATAGTCTACGGTGCCTATAAGCACTCACTGCTTCTTTTCAAGCGATCCGCGCAATCATTGCGGCTGTTTTCTTAATAGTCGATACAGCGTCACAAAGGGCCCCCCCCCACCCTTCCAGTGGTTTGGCATTGATTTTCTTCTCTTTGCCTCTTCTTCTTCTTCTTCTTCTTCTTCTTCTTTTTCTCCCTCTTTTTCTTCTTTATCGCGAAAGCGTTACGCGAAGGGTAACAAAACGAGAGAAGAAATACAAAAATAAAGGGATCCGCTGCCACGGCATAGCTTTCCTTTATTTCGCCCGTTATATAACCACGATCAATTCTTAATGTACTTTTGAGAGAGATTTATGTACGCGTACGCGAATGGCATATATCTGCGGCAGGCAAGCCACGTGCGTACGCATGCCGTCTAGGGGATTTATGGTGATTTCCCCCCTCCCGGCCCCTCTTTCGCTTTTGTTTTAATCAGAGACGCCCGCGGTACTTGCCAGGAAGATTTCTGGGGGCAGCTTCCCAATGAGCCAAACGTCTTGATTTTCCCTCGAGCCCGTCTAAGCTGCATTCGGTCGCTGTGGCGAATCATTGGTCGGAACAATAATGCGAATTGTAGTTCCCGCGAACGCGCGTTGCCGCCACTGACGAAGGGCGCTGCGAGGGGGTTAGGTGGGGAGGGGTTTACTCGTGGTGGGGGGGTGCGACATGAAGTCCGGCAAACGCTGAGGAAGGGGGGTTAGTTGGATTTAATTTTCTCGACCAGGGCCCACCCATGCCGAGTCGCATTGCTCGAATGTTCTAGAAGCAACACGGAGGGTTAACGGAATCTATGTCTTGCTGGGTAAATGGTTATGGCTCGCGGCTGTCGGAGGAATTGTTGGATTCGTTTTTCTTTTTTTTTTGCGAATGACTTACGCGATCCGTTGGATTTATATCTGTGAGGTGATGGGAGAAATTTTTTTTTGATTCACCATTACCACTCGTGGAACGAATCAACGGCTGCACGTTCCATTTCCTTTCTTTTTTCTCGTCCAGCCATTAATGGACTCTCGACTCTTCTCCCGTCTGCACTTTGATGTCAGGGCTATCGCACCGTTTATCCATGTACGCGCGCCTATCCTCGATCACTGTGATTATCGATTGAAAATTATCCGTACGGCCTTGTCGCTTTTTACCTTCGTAAATTTAAGGCTTGCCGTACACTCGAAGTGGGATGACGTCGCTAATCAAGCATTCTGGGTCGTCTGCAATTGGGTATCCGCTTAAGGCTCGTTTGGAATTATCGACGCGGGTCGATCGATACTTTACCGACATTTCTTTAGGTCCTTGACGTTCGATTCGGTTACGTAAGAATTTATTAGGATACGTCTTGCTCGCGCATGGATATTTTTAACAAATTTATGCCTGAGGAGTCTTTAATCTTTAATTGCATTTATCGCTTTATTATTATTGTTATTATTTCGTTACACGTATACGGATTTGGGTACGTCCATTGCCTTTTTACACGTGGAAGTAAACGTTGCGGATGGTCGGGACTCTCGAGGAAAAATTCAACGATCCTCCGAGAGATCGTATATGGGATCCATGGTATTCGGCATTATAATTCTTGCAGTTTCCGTTGTTATCGACGCTCGCCGATTCTCACGTGTACACGATATATACCTACTTGGCGAGGTCTGAGATAAGGGATGCTCGTGGCGCGTGAAACCGAGATGGAAAAGTCAGGCTCTCGGCTGTTATTGCCTTACCCTGTTATACACGTGGGCGCTTGTACCGGTGGGACAATGCTACTGCGTGGGACTGTACTCGACTTCGTACTCGGATGTAAACGTTAGTAGGTGGCGTATCCTCGGGCTAAATAATTGCAACCTGCCACTGGGCCATTGTATCATCGCCATGTATATATATATATATATATATATATATATATATAACGCGCTGCGCGACACTTGTAGTACAGTGCTTTAACGACAATTAATGCAACTGCATATGTATGACACACACATCCTTTAAGGAATCTCGGTTCTCGCGCTATACGTTTTGTACGATTTTGCAATCGTAATTGTTTTCTCTCTTATTTCTTTTGTATGCCGATATATATATGTGGGTGTATATTAACTATAGTTTTTATATACATTAAATAATTATCTGCCTAGAATAATCGCACAGGGAGGGAGTCTTTCGCGATGCATTAAACGTTATAGCGCTCTTTCGGTGCATTCGGAATGCACTTTTTTTTTCTCTCACTCTCTCTCTCTCTCTCTTCGCATACCTTCGGTACCCAGGCCAGAGAGGACGGGGCTGCGTATCGCTGGAATTGGAGCGGCGAGCCAGCCAGGATGATGGCGGCTTTTGAAAAGCGAAGAGAAAGACGCATTACAAATTCACAATGGCATTGTGCGCCACTGCATCATCTTCATCCAGCGTGCCCGGCGCTCTCGCTCGTTCCTTCGTCGTTCCATTAATGGCTTCCGCTTCCGGTCTCTCGATCCTCCCGCATTCTGCGCTCTCGGCGTCCCCTTCTCTTGGGGTTTCGTTCGCTCGTTTCACGTACGGAGGCGTCGCAACGACTGTTTCTGGTATTTTGTTTTCTGCGGTTCTTCTTTTTTTTTTTTCTAATTTCTGTAATTTTTTTTAACTTTTACGGGAACGAAATTCTGAAATCTTTATTTTGTCACCTCGGGACACCGTTTACACGTTTATCCTGTCTTTTATGTTTTTCGTATATTTTAGGCGGTTCGTCCCCCCCCCCCAACCCCACACACATTTCGACGTGATATCCAAGGACTTATTAAATTAGGTGCAAATATGTAAAAAAAAAAATGTGACGGTTTTCGTAGCGCGATGTCAACCCAGATTAAATTCCATCTCGAACTAATTCAAGCCACGCGTAATTAGCAAGGCCCCTGTAGGAATTCATTAGTGTTCAATTAATTAGATTGATCAGTGTCTTATAGGGGGGCAGGTGCGGCGGGGGGAGGCTTGGTGAACTTGTACGTAATTGACGTGTATACGAAGAAACAGTGAGAGCCCAGGGGTATACAAGTTTCTTAAATAGCTGAAGAAAAGAAGGAAGAGAGGGAAAGTTTTATCCAGCCGGTAACTCGATTGTCTGATAATTGTGGGGCTGAGGGGGGGTGGGGGATGGCTGTGCAAAAAGGGGAGTTTGACCAATGATAAGCAGTCAGCGATTTAAGGTAGAATTAAATGCGCCAGCTGTGCACGCACTCGCGTATATATGCATAATACTAGTAGCGTCAAATTTGCTATCAGCAACGGAAGTGTACAGTAGGTGTTCTTCCTTTCTTCTTTTCCTTATAGCTGCCTCCTCATTGAGATGTGCCCCTCCCAGTACACTGGGTCTCGTATAAGTATCCGGTACACCCTAACTCCGTCGAGAAAGTCTGCGAATGAGTGTCGTAGCCGAACTCTTGTTCTCTCGCAGTGGGACGAAATAAAACTGAAATGGATTTTCCGAATGGCCCCACGGTGGCGCTAGTGTCGCTAGACTGGGAACGGCGTTAAGCGGAAGCGCGCCCGGTAGATACTTCCTTCGAGGACGTCGTATTTATACGTCTTCCGGTACTCCAGAGAAACGGAAGCTACTTTGCGGATGATGAAGCGATCTTGGATATATACGTGGTTTCTTTGAATCCCGAGCTGTTTTATATAGAAACGTGGGATTAGCGATTATCCCGTTGACAGTGGATTAAGGTCTCGAATTCCGTTCGCTCGGGGTTAGGATCGATAAAATCCCTGGCTAATCGCAACGTACCCTTCCTCGTGTGCTTGCCGCTTTTACGTGAAAATCTTGAGAGGACGCGTTAATTGCACTTGAAATAATTTCTCTGTTGCATTTATTTGGAAAAAAAAAATTCTTCTACCGCTTACCGCACATACGGCCGGTGGTACTTTGTTTTTGTTTTGACGGAAACGAAAATTGACGTTTTTTTACAAAAAAAATGTTCTCAA